TTGCCTGATGCCGCTGTTCATCTAACAGTAAATAAGTACCTAGGATATGGCAACTATTGCATCCTGCGAAAGGTTAATAGTTGGCTTAGAGGGACCTCAATAAGCCTAACAGGCTTCCTATCCCTGACTACAGAAAATCGAATCTCCCATGAAATACAGCAATATCATTTTCTGAACTGAAAACGGGAAGCATCACAACCCGACCAGCAGAGAAATGAAGTAAACAAGCTAGTGGAAATACGAGGACAACTGCATGCCATATCATCATGCTTGGAACTGGATAGGGACGCCAATGGAACAACCAGACAAAAGAGTAGGAAAACAAAACACTGAGAAGAGGTAACTAGACAGTCCACTGAACTAGAGCAATGCATGAGACTACAAGGACTGCATCACAACAATGGCATGAGACTACCAGGACTGCATCACAACAATGGCATGAGACTACCAGGACTGCATCACAACAATGGCATGAGACTACCAGGACTGCATCACAACAATGGCATGAGACTACAAGGACTGCATCACAACAATGGCATGAGACTACAAGGACTGCATCACAACAATGGCATGAGACGACCAGGACTGCATCACAACAATGGCATGAGGCGACCAGGACTGCATCACAACAATGACAGACTATGCAACATTCAGCTATCCAGCTCTGCTTAGAATGGGGAAGATCTTGTGGCCCAAGTAACATAGAAAATGAGAGAAACATACCCTGAATAACTTACACCAGAATTCCAGACACTTTCACCACAAGTGCAAGCCCCAAACTCACTACCTCTGGTGGTAACAGCAGTGCCTGAGCCTAATGGTTCTTGGTGCCATAACCAGTGGTGTGAGTGGAAACCCAAATGAGAAGTAAACCGACTCGAAAATTAGCCAAAGGCTACATCAGGGGCCAATATGAAGAATCCAGCACTGAATGTAATGAAACGCCATTTTCTGGGTGAGACCCGGAGGCTCCAGGAGCTATCCAGACTGATATGGATATATTAGACTTTGGCATCAATGTGAATGGAGTTCTAGGCCTACCGAGGACCATGAGCCAGAATCTGGTCCCCTCAGAGAGGCATGAGGAGCAATGGCTTATAGAAATGCACATGTGGTTATGGAGCATTCTATGTCTGCCATCGACCGGGTCAGGCACCCCAGAAAGGTAAGCATCCCAAAACAGCCAGCTATTCTGGTTGAAACTACTACTGAAAGTTAAATGAGTGGACAGAACTATCCAAATGAAAATGAGCAAACGAGCATGATGTCACTACGTCGCCTCGCGGCTTGTCTACTGGACACAACACATGATGCACCCCCAGCCTAACCAACCAAGTATCAACAACCCAAGCACTCCTCCTGAAAACAGTAGATTTATACCGCCCCTGAAAAGAAGGTGATGGCTGCCACTGAACCAACCTACCACTAGGACCAAACGAGCATAAACCCCTGCATAAACCCCTGCAGAGGAGAGCATGAAGCTCCCCGACCAGACCCCAAGAGGCCAATGCCAACAGGAAAAACCATAGAGAAACAAACCTGAACCGAAGGAGCCACTATAAACCCAAGAGATGAGAGAAGGAGAGCACCAGATTCAAAGACCACGACGGCTCAAGCAGCACATGAGCAGGCCGGAGGCGAAACAATGCACTAGACAGCGTGCGAAATGATGCCAAAGGTGCATCAACCCTGAATGCAAGCTGCAGTGGCTCTGCCAGCGCCGCACAATAAGAGGTGACAGTATTTGGCAGAAGTATTTAGTCCTGAAACAACCACGAAAGAAAGGACAATACCACCTCATCAGAAACTAAAGAAAACCTACGAAGAGGACAAGAAACACAAGAAGGACCGGCAGGAAACTTCAAACTGATGCCAAGACGAAGAATGCAGGTTGGACACCACCAAAGAAGCCACCTGATCACCATACAAGCGGTGATAGACTCGAGTAAAAAAGACCAGACGCAAAGACTCGAGGAGAAGATTGAACCAGCCATGTAGCGAACTGGGCCAATCCCCCGAAAGTGGCGGAGCCGCGGGAAGACCCCTGGGTTTGGACACCAAGCAAGTAGTGCCTAAAACCAAGGATGGGCCAGCCACCAAGGGCCTGAGAGACTTACCTCTCCCGTGGTAAGTCTCTCAGCAGACGAGTCACCCGAAGCAGCCGGCCCCAAAGAGCCAAGGACTGCATCAAACCCCCCGCGGTCCAGGCAATGAACCACCAGGGAGCAGTCTGAATGGAGCCTGATCATCGATCTGCGAGCGACCCGAACCCCCCGGAGTGACATCTACACCTCTGTGAAGTCCCGCACCATGCTGCAGGCCCGACGGAAGGATGGACCCCACCGCCCCTGGCTGGCCTGGTGAGCACTGGTCACAAAGCCCCAACCAAGAGATGATGTGTCTGTGAACACATTGAGCAAGGCTTGGGTAAGCGCCAAGACACTGAACCACGAATAGGTAGCCGGTGACGCAGCAGCCGACACAAGGCCCCCCGGAGGATGAACCCAGCAAACATGAGAAGGGAGGGAGGGAGAACCACCTCGGACCAGAACCAGAACAGCCGACAAGCCAAACCCAACCCGGCGGGTAGACCAACACGGCAAAGTTCAGGAACACCACATAACCCTCGAGCATCTGCAGGGTGATCACGGGAGCCCCCCAAAACAAGCAAAGACGGGACCACAGCCAAAGCAGAGAAACCGGAGAAACCGGAGGGAGAGACAAGGAAGCAGTCCGAGAGTCCCACACAAGACCCAGCCAAGACTGAACCTGAGAGGGAACCAGATGGGACTTTTGCCAGATCACCAGGAACCCGAAGAGCTGTGAAAGAACCAAACCCCTGGCGAGCAGACATGTATACTGGCTGGGGAGTCCACAACAACCAGTCATTGAGGTAGGCCAGGACCCGAAAACCTAACAGACGCAGATGGGCCACCACGACCTGGGTAAGGTGTGTGAACACGCGAGGTGCCAGGTTCAACCGAATGGAAGGCAACAAAAGCGGTAACCAAGATGCCCCACAATAAAACCGAGCCAGTCCCCCTGCCTGAACCCCCAGATGAATAAAGATGTACCAAGACGAGTCCTGGAGGTTCAGGGAACCCAACCAAGCGCCCGGTTCCAAAAGAAACCGGACCTGGGACAGAGGAGTCATCTAAAAGGAGGGGCAATAGACCCAGGGGGTTCAGATGGGACAAGTCCAGAATGAACCGCGGTTCCAGCACAGTCCCGTTTCAGGACTGGGAACAGACAGGAAACCCACCCAAGGGATGTCGTCGTTTTGATCACGCCCATGGGTACCCACTCCAAGGTGACCCGACAAAGCACAGGAGAAGAGGCCCACCCCGCCAGCCCTGAACCCCCCGAAGGAGGAGCCACCCAACGCCACTGCAGGCTGAAATGACCCGAAAAGCCCACAATTCGTGAGACCAGGCATGAGCGAACAGCGCAAGCCTCTCCCCCCATCGCCCAGTCAATGGGGCGAACTGCGAAAGGCCCAACAATCCTTGCGAGAACCTAACAGATGTGCTGAGCAATCACTGTGCTGACCAGAAGCAGATGGTTCTGAAGGTGACGCCGGCCCCGAAACGGGCACCGCTAGCCTACCACGATGAGAGGAATCCCAGCAGGGGAAGGACGAGGGGCATGGACTTAACCAGAGTTTCAGGGTTTCCTCGGGGTTTCCAGCACAGCAACCAACCTAGCGTGTTGCAGCAACCTAACCTAGCATGCAATGCCTAAGCTGCCTGCACCCGAACAGAATCATCAGTGGACTGGGTGAACAGAGTCACTAACAAGTAACAAAGTAACTTGCAGGACTCTGGGTCGAAGGTGTCACCGACCCAACAGGCAGCATGACGGCGTGAGCAGTAGCAATGGACAGGACAAATGGTCAGTTATTGCTACTCTCAGCACTATCTTGTTATTGGTTTGAAGCTCCAATTCCTGCATGATCCGAAACAGCACTAGCAAACACACACTATTACCCTATCCAGAAACAGGTCCTGCAAAGTGAATAAACCCCAATATACTACTCAGCACAGGATCAACTTGACAGGAATATCTTAAGAGGAGGATATGAACCTTTCAGAGAAAGATAACTCTGATGGAAACAGCACTAGGGATGGGAACCCAAAATTGAAACCTCAGGCAGGAAATGACAGCAAGAGATATGCTCGTGAAACATTATAAGCATAGACCCATGGACCCAATGGTCCTACAAAATTATGAACAATTAGCATTGCTTACACTGCAGTTTCTGCAGGACACCATGATGGCACAGCAGATTGAGAGCTAGGAGTGAGGTGGTCTCATCACTATGACATGGGGTGACCTAGGCCACCACCTGGTGGCAGAATGGGAAGTCATTGGACGTGCTTGTACAATAGTTGTTGGTTTAAAATTCAGCAATTTCAAAACGTTTTGGCTGAAATCCAGCTGAAAGAAGGCTACAAGAAGTTGTAGCCTTCTTTTAATACTTTTAGGGCAGTCAGCTTAGGTATTGGGTTGGTTTCTAATACCCATATGCTCCCAGAAATAGACATTAAGTGTAATGAAATGCCCCCTGAATGGGGAGCTGCTGAGGTGATTGGCCAGAAAGTTCAACATGAAAGAAAATGCATCACCACATACATTTCTCTCAGGTAGTATCATATGTATTGCTCAACAAAATGGCTGAAGGATAAAATTAGACCAATCTGCTAAGTACAAATTCTTATGATACAAAATAATAATGAAAACAGGTTTTGAGTTCTCTAATGATGCACATATGTAAAAAATAACCATAGAAAATCAACAGAAAATGAGATACAATACATATAACATACACATTCAATAGACAAATGATGTACATATAACAAAATTGGAGATCACAAATTAAAATCAAGAGCAATTATTTGGAGAACTATGCCTAATTTATGCTGATGATTGTCCTCTGCTATTTTAATGACTACTAGGCCTAAGTCAATACTAAAAAAAACAAAAAATTATGTCACACTCACCATCTCGCACATCCCCTGACTCGATCTCATATAATCCGTCTGCAAAGTAATCTAATCCTTCATTTTCTGAGCGTGACCTGGCTCCCTCTGAGCGGGACTTCCACCCGGAGTTTATAAAAGTGTTGAAGTTGGCACTGGGGTCACTGAGGCGGCGCTGGTGAAAATATCATACAAGGATATCCATATCTTGATTTCATTTAATTATATTATTAAACTAAATATGTTTCGTTTAAACCTACAATACTAGTAGAAATATTTCACAACATAAATAATATTATGAATATTTCTAGAGAACAAAACAATGTATCTACCCCATTCAATACAGAAACATCTGACTAGATATGTTGTGATAGCAGCCGACTGAAGGAAATATCCCTCAATTGGCTGTGATCAAGAGGAGGAAGAGGAGTGAAGGTGTGGGGGGATTAGGTGGGTGGAAAGTTATGGGTTTGGGTGGATCAAGTGGAGAGGGACTGGTAAGCAGGAGCACTCACCTGGTGACGGTAGATAAACCTATCTTCTGGTTCATCATCCCAGTCACAATCCCACATGTCTGTTAAACTCACACCAGGCTCTGATGTGGGTGTCTCCACTCCTGAACCTGAAAATTATAAGTTATTTTTATTTATTTATATATATATCAAACCAGACAATTTGGTTAACAAGTTGTCTGGTTTGAAACTGAATTATGATTTTAAACTTGTGAGTTTTGATGTGACGGCTCTGTTAACTAGAGTGCCTGTTGATGACCTGTTGGCATTCTTACAGGATCTACTCCCTAAGTATAACGTAACTTTACCTACTAACACCATTGTATAAAAAAAAAAAAACCATTGTTGAACTAATAAGATTGTGCATTAAAGATAACTATGTCAGCTTTAATGATTCATTTTATAAGCAAACATTTGGCATGGCGATGGTTAATTCCCTCTTCCCTGTTTTGAGCAATTTATACATGGAGTGTTTTGAAACAAATATCCTATCTAGGATTTTACCCTCGAATTTGGTTTGGTATAGGTGCATTGATATTTTATGCCTGTGGCCGGTTAACCACGACCAAACTGATTTTCTCATTCAACTTAATTCGCTGGTTCCGTCAATTAAATTCACAATTGAGAATGAAATGAATGGTGTTCTGCCTTTTTTAGACATCATGATTCATAGAATCGGTAGGAGTTTCAAATTCAATGTGTATAGGCAACCTACCAATGTGTGCTCGTATGTTCATTTTTACTCAAATCATCATATTCAGGTTAAGCGGGCAGTTTTTTCAGGTATGTTTCTCAAAGCCCTGAGGGTTTGCAGTCCTGAATTTTTTTATGAAGAAATAGCAAATATATTTGAAATTGGGAAAAAGTTAAAATACCAAAAATTGGTATTGGATCTTGCATTTGGTCAAGCAAAAAGGACGTTCTACAAACAAGCTCCCAAGTCTAAACCAGAACTGAAAAACTTGTTGCTATTACCATATTTTGATGGTCTAGTACACATCTTGCCCCAGCCCTGAAAAACCTTAATATTAACCCAGAATTCAAAAATGATAATACAGTTAAGTCCGTGTTAATTAAGAACTCGCCCTCGTCTGTAGCAGGTTGTGTGTGCTCCCTCCCTTGTAATGAGTGTGCATGTGATCATCGATCAGACTGGCAAATCTCTTTCCTAGTGTTTAAAACAACATTCATATGCTATTCGTACAGCCCAGCCCTCCAGTGCATTGTATTTACATTCCAGTTTATGTGATCATTCTATTGACTTCAGAGGGGCAAAATGTACAGTACAGTATTGTTAAAGGTAAGACTTTCGTTGAACGAAATGTGATCGAGTCTGCTCTAATCAAACAATGTAACAACAGTCTTAATGTGAGCCCTGGTATGTACAAGTTGGATCCCCATATAAGACTCAATATAGCATGTCAATACAATATGGCATCCACTTAACCTGTATGGCACTTTTATATATCTTCCAGTTTTGGCTATTAATAGGAGCTGCCTCGAATGGGCTAATAGGCCTTCTGCAGTTACCTTCTTTCTTATATTTCCTTTCCTTCACCTATTCTTGGTGGTCAGGTGATTTGCCCTGGCGGGTATAGGTGTGATCAACAATGTTTCCATCTTCATTCTACTGTGCTCTGATGAAGGCAAATTAGCCAAAAACGCCTTAAGCATTCTCTATTTTTCGCATGTGGATTTTACGCATTTTTGGATCAGTGTTTATGTGATATCAGTGTTGCATATGCATATTTTATATATATATATATATATATATATATATATATATATATATATATATATATATATATATATATATATATATATATATATATATATATATATATACATATATATATACATATATATATACATATATATATACATATATATACATATATATATATATATATATATATATATATATATATATATATATATATATATATATATATATACATATATATACATATATATATACATATATATATATATACATATATATATATATATATACATATATATATATATATACATATATATATATATATATATATATGTCGTACCTAATAGCCAGAACGCACTTCTCAGCCTACTATGCAAGGCCCGATTTGCCTAATAAGCCAAGTTTTCATGAATTAATTGTTTCTCGACTACCTAACCTACCTAACCTAACCTAACCTACCTTTTTCGGCTACCTAACCCAACCTAACCTATAAAGATAGGTTAGGTTAGGTTAGGTAGGGTTGGTTAGGTTCGGCCATATATCTACGTTAATTTAAACTCCAATAAAAAAAAATTGACCTCATACATAATAAAATGGGTAGCTTTATCATTTCATAAGAAAAAAATTAGAGAAAATATATTAATTCAGAAAAACTTGGCTTATTAGGCAAATTTGGCCTTGCATAGTAGGCCGAGAAGTGCGTTCTGGCTACTAGGTACGACATATATATATATATATATATATATAATATAATATATATATTATATATATATCTGAGAGGAGAGGAGAGTATATATGAGCTGTAATAAAATTTGTTTTAGCATGACTAGGAACTAATTCAGCTTCAGACAGCCTAAAACTGAGACCTAGGACTATTCTGAGGCAAACCTGAATCTCATAGTAGTTATTCAATAATTATTATTCAAAAGGGTTATATCTGTCAAACAGGATTTACAACTTCAGTGAAATAGATTGGATTTCCATTAATTATACTTCATTAATTTAATATTGTTTTGCCAAGCATTAATAACTAAAAATCATTTAATTATTGTCCAATTAATAACTGGCACATTTTTACCGATTACAATTAGTTTGGCCATCCTTACAAAGTAGGTTAACCGATCACTCCATAACTGAATCTTTGTGGTTTATTCACAATCATATTTTCTAATTGAAAACTTCTCATTGAATATATACAACATACAACCACCTTCACTTATGTTGTGCTTTTGAAGTATGAAACAAAACAAAAATCTTCTATACATTTAGCTTTTTTTTACATACCCATCATTGATTTTCGTTACTATGGATAACAGACAAATCAACCAACCAGCTAATTTTGCCACTATTTCATACCCATCAGTCAGCCACAATGACATGCTACAGAATGGCGACTGTTCCAAAGTCTAGGTGCAAAACTAACCTTTTGGTTTGGTTACAGCCATCTCTGCATGTCCCTTTCCTTGTGGTCCCTTCATGCGCACAAACTCTATCCGTTGATTACTGTTTCCAGCAAACAGGCCCATCATCATCCGCTGGGCCACTTTGCTGCTTAAACTTGCCTGATTATCAAAGTATTAAATCAATAAATTATAATATTTACCGTGCATGAAATATTTGTCAAAACTTAATGAATCCATTACAAAACTAGATATGCTTTGATCACATGTGGGAGATTGATAAAGATATCCCCAGGCTGGTATATCCTTAATATGAAGAGAGTGCTGTAATACAAACAGGAGGCGCAATGATTACAGGGTGCTGTTAGGAGTAAAGGGAAAGTAGTGATAATGATGGTGGTGATGTGATGTTAGTAATTGTGGGGGTTGATGTCAATGTGGACTTAGTAATGGAGGCTACTTGAAATAAAATAGAAATAGTGTACTTACTGTACACTATTTCCAAGTTTAAAGGTTGTACTGTGGTTAACTTGCTTTATAAAAAATAAGAATTTATGTTATAAATTGCCAGAAAGTGCACATAAAATCCCATACCTTCTTCTAATTTAACAGAGAAATATTATGGAAGACTCACCCGAGCATCGTAGACACGCTTGAGTGCATCATATCTAATAGAACCTAAGAAGATGACAGCTTGACGGGTGCCAGCATGATCGGAAGCCACCAACTCTACACACACCATCTCTCCATCACGCACTAACATATCAGCAAAAACCTGAATGTGTAAAGATATTTTCAAGAGTATTTAAAAATTGTAATACTGTATATTGTTAGGAACATAATTTCTGAATGATGTATTATAATTACTTATGAGAAAACTATCACCATCACATACTGTTTAATGCATCATTTTCTGATTCATAAGTTTAAGTACTATAGTTATAATGTGAAATGTTCAAAACACTGGTAACAACATTCCACCATTATGCATGATAGTTTCTCTCCTTCCACTTATTTGTTCCTTGATGCAAGACCCTAACATTATATGCAAATTGTCTATACTGTACAGTATAAACCACTTCTGATGACACACAATTCTAAATTTTTGTTTTACTTTAATAAACTCATAACTAATAAGTTAATCGAGGAACACCAGCCCATTCCATTCTTAGGACCTGAAAGACACTCATATGGTTATATTATTTAGATCTATATTTTTAAATTATTAATTATGAAAGTGCTTGTATTCAAAATGTTTTTTTGCAAGCAAAGAAGCTACTTTTTTGTAATTTACAGTACATGTTAAATTTTTATATTTAGCTGATTAACCAATTTTTTTTGTCTAGTGATACATCTGTGTATGTTCATGTTATTTGTCTCTAGTGACACATCCATGTGTATGTTGATGTCATTTGTATCTAGTGACACATCCGTGTGAATGTTGTCATTTATATCTAGTGACACATCCGTGTGTATGTTGATGTCATTAATATCTAGTGACACATCCGAGTATGTTGATGTCATTTATATCTAGTGACACATCCGAGTATGTTGATGTCATTACAGAATTTATATTTACCTCATCAAAATTATCTACATGAAAGCAAACATTGGGGTAGGTTATTTCTTCAACTTCTCCTTTTGTGTCCATTCGGCGCCGGCTCGGGCTTGCATAAACTTTCTGCAAACAAAGAACACAGCGTTCAATGTGATAAAATACTCCTTTCTGGGCACCACCTCAGTAGTTCTCAGCTTACACCCTGACGACAATTACTGGACAACTCAGTCACGCAGGCACCTTATGATACCTTCTACCCACCGGAAGAACCAGAAGCAACAGCCTTTGAAAATCTTCTTTCTTCCCTACACAGGACGGCAAGCAGATCAACCCAGCATTGAGGTGAACCAACCGGGTAAAACACTCAAAAGGTCACAAAACACTTAACCTCCCTTCAAGAAATATTTTGACCAGTGCTGAATTAAGTGCATATTAAGTGTGCATATAAAGTGCATATAAACATATTAAAAAAAAATAAAGCAGATGAACCAAATGGTTATAAACTTTTAACAACCTTTATGAGCACTTGAGGGAATCACTGCCTTAAGGCACAAGACTAACTGACCTTGAAGGTTGGGGCCAGCACACAGCAACAGCAAGTGCCACAATCACTGCACTTGTATCTTTGTCAAATTGTCTCTACAGTTGCAAGGTCACAGCAATTGATTTTTAATATGATCATATTTTTTTTAACAACAAGCTGGTCTTCTGCTTGATGTTAGAGAAGCTACTGTAAAAAAATCATATGAAAGACACCATAAATCATATGAAAAGGTAAAACATGTGAAAGGAAAGATAAATTATATGAAAGGGATGATAAATCATATACAGCAAATATAAAGTCTAATTCTACTACTCTTCCCCCCCCCCCACACACACACAACCAGGAAGCAACTCGTAACAGCTGTAACTCTCAGGTACCTATTTGCTGCTAGGTAACAGGGCCATCAGAGTGAAAGAAACTCTGCCCATTTGTCTCTGCCTAGTCAGGGAATCGATCCCGAAATGTGAACTCTACCAAATGTGTTATATAAAGGCCTAAGGACTAAAGAAAATTATAATACTGTATATATTTCAAAACACAATATAAATTACAGTTGAGTAACACCCATGTCAAGTGTTGTTATTGAAAGAAGTCATAATCCTTAATAGTTGAAATGAAGGGCAACATTAAGATGCACTGAAGAATGGTAGGATAAACACATTCTCCTTCACAATGTAGATGGAAGCCTAGCACTCTTGTACCAGCCTGTTTGCTTAATTTGTTACTCTGTTCAAAATCCAATCGCCTAACCTAACCAGAAACATACAAACCCAATTAACCCACCTAACCTATTGAGCTGTCCTTAGAAAACATAGCTATTTGCTAGTTTTTATAGTAGGTTGAATTTGGTACATTAGCTACTATAACATAAAATAAGACCTATTAGTTGAGAGGACAGGTTGCTTAAACACCTTGCCTGAAGAGAAGGAATCATGAGAATACTTGTCACACACCAACCTGAGAATGTCGGCGGAGCACTTGAAGATCTTTAGGGCTGGTGCGTGTACAAACAGCCAGTGTAAGGGTGTAGTCAAACTGGTGAATGATGAGGTTAAGGTAGACAGTTTCTTCCCAGTCAACATCAGGGTCTCCAATAGGCAACTTGCGACTGTCTCTCCTATAAACCTCTACCTCTGTCTGAAGATTACAGAGTCAAATATTGAATTAAAATATATATCCAGAAATAATTTATTTATGCAGTACAAAACAAAAAAAGACCTACTAATTTATCCATTTAACTGAGATAATGAAAGTAAATGAGAGTAAATGTGTGTGTGTGTTTGTCCATATAAAGTATTTGTGAATGAAAACAAGTAGTTACCCAAGTGTAGTTACAGAATATGAGCAACGCTCGTGATGTCCTGTCTTCTCAGTACTCTTTGTTAGACGATGCTTCAAAAGTACTCTACTGGTATTGACAGTTTTGGCATCCACAGCCTTCTCGCTTAACTTGTTCCATCAACAACTCTGTTTGCAAAAGAAAACTTTCTAATACATTTTTGGCACCTTTGTTTCCTTAGCTTGAATCTTGAACAACAACCCCTTGTTCTTGAAACTTTCAGGTTTAAATTCCTTTGTCAATTTTGTCGATTCTTATTACTGTACTATTTTGTATGTAGTAATCATATCGCCCTTTTTTCTTCTATCTTTGGCATATTTAATGCCTCTAGCCTCTCTTTGTAGCTCATTTTTAATTTCTGAAAGCCATTTTGTAGCATGCCTTTGCACTTTTTCCAATTTATTGATGTGTTTTTTTGAGATTGCATTATTCAACTGGAGCATATTCCAATTTGGGTCTAACAAAAGTTGAGCAGTTTTTTAATATTTTGCCATCCACGTGTTTAAAAACAATTCTGAAGTTGGAAATTATAACATCTACTATCCAGAATCACCCCCTAGATTTCTTCCTTTGTCAAAGATCTGTAATGCCTCTCTAAATAATTTATTGGTTGTGCATGCCTTATTTTTGCCTATTACACATTCCATAACCTGGCATTTACTATATTTACATTGAATTCCATATGACAAGTTTTGCTCCATACTTAGTTTGTCTAGGTCATCTTATATAACTCTATATTCCTTCTAGCTGATCATTTATATAGAAATGAACATTACAGGTGCAAGAACTGAACACTTGAGGTTATCTTGAGATGATTTCGGAGCTTAGTGTCCCCGCAGCCCAGTCCTCAACCAAGCCTCCTTTTTGTTACACACCCCCAGGAAGCAGCCCGTAGCAGCTGTCTAACTCCCAGGTACCTATTTACTGCTGGATGAACAGAAGCATCATGGTGAAAGAAATTCTGCCCATTTGTTTCCGCCAGAACCCGGAACCTCAGGACTAAGAATCCGAGCGCTGTCCACCCAGCTATCAGGCCCCTTATATACCCTGTGCTTATACCCTTATATACTCTGTACTTATATGAGTACCATGTGGTACTTTGCTAGCAGCATTCCATCAGTATGAGACATTGCTTCTTTTTATTGCACTCCCCTTTCTGGCATTTAGAAAATTATTCGTCAATGTCAGCAGTCTGACTTTCATCCCTCCGGCATGTTCTAGTTTCCAAAACAACCTTTTGTGTGGGACTCTGTCAAAAGCCTTTTCTAGGTCCAGAAAAACAGTTAACTCAACCATCTCTTTCCTGAGTGTGCATGTGTGAATGCATAGTATTTGTATCTAGGTAGAAACAAGTTATAATTTCTCAGCAACAATTCAGAGTAACACAGTGGCTGTGAATGATATGCATCAGTTGGTCCGTTACATTTTAAGGCCAGAACTGACAGGGGTGGCCATGTGGACAGCACCTGTCATGAGTGCTGGTTGTTGGTGTGCCAGGGATTTGTAGTGATGGTGGAGTGTGGATGAATTTGCTGGTTAAACTTTAGTGGAGTCTTGCAATTTAAGGAAGTTATTGGAGATGAGGTATAGAAATGTCTGTTGGGTGTTACTGGTAGCTTAGAAGCTGCTTTGGCTTGAATTTGTTTGATGATTCTTATTACTGGAATCACTTGCTATTATTGTACCTTTTGTAATTGTCATCACATGCACAAATACTATGCAGTAATTAATTGATTGAAGCTAACAATGGTTAGTGTACCTGATTATTAATTAAAAAGCACCAGCTTGCAATAATTTAAAATCAATAACTGTAGTAATCAATGTTTCAGGAAGAAGAAACAAAATGTTTGAATGCAATCATACCAAACATAGCCACACAAATAATAACCTGATATTTTGGAATGTATCGTGAACCTTTAAGGTGCTTCTTTCTGATAAAAAATAATAGATCATCAGCATCTGTAGAGCGGTCAGTCTGGAAGAGGAAGTGCCGGACAAAGAGGTCAGTCCAGTAAGTGGTTCCTTGCACCATGACAAACCCTGTATCTGAAAATACACACAGTCTTAGTACAATGGACACATACGTAGTTTTGTTTAGTTAATTTATTATGCACCCCATACTCATCCTGTGAGCAGTTGTGGAAATATTTACAGAAGCATATATTATATTATTATATATATATATTATTATTATACAGAAGCATATATATTATTTACAAAATAAATAAATATATATAGTACAGGAGTACCTCGGCTTAAGAATTTAATCCGTTCCTGGAGACGGTTCGTAACCTGAATTCGTAAAAGCGAATTTCCCCATAAGAAATAATAGGAAATGAATTAATCCGTTCCTGACTCCCCAAAAACTTCACTTCAAAGTAAATTTTAAACCTAATTCACCCAAATCTTCACTACAAAAGTATGTTCAAGTTATTACTTACCTTGCTGATGACTCCTGTTGGCGTATGGAAGATGATGAGGTGTTAATGTTTGGAAGGGGAGTTCCCCTTCCATTATAACATCAGGCAGTGAAGATTTCTCTGGAGTGCACTCACTCTCTGGCATGTTTTGCCTGCATACCACTAGGTCCTGGTTGTGGCTCACTGCTTGATTTTCTCATAAGAAAACGTTCCATTGAAGATTGTTTTTCCCTTCTATGCAACACTTGTCTGTAGTGAGGCATTACATTGTCATTGAAAAGATTAATGCAATGACCTACTACAGCTTCTTGGCAACTACAGTGCATATTGTTGACATGGATTTGTTGTACTGCCTCGCTAGTTCAACAACACGAGTACCATTTTCATGCTTACGAATGATCTCTTGTCTTTCCCTCTATGGTCATTCTCACATGTGATTTCTTGCCTTCAACCTTACCACTGGCTTTCTTGGGACTCATGGCGAGATATATAATAACAATTTTTATGGTCAAATAGCCAAAAATCCGAAAAGAAACTGTAAATCCTTGCGAAGAATTCAGGTGGGCTAGTCACTGGGCGCGAGGCACTGGTAAACTGAGGCACGATCGCCGTGCCACCACGCACTAGGTTGGCCGTACGTGTATCAACAAACTCGTATCCCGAGGTAAAGTTCGTATCCCAATTCAACTTTTCCGAATAAATCGGGCTCGTAACCCAAAACGTTCGTAAACAGGGGCGTTCGTAAACCGAGGTACCACAGTATATATCATATTTTCCGAAAGAAGTGGGAGAGGAGGGGGGGGGGGAAGCAGAAGGGTTGGAAGGAGGGAGAATGTGGGATGGGGAAGAAGAGGAGGATGAGGAGAGGGATGAAGGGGGGGAAGGATGGAGGATATAGACAGATGGATGGATAATGTATAGATAGATAAATGGATGGAGAGATGGATGGATATACAGATAGAGGTTAGAAAGATGAATGAGAGAGAGACAGACCTGGGTAACATATAATAATTAATTATAATCTATTATATATATATATATATATATATATATATATATATATATATATATATATATATATATATATATATATATAATACAGTATATTATAATATATTGTATATATTATAATATATATTGATAACATAATTTGCTGGGATTTGTTAAGTACACAGTAGCCTAGTTTATAGTCCTAGTATTTGTTAAGGAGTACAAACTATGCTAGAGTACAGTGGGTATGGTGACCCGGGTGGCGTAGGGGGGGGTCAATAACCCCCGTGCCCCCTACACCACTACCCTGGGGTACTGACAGCCCCCCGGGGGTCACCCACCTGTGTCTTTGGACATGAGGCACTGCCGCATTTCCTTGGCCCTTTGAAAGTTGATTTCTTCGATTAACTGCTCGAGGGCCGTCACGTTGCGCAGTATATCCTTAGCGCCGAGTCCGGCCATGGTGGGGAGAGTGGTGGTGGCTGTGAGAGCTGTTTAATTGACAAGAAGCGTATGAGTCATTCCCGGGAGCAGCTGGTCACTGTAGCAGACCACCACGGGCTCCCTCCCCCTCACTTCTCGCTCTTAAGTCCTCCAATCTCCTTATCTACCTACTCACCAATTATCTCACACTACCTCATGTTTTTATCTCCCATCACGTGATGGTGGGGGCGATTATTTTATTCTGGGATATATGAGCGTATACGACTTTGACAGGTCGGACGCACGATTATTCTTTACAAATAATTATCTCTTATTTAAATCATCTAATAAATCTTTCCTATATTGTAATATTACTTGCTAAGTTTTATTAAGATATCAAAAATTATTGTCAATTCAAATAAATATTTTGAGATATATAAGCGAGTACTGGAATGCAGTACGACAAGATAGTTGCGTTCAGTATCCACCTCGCATATCAGAGCCTCAGGAAGGATGTCACACAAAGAAAATAAGAACAGACAAATGCCCAGTAACATATTTAGCATTATACATATTAAGTTGAAATAAGATGTAACAGAAGTAAACAGGTTAGTCAAAATTATACATTTTGGCACTCAAGATGTTAGTAATATGCCTATAAAATGACTCCCAAGACAGGAAGAAGTGTAGGGCCCCAGGTGAACGCGCCCACCTTGAAACTTCCCGGCAGCGAGCTGTGAGTCAGTAAACAATCGTCACGAGTCTGTGAGTTAGTACTTATATCTCACAGACAGTCGCCTTTTGCTCGTTGTTCAAAGCTACATTGCGAGGTGGACTGTGTTGAGGAGCTGCTCAAGCAACCATGTTCGCCTCAGGACCTAACTATAACAAACTCAAGACCAATCTGAGACTTGCCATCAATAGGCTCAAGTTGCTGGAGAAGAAGAAAACAGAGTTGGCTCAGAAGGCCAGGAAAGAGATAGCAGACTACCTCACCACAGGCAAGGTGAGTAGGAGATAGTTGACTGCCTCACCACAGGTAAGGTGAGTAGGAGATAGTCGACTACCTCACCACAGGCTGTAACACTGTAAAAGTGTTTGGTTTAGGTTAATACATACATAGAGTACATGAGTCACAGACAAGGATCTGAGAGGCGCCAGTTGTCTGCCTGAGATCTCACACCTCAAAGCGTTAATGACCTCAAGTGACCTGAGGTCAGATCATGAGAATTTCACCTTGCTTCCGCTAAGCTGATAATTGTAGTCTGGTAGCCTTCAAACATGCCGACGTTTAAGGAGTGGCTTGGTAGTGCCGGAGGCTATCTATTTGTGGGCGGAGTTAGCTACTAGGTTCCCCAATATAAACTCGGAGAGCTATCGAGCATCAAGCATTAACGAGACAGAACAGCACACGAGCCAGCAGAGAGAGAAGACAGCCCTACCAGGAAGGCTGTCGGCCGGCAGGGCGGGAGTCTCTGTCAACTACAGACCCCCCCCCCCCCCCTCTCTATTCAACTTAGACTCAGTCCTCGGTGAGTGAACATTAAGGTGACTTGGTCGTGTTTACATATGTTGTGTGATGATCAGGGGCAGTCAAGTTGTAGGGTTCTCGAATTCTTGGATGATGACTCACTTTGAATATTAATCGTTAGCATTTTAATTGAATTGCTTAAGTTATGATACTTATCATGAAAAATATAATTGTTGAATTTATTATTTAAATGGTCTTTCACTGTGTTCCTTAGAGTTTTTGAGTTGAGGTGAGAAAGCCTCTGTGATTACTGGTTTCATGATTTAATGAGTACATGTTTGGAGTTGATACATGGTAATAACATCTTTTGAGAATATTTTGATACAGGCAAGTTCCATTCCTTGTCTTGTATGTAATGATCATGAATGGATGGTGGCAGCATTTCGTCTTCTACTATCTACTCTTCTACTTCTACTATCTACTCTTCTACTTCTACCTATCTACACCTCTCCCTCCACCCCTCTCTAAACTCTCACTTTCAACTAATGACCCTCCTCGCCCCTCCCACCTCCCTACCTCTCACCCCAAACCCTCACTAATTACTTCACTTTTCATTTCTTTCCTTTCGTTTCCTCTTATACGTTTGTGGCAATGATTCTGTATTCTAGAGTTCTCTCTAGAGTTTCGGGTAACTGATCAAGTGACGGCGCCTTGTAGTCTTAGCACCTAGGTAGTCAAATACCTAGGTTACAAGGTGTTGAACGAGAGAGGTTGCCTTAGGAACTCTGGAGGGTGCTCTAGAATAGTTAGCTAACTGGGGACGGGATAACGGACTAGAGAGAGCTGTTTCCCCCGGCCTCGTTAGTTAACTGGGGGGGTGGAATAATGGACAAGATAGAGCTATTTCCCCCACCCCCGTTACAATGATGGCAGCGGTGTTGAACAATGTTGTAGGTAGTTGGTGTTCTTTTAACATTGTTCAGTCCCACGTGTCTTTTTGCCGCTCAGGCGCTATCAGGGAGATCTTGGCAGGTGTTTTACTTTCGCGATTTAGCGAGTTTTTTCAGGCTAGGAGATGGTGATTCTCTGGTGTTGTGTTTAGTGATTTTGTGAGTTTTGTGGTATTCAGGGAATGTTCACCAGAACTTGCGTGTGTAGTGATTTATGTTAGTAATAAGATTTGGCGATTTGGGAACTTAGCGGTGTTGGTAGTGCAGGTCAGCTGAGTGTGACAGGTGACCTCGCATGTCCCACGGGGACACCCAGCCACCGCTGGTCTCCAGGTCAGTGGGGAGTGGCAGGTGTAGTTCTTAAATAGATTTTAAGTAGTTTTTAGTGGTTCTGCTCAGATTATTGCGATCGACTGTTTTACTCCATTTGAACGCAATAACCCGAGGTGTACTGGTCTTGTACAGCATGCTAGGGGGAGCCTTAGTATGTCAGTAGACTTCACGTTGGGGACGCTCGACGTTAGATAGTCTGGTCACAGGGGTGGCAACAGTTTGGGGTTGTTGACCGGCGGAGAAGCTAGGGAGACACTCTGGGTCACGTAGGTGGCTGTAGGTTAAGGGTGGGAGTAATGGTTAATTATGTACTTAAGATTAGGAAAGGTACAGTTAAGTGAGGCTAGTGTTTGTCTATTAGTGTTGATTTTTTTTTTTGTGTGACAAGTTAAAAGTAGTGATGCCCTTATTCTCTCTTCTCTAACTTTACTCTGTTACTGTTTTATGTTCCACCAAGTCAATATCATTCAGAGTTAATTGGATTATAAAAAAAAAAAAAAAAAATTTGAAGTGTAGTTGTTGCCAGGAGGAGAGCGTTATGATATAACTGTGTAACCCTATACAAACTACAGGGTCACACAACAGCATGGAACACGGGTATTGTCGCCTTTATGTTCAATTCACAGGTGGGAGCCAGAGGAGAGGCGCGACGCATATACAGAAGAGGGAGACGGCTGCTGTGTACCACACTCAGGGGCGTTTATCACCACCACCACGACCAGCCCACTACCTGGAGGTCATGGCTCCACCACCACCACCACCCCAGGGGACCCCAAGACGCAGCCCTCTCGGTCGGTCAACATTGGTCTACCCAGTGGACCCCAGGTCGTTCTGCAGACGACCCCAGACGACCCAGTAAAGATGGAAGAGGAACAACAACGACTCCAGTCTGTACCACCAACATCGGTCTACCCAGGATGGACCCCAGGACGGACGGACCCCAATGGACCCCAGGTCGCTTGTCAAAGACCCATGGGAGGAGGAAGAGAGAAGAAAGAAGAGAGAAGAAAGAAGAGAGAAAAAAGAAGAGAGAAGAAAGAAGAAGATAAGACAAGCTGAGACATGATACCTAGTGTCCCTTGCTGGTGTCAGCATCATTGCATGGAGCGTAATTGCAAGACAGGATCGTTTGCCTTAACTGGCCGCCCCTCCTGCAAGCATGTTGCTCTGTTGAGTGATTCTTCCTGTGTCATGCGGACTTGATGTGGCTGTCAGAAGTAGCTCTCTGAAGGAGGCGTGCTGGAGCAACAGGGAGGAAGAAGAGTAGGATGGGATTTCTACTGTTGGCAACTATATGAAGGTCTCGAAACTTGTAGTCCCTATAGCTGTGAAGAACCCCAATATACGTCTCTCATGGTGACTGACGTAGGGCCAATTACAGATCAGCTGGGACAACCGAATTCCACGGTCCTGTGCTCAGTTCAAGTAGTAACGGCTTTCGGGTTGACCAAGTGTTGTTGTGCGTTAACGACGGAGAAGCGACGGAGGCAGTTGTGTTGAAGAAATGTGGTACAGGATTATCTACAAGACCAAGCAGTGACGTCGCCCAGCCAGAGACAATGGACGTCTGTCTACATATTTCATTTTTTAGAGTAGGATGATGTATATTTGTTTAGCTAGGATGTATTCTTTTCGTTAATAAAGTTGTCGCACACAGCTAGCTTGCTTTAGCAGTGTTGCAAAAACTTTATTTTCGGGGAGAAGGGGAGATGTAACACTGTAAAAGTGTTTGGTTTAGGTTAATACATACATAGAGTACATGAGTCACAGACAAGGATCTGAGAGGCGCCAGTTGTCTGCCTGAGATCTCACACCTCAAAGCGTTAATGACCTCAAGTGACCTGAGGTCAGATCATGAGAATTTCACCTTGCTTCCGCTAAGCTGATAATTGTAGTCTGGTAGCCTTCAAACATGCCGACGTTTAAGGAGTGGCTTGGTAGTGCCGGAGGCTATCTATTTGTGGGCGGAGTTAGCTACTAGGTTCCCCAATATAAACTCGGAGAGCTATCGAGCATCAAGCATTAACGAGACAGAACAGCACACGAGCCAGCAGAGAGAGAAGACAGCCCTACCAGGAAGGCTGTCGGCCGGCAGGGCGGGAGTCTCTGTCAACTACAGACCCCCCCCCCCCCCCTCTCTATTCAACTTAGACTCAGTCCTCGGTGAGTGAACATTAAGGTGACTTGGTCGTGTTTACATATGTTGTGTGATGATCAGGGGCAGTCAAGTTGTAGGGTTCTCGAATTCTTGGATGATGACTCACTTTGAATATTAATCGTTAGCATTTTAATTGAATTGCTTAAGTTATGATACTTATCATGAAAAATATAATTGTTGAATTTATTATTTAAATGGTCTTTCACTGTGTTCCTTAGAGTTTTTGAGTTGAGGTGAGAAAGCCTCTGTGATTACTGGTTTCATGATTTAATGAGTACATGTTTGGAGTTGATACATGGTAATAACATCTTTTGAGAATATTTTGATACAGGCAAGTTCCATTCCTTGTCTTGTATGTAATGATCATGAATGGATGGTGGCAGCATTTCGTCTTCTACTATCTACTCTTCTACTTCTACTATCTACTCTTCTACTTCTACCTATCTACACCTCTCCCTCCACCCCTCTCTAAACTCTCACTTTCAACTAATGACCCTCCTCGCCCCTCCCACCTCCCTACCTCTCACCCCAAACCCTCACTAATTACTTCACTTTTCATTTCTTTCCTTTCGTTTCCTCTTATACGTTTGTGGCAATGATTCTGTATTCTAGAGTTCTCTCTAGAGTTTCGGGTAACTGATCAAGTGACGGCGCCTTGTAGTCTTAGCACCTAGGTAGTCAAATACCTAGGTTACAAGGTGTTGAACGAGAGAGGTTGCCTTAGGAACTCTGGAGGGTGCTCTAGAATAGTTAGCTAACTGGGGACGGGATAACGGACTAGAGAGAGCTGTTTCCCCCGGCCTCGTTAGTTAACTGGGGGGTGGAATAATGGACAAGATAGAGCTATTTCCCCCACCCCCCGTTACAAGGCAAGGTGAGTAGGAGATAGTTGACTGCCTCACCCCAGGCAAGGTGAGTAGGAGATAGTTGACTGCCTCACCACAGGCAAGGTGAGTAGGAGATAATTGACTACCTCACCACAGGCAGGTGAGTAGGAGATAGTTGACTACCTCACTACAGGCAAGGTGAGTAGGAGATAGTTGACTACCTCACCACAGGCAAGGGAGTAGGAGATAGTCGACTGCCTCACCACAGACAAGATGATTAGATTTTTCTTTATATATTCAAGAGTTCTTACATTTTTGTACAGCCACTAGCTGTACAGCCACCACTTGTAGTCTGGATTTTCAGGTTGTACTGTATATGCAGGAGTAACATAATCTTCCATAGTATTCTCCCATATCTTTTATGATAGACCTCTTGTTATTTATATATTAATGTACAGTACAAAGTATATTTATGTACTGTATGTCTTTAGCTTATATGACAGTATATCTCAAGGTATTTCTTGAATAGGACATAAAGCTGCATATCCTGTAACCAAAAATTTCTATCATCATTTCAGATAGAGCGAGCGAAGATCCGTGTGGAGCACATAATTCGTGAAGACTACTTGGTGGAGGCCATGGAGGTTACAGAGATGTACTGTGATCTCCTCCTTGCTCGCTATGGTCTTATCCAACAAATGAAGTGAGATAGTACAGTATTTTATACATTTTCAATGCAAAAATATTTTTCTTAAGTGAATAGATAAAGCATATTGTTGAGAATTCATCTTCCTAAATTCCTCACAATAAATGGTAAATTTTGCCTCAGATCTATAATTTTGCACCTACCCAGACCCTTCAATAAGAAATCAGGTTCAGATTGCTGTATGTAATTTGTAAGGCATAAATGAAAGCAAAAATTGTAAGGGGTATTTGATTTGCTAGGTTTATTAGGGTTAATTGAACTTGAATTTCATCACCAGAGATCTTGATGAAGGTCTTGCAGAGGCCATCTCCTCGCTCATCTGGGCTGCACCGAGACTTCAGACAGATGTTGCAGAACTGAAGCTCATTGCTGATCAGTTAACTCTCAAGTATGGGAAGCCCTATGGTCAGGTTAGTATACAAGTATTCATTCCTCAAGCAGGTATCAACCATTCATCAAGCAGGTATCAACCATTCATCAAGCAGGTATCCTCCTGAGGTTATTCAATCTTTAATGTCAGGTAAATGACCTAAGAAGGAATTACTTATATTTGCTCTTAAAGAATTTGGTTTTACTTAGCCTAGTACTATTTACATATCCAGTTTCTTGGAGCACAATTTTGTAATTAAATTGTATAATAATGGTGTTGCAGTATTGGGTACATCAATCAGCAAACATGAGTTTGCAAAACAACTATAGCAGTAGGTAACTTTTATTCCCATATTTAAAAAAAAAAATATTCTGCACCCAGAGCTGAATCATACTTCTAGAATGCGATCATGGTGCCAAAATCTCAATAGTGAAGTTTTATGCACTCAGACTGCAGTATTTTTAACTGCTATTAAAAATCCCTTATATCTTTGCTTGTAATCATTAGTGGCTCCACCAATTTTCTTTGTAACCATGCTAAGCTCCTCCATTTTAGACTTTTTTTTTTTAAATTATAGTTTTGCACACCATAGTTACAATGTTATAGTTCAATATTCAAACATCCAATAATTAATAAGTGGCCAACACCCTATAAAATTGCCAAAATCCATACTAGCCATAAACATAATTGCAAAGAAAGCTGCAATGGCATCATCATTTCACACATCATTATCTAGGAATATAATCACATACAGAGGAAGCTGATGGCTCCAAGCTCAGGCAAAAAGATTGTTTTCATTCAACCCCTATACTCATTATATCACATTATTTGTATCCTGAGATATTATGACCTGGGTATCTTTCCAATTTAAACATATGTAATTAAATATTTAAATTACTTTAGGGGGAAATCTATTTAATACTATTAGCATTTATTAACTGGGAATGCATTGTGTTAATGTCCTCTTTCTTTGTGCTTGTAGGCTTGTCGAGAACAACAGGTGACAACAATAAGCGAACGACTAATCCACAAGCTTAGTGTACAGGCCCCACCCAAAGTTTTGGTGGAGAAGTACTTGGTAGAAATTGCCAAAAACTATAATGTGGAGTATAACCCTGATCCTCAGGTATGTGATGCATTTGTCTGGTTTCAAGAAATTATATCCAACAAATAGAATAGGGGAGTATTTAGAAATGCATACATTATAGATAAATATCCCTGTAAATTTGTTATCCAAAAGGTAGATAAGGCTCAAAAGAGTGCTACAGTAGTGAGTACAAAGCTGTTCAGTTATTTAAAAAAATATAATTTTTTATTTATAAAAATATTTGCATTCTGTGTTCAGGTGATGAGAGAGGAGGAATGGGGAAAAGACCCACTTATTAGCTTGGACGAAAAGAATAACCTGGGTAATGACGGTGCAACGGGTGGCGGAGGTGGTGGTTACGGTGGTATGAACATCCCTCCAACAGGATTTATAGGCTACCCCCAACAGCCCATGGCACCGCAACCTTTTGCTTATCCATCTCCGGTGAGTTTGCTCAACAACTGGAGGTCTTCTTTCACCAGTAGGTCTACAATTAAAATTTTCATGGCTTACATCCACTTAAAATTTCACCTCTTGATTTTCCTTCATTAGTCAGATGTATCATTTAATGTGTGTTCCCAGAAAGGACATGTTATGGTTTTGTCATGTTTTCTAAGTCCCCTTTCATCACAACCCTAAGCCAAGGCCTGGGTTCACCAGGACACTGCACATGCCAGATTTTTGTTGGCCTGTGCCCCACTGTGTCAAGGAATGTTTGAAAAAGTATTACCATATTTAGTAGTGAAGGAAGAGTGTGTGTGTGTTCAATTCAACACCACTCGCTATAAAACAATAGTGAACCATACCCATTGACTCTCTGTTGGAGGTAATTAGAATTGCAAATTGCAAAGACAGCCAATTTCTCTGCTGACTACCAGTGAGCTAGCCACTCATGTTGACCACCACCAGATAGCAACATCACCATCACCCTCTCCATGTCATGTCATGATAAGCTTCAGGCAAGCTTGAACCAGGGATTACCAGGGTAATGTTGTCACTCATGGATTTTGGTGGGCTTTGTTCTCTTTCTTTCTTGGGCGTCTTTGTGTACTGTGCAACCATCTACACCATGCTCACATCCACATTGTTAGGTGGGATGTGATAGCCATGACATCTTCCACACAGATTTTATTTCATCCCTTTCAGGACATATAAAGACACTCCCTGGTCCCAAGTGATCCTAGATGTGTTAGAAATTAACGTTTGCACCCTGTTTCCTTCTTTCCAGATGTCAGGCTTGCCAGTTGATTTTAGGTCCATCATTGTCTATTTTTGTGAATCTTGAGGACATTTAATAGCATGTTTGTATATTTATCCATGTTTCAGTGGTTGGCTAAAGCTTTAGGTCTGACACACCTCTTATGTCTTTTGGGCTATGTTTCAGGTTCAATCTAGCATCCACAATGTTCTCCAAGCTTACCCAAGTGGTGCTTTAGGAGCTTTGATTCCTAGCAGTTTGTGTCATGGCTTACCTAAATAACTGCTTGTTTTTGGCTCTCGGTCATCTGTCTCGCTTGCTGGCCCAAAATATGGTTCTTTGTGAACATGTCAATGTCCCTGCTAGTTACTTCTTTGTGTCTTCAGTGATTGGGGTTGGTTTTGGACAGTCTGTCAGGGTATTTTTCCATCCAGAAATCTCGTAGAGTCTGCTTTCTTACAATCTTCAATTGTTCCTTGAAAGATGTCTACTGTCCCATTGGGTGCTTCAGATGCTCCTGGGCTGCATTAAATTCACCTGTATCATGTATCTCCCGGTGGGCTGGGTTTGGTTGAAACTCCTTTGCCGTTTCATGAAAAAAGATGGCACATCTTTCCTAGTTGCTACATTTTTCAGAGAATATGTGGTGGTGTGTGAGTAAGGAGTCTGCATGTGTGAGAGCTTAGGGAGCACAACTGTATATAATTACTTAGGTGTAGTTACAGGATTAGAGCTCCTAGACTCAACTGGTATAGATAACAGTATCATCTGTAAAGTATTTGTGGTCAAAATGAGTTTGCTGTTTATTTGGGTTAGTATAATATGTCCAGTGTTTCTTCTAGTCAGGGAGCTTGTATTGTTGTTTTTGTGTTGTGTGTAAAACATGTTCAGGTCATGTCTTCACTGGAATTATTTTGACTTTATAATGGAAACAGTTTATTTTTAATGCATATTTTGCTTTACTGCACAATATAATTTATTTGTATCTCTTATCTTGTGTGGTGACACTGTAGTAGTTTTTATATTTGGTTAAAATGTATTGGTGGAGCAAAATAATAAAATGCTGTGTCTCTAAAACTTGTTTAAATACTGCAGAATAGTTGTACTATAATATGATATGTTTAAATAAAATAGTTGCTGGAATATTAATGTAACTACTGGTACAGTATATCTTTTTGTATCTTGTTCTCTTACTTCTTGAAGGAAGTATGTGCCTCATTTCCTGTCTACCATTAAAGGCTCCAGTCACCCAGCATTTAAGATTGTAACAATTCTGTTAAAGCTGTCACAAAAGAGAAAAGTCTCCACTTGATTACTCTCAGAAACAAGTACTGGTATGTGTTAAAAATGATATGAGTTACTTAACAGGCATATGCAAATAAAGAAAAAAAAAGATAAGACAATCATAAAGGTGTAAAGAATTAAAAAGTTAATGTAAAGATAGTTAATACTGGTACAGTACAGTTGACCTTGAAATTATGAAACTTTGGGTCCCTATGGGTACTACTTGGTTGTTTTTCCCGAGTTACATCGATTGGGTGCCATTGCTCTCCGTTCATGATATTCTCCTTCACCTGTCCTCTGGTCATGTTTACATTGCATGACTTTGGTGGGCATCTTTCTGGCTGTTGGGCAGAGTCCATCATGCCTGTTTGTGGGTACCCTTCTCCTTTCTGGCCATTCTGGAGTTTGGGTCTATCCTTTCCTGCTCTGACCATGGTGCTGATGCTCGTGGGTATTGTATTGTGCAAGTCCTATAGCTGGCTACTTAAACTTTGGTTAAAATGGTCAAAAGTTTAACTTTGTTAAACTTTTAACCATTTTAATAATTAATGTTTTCAAAATGGAAAAAAGCCACTGGAACTCATTTCAGAGACTAGGCATGATGCTTTACTGGATTTTTTAAATGTTGAGTGTGTTTAATTATCTAAGAGTAATTACTTGAGTGTAGTTACAGGATGAGAGCTATGCTCACAGTGTCCCGCCTTCCCAGTACTCTTTTTTTTTCTTTTTGTCATGTAATGCTTTGAAACTACAGACATTTTTGGCCTTCACCACTTTCTTACTTAACTTTTTCCAACTGTCTAACGCACTATTTACAAAAGAAAGCTTTCTAATGTACTTTTTCAGCACCTTTGTTTCCTTAGCTTGAATATCTATGACCTCTTGTTCTTGAAGTTGCCAGTCTCAGAAATTTCTCCTTCTTAATTTGGTCAATTCCTGCTATTACTGTGTAATTACTGTACAGGTACTATAGTGATCATATTGCCTCTTTCTTTTATTTTCTAGTTTTGCCATAATAAATGCCTCTAACGTCTTCATAACTTTTCAGTTCTAGAAGCCATTTTGTAGCATGCCTTGACATCTTTTTGTGCATATGTGTACTTGCCTAGTTGTGCTTGCAGGGGTTGAGCTATGGCTCTTTGGTCCCACCTCTAAATTGTCACTCAACTGGTGTACAGATTCCTGTGCCTATTGGGTGCTCTCATATCTAGAATATATGTGTGGGTTTGTCTAGGTGTGTGTTTGTCTGGGTGTGTGTCTGTCTTCGTGGTTTAGGTTTGACCTGGTGACCATCAAGACTGCAACAGCTGGTCCTGCATCCTAGTCATATTTGTAATACTGTGTATCTGTAGAAAATGGACAAGGATAAAGCTGAAAAACACGTTAGTAAAGATAAAAATACTAATCCATGTCATTCATCAATTATATCAAGGATTTAGGAGTGAGAAGCAAGTGATGATAAGAGAAGTGAAAGTAACTGCTTATCCTGTACTGTATCATGCTTTAATTTGATGAAAAATAGTGGTGTCTGCTTGCTTTATTTTTACTAATTTCCTCTTGTGAATTGGCTGTGTTCTTTTCAAGCTGCCAGCTGTGTGAGTGTTGCGGTGCACTATACAAGTGATAATGATAATTGGGCTTCACACATAGCACATGGTTTCACACATGTACTGCATGGTAATAAATATGTCTTAGTTATAAGGAAATGAACTACATGATATATATTTGTATGTAGAACTTGAATCTAGTGTTGCAATATACAAATATTTGAAGTGAAATAAAAGTTTATCAGCCAGAACAATTTATAGTATATGATCACCAGAAAGAAATAAGGACTAATTATGAGCTAGACTGAGAAGAAAATATTGAAGATTAAAATGCTCTGTACCAGGTGCCGTTTCCCTCTCAAATAACAAAATTGGGACCCATGTCTCCGGTTGGGGATCTACAGCCAGTGCCCCATCCAGGGTCTTCCGAGCAGCCGACTTCACTGTGGCAGCCCACGTCAATATTACAACCTACGCCAGTTGTGTGCATTTCAGGAACATGTGTCAAGCGTGTGCCCAGATTATTTTCTATTTTAGTTACCAACCCACAGTCTCTCACTAATTGTTTTGATGAATTTACTGCAGTTGTGAGTCGGCACCAACCAGACATTGTGGTAGTTAGTGAAACATGGTTTTCTGATACACGACCAGCAAGTCAATATAACCTAGATAAATACAAGATGTTCAATGATGATCGGGAAGGTCGAGGTGGAGGTGTGGCAGTTTATGTTCATGAAAGTTTAAGATCGAGTGAGGTTCAACTAAAAGCTCCTCCTGAACTAGAGTGCGTTTGGGTAAATGTAGATGACAGACTCATCATTTGTGGATTGTACCATCCTCCACGTGCAGCCACTGGACCTCTGTTAATAGATCAGATTGTTAACGCGGTATTAGATATTCGCTTTCACACCCCAACCATCACAATTGCTATTGCAGGCGACTTTAATAACCTACACCAGGGTCGGCTTTGTGCAAGTCTAGGAATGACAAACCTAGTGCAAGAGCCTACACATATGAACTCCATCATTGACTTGGTTCTGACAGATAACCCTGATGGGTATGAGAAACCAGTCCTTCTGCCACCTATTGGACACAGTCGTCACAGCTGTGTGCTCGTTAACCCCAAGGCAGGTGCTCTTAACAACAGCCTTCAAATGGTACTGTAAAAAAAATTACAAATAAAAAATGGCTTGTTATTTCTTCAATTTTTAAAATGTTGTATTTGACATTTGTTTTTAGTAGTTGAATTTTTCAGATTTTACACAAGTCCAAGAATAGCTAGTGGATATTTTTTATTCTGCAGTCTGTCTTATATTTTTACCACCCTCCAGAATTATACTTCATATCTTTTGTATAAATAAGGTGTTAGATTTTAAACATTTTATCATATATTGATATTTACCGTGAAGAATTCATATACAGTATAAGAGTTAATGGAGTATTGATTGATTGGTTTAATGTTATTACAGGTGCCATAGTTCTGTGATGTTCTCCTAGTTGTTTAATATATACGGTTGGGATCCTGGGGGGGGGGATCAAGGAGCAAATATTAGAGGTGAAAGCTTTGTGTATGAAATTGTTCATTAGAGTACTGTATATAAAATTTGATGTATGCAGATGATCAGCTCTTTTTCAGAGTGAAAATATGATCAAGATTAGGCATAAACTAGTTGAAAGATTTGTTGTGCATAAAATAAAAAGGTTAAAAATGACCGTAGACAAAAGTAAAGTTACAGCGGCAGACAAAAAAGTATACTTCATGAAGTTAGCATGAGTGGCATAGTGCTGGAAGTGGTTGACAAGTGTAAATACCCACAGGATGTGTGGCTGACAAAAGATGTGCTTGCAAAGTTGAAGGTAGAGTGAGTTGGGGAATGAAAGTGCCAGGGGCATTGAAAGACCTGGTCATTAAAAACGATAGGAAGAGATACAGCCAGATGACTGCATGAAAAAGTAGCAGTGCTACGCTGAAGTATGGACGAGAGACAATAGTGCAGTAGAAACTTGAGAAAAATAAAGTATTAAGACAGTAGAAATGGACAGTGAGAAGCATATGGAGTTTTTAGAAAAAAAGAGTAAGGAATTATAAAAATCATGTTGAGATATATAGTGCAAAGGTCAATAAAAAGATTGAATAGTGTGTATACCAAGATGGTTTGGGCATGTTGAGTAAATGATTGATGTGCAGACTGGAGAAGTGTTCTGTATTCAAAGCGTATGTAAGATTTCCTTTAAATGTCCAACAGAACCTACGTGAGTAAATGTTATTTTAAAAATAATGAACTAATTTAGCAGTTGTTTGAAGTTAGTGATACATATGAGTCATTTTTAATGTGACCTTTCTGAACAGCGCATTAGTATTTCTCCTTGACTCATGCACAGACAATTACAGGACAAAACTAGTGATATCATGTACCCGGTAGTAACTTTACCCATTAGTGTAAAAATACTTGTGTACTCTTTTCTTGTGCTTGCTTGTGCATAATTGTGCACTCAAATATGGATGAACTCGATTTCTTATTTATATTTATACTGTTGTGTTTGTTTTTAGATATCTTCCAGCTTTTGTTAGTTTAGTTTTATCAAATAATGTAGTTGTAGTTTTTGTTTTAGGCCTTTGACCAGTAGCTGGTTGAGGACTGGCTGCCTTATCCAAGACATGAAAAGCCCTTTAATGACCATGATCCACTCATTTGTCCCTAGTTTTTCCTTGTTTGGTGCTGTTTAGGTTTTGTTGAAGTGACCTGAGGATCACGTTGTGCATGGCATGCTGCCATCTGTCGGTAGGCAATGGTTCTAGGTTACTGAACAGGCAGTATGTAGTTAGAGCCCAAAGCATAGTTCTTTTAACACTGCTTTTGAGTTTAGATGTATTCTACCTTCTGGTCATTCTAAGATGGATTAAGTTTATTATCAATGGCGTATCATCTTTTTTGACCCTGCAGAGACCATTTGGAAAGTTTCCTGTGGTATGATGCATAAAATTTCACCTGCCAGACATAATTCTTGTCCAGAGACTGCAGCAGAACTTATCATAGGGGAGCAATGGAATGACTCTTGCTAATTTAAAAAGTGGATTTTAGTATTCACTCAAAGCCATATTTTTAAGTGCAAACTACCCAGTATGTAATTTAATATGTTAGCAGTTTAACTCCTGTCTAATTATTGTAATAATTGGATTTGCTTTTTCAAAGAACAAAACAGAAATCTAGCATTTAATCAAATATTTTATCTTTACTTTCATATTGAGTAAAATTACAGTAAAATAGTATAAAAGAAGAATATATGGTAACTTAGGATATCATGCTAATGAAGTACAGTATTACATTAAGGTACATTAAGGTTCAGTTTTTTGTTTGACAAGAAATTACTTTTGCCATTTTCAGGGCTCTGTGGGAGGTATAGAGCTGAATCTTCCCAATGTGCCCGGGCAGCCATTATATCCTAGTGGGGGTATGGGGGGCTATAATATCCCACCGAGTGGTCCCCCTCCACCTGACATGTCGGCTGACACGCTGCCGGAGAAGATCAGTAACAATATGCAGGTAAGGAGAGTTTGTGTTCTGCTGCGTCAACTTTTTTGTCACTTCCAACATGAGCTTGAAGTGAGAGGTTTTTTTATATTTGTTTTCTGGCTTCTTATTTTATTTTCATGCAGTACTGTAATTCTTTGATTAATCACATGGGGATGTTCCATGTATCAAACATTAGCTAATGGAAAACAAGTTATGATAATTCATTGCAAAAATGGCCTCTATTCATACTAGTTTAATGTTGAGAGTTACAAAATATAAATTTGTGGAAGCTTTGTTTTTTGGTTTATGTACGTCTTATTTTCATAATCTTGGCTGCTCTATCATCGTTGGTCACGAATAACTAGTAACAGAAGTTTGCTAGTTATTTTAGTTCTTTCAACCATTGAGTGCTACCAGCACTGTTTATTGAGACTTAATGATGGAGCATTCTGAGAGCAGCTTAAATGCACTGGAATATGCTTGCATAAATGTTGTAGTAAAAGTGTACATTTAATCACTGAAGTTATGCACCTAGCATGACATAACTAGTACCTGCATATCCACCATCAGTTTTACTCTAGATGTTAATACACTCAAGCACATCATATCAAACAGCATGGCACTAGAACCTGTTAGTTATCTAGATGCTTTTGCTTAAAGAGTGAGAACAAAAATAAAAATAAGTGGACAAGGAAAAATATTTCCTCACCCACCCACCATAAAACAATTTAAAGATTATGCTCACTCGTATAAATTTTGTACTTTTTCTTAGGCCTTGCTACACTTGTTAACATTAGAATATAGTACCCTGGGGCCAGATTTATAAAGTAGTTATGCAAGTACTTACGAACATGTATGCCTTTCCTCAATCTTTGACGGCTTTGGTTACATTTATTAAACAGTTTACAACCATGAAAACTTCCCAATTAACTGTTGTTATAAACAGGCTCCTGGTGCTTTGAAGCTCATTAACTGTTTAATAATTGTAAACAAAGCTGCCAAAGATTGAGAAAGGATGTACAGGTTTGTAAGTACATGGGTAACTTCTTCGTGAATCTGGCCCCGGGAGTCTTATGTAATGAAAATTTAACTGCAAATAACATACGTCATATTTCTCATAGAATTTTGAAAGCATTTATTGTTGCTACAATAATAAACTGTACTGTAATTCTTTTTTTATAATAAATTTTGTCACATTTTGTTTCAGAATACCATCTTTGCTATATAGCTTCTCGGTGGAAAAGGTACATTTTATTATGTCAACTCATGAACAGCTAATAACTATATTCCAGTAATTAGTTAATTGACTGGTGGATAAAGTCGGTACTATACAGATTTCTTGTGAAGCACCTTGCAACACCAGCATGCCATGATTGCACCCTGTTTCTTGTAGAATGTAAGTGGGAGTTGCCAATGGGATGAGCTGATGGGGACAGACAACTCGCCCCCTCCTGAATATTCCTCTTTTTTGCCCTCGGGCCACTCGAGCAACGTGGGCCCTGTTCCTAATGCACCATACCCCAGTATGCCCATCGGTGGTCAACCTACTCGCCCACAGTTCCCGCCTGACGTTAGCTCTGGTGCTGGCAATCTTAAGGTAGCTAGCATTTTTATGCATAAATTGACTTGCTTGATTTAAGTATATTTGCTTCTAATAACCAATAAATTTAATGTTCTTGTCATCATTTAACAATTACTGATTATTTAAGGCTTACTTTTATATTTGTGTGGCATTTATCATTCATCTCGTAGCAATTACATTTTTTGCTATCATCAGCTTAATCTTTTGAAATGTCTTTTCTTCCTCATTTCTTGTCCAGTTATAAAAAATGCCTGATTGGCTATACAGGTTAATAAATAGCTAGACAAGTTATTCGAGTAGGAAGCAAGAATATTGGAAGATCTTTGCATCTGCATCAAGCTAATGAAATTCAAGGTGGGTCCATCCTTATCCCTTTGCTAGATTACTCATATTAGGCCAAAACACTAGTTTTACACCCTTATCTTACCTTCCCTCACGACCCCATCCTCTTTGTCGTATACATTACTTAATATTGTAGTAACTGATATTCCTTTGATTTCTTTGCCAACCTAACAGAGCCATCATAGGATTGCAAGCTCTATTATTGCATACATTCTTTTTTTTTTCTGTTAACAAGATATCAATGCATTACTGTTTTCAAGGTCAATTACATGGTTAATATTGACACTGAAGAGTAATTCAGCAACGTATACCTCTCTCTTTAGGCACCGAGTCCTAAAATGCCCTTAAGTCATATGCTTGATAAATATTGCTTCTATAAAGCTTGGTCTTATTGTAGTTCAGCAGCATTTGATTTAATTTTTGTTTATTATGCATCCAATAGCCATCCTATGAATGGATCCCATACCCATCCTGTGAGTAGACCCTATATCCACCCTGTGAGGGTTAGTGGACTGTTGTCAAGAACATTAATAAAACTACATCTTTGTTTTGAGAATTTTCTCCAATTGTTTCAAGGTTTTAACCAACTACTTACCAGTTCGGGATAAAGAATATGTTAAATAAGTTCAACATGAAAATTTCTTTGCTGTGCAATTTGTTCCAGTAATGTCTAGCTTTTAATTTTATTCACTGCTAAATATTTAGTGCTAGTAGCCAGGGGCCAGATTCACGAAGCAGTTACGCAAGTACTTACGAACGTGTACATCTTTCCTCAATCTTTGACGGCTTTGGTTACATTTATTAAACAGTTTACAAGCATGAAAACTTGCCCATCAACTGTTGTTGTTGTTATAAACAGCCTCCTGGTGCTTCGGAGCTCCTTAACTGTTTAATAATTGTAAACAAAGCTGCCAAAGATTAAGAAGAAATGTACTGGTTCATAAGTGCTTGCATAATTACTTCGTGAATCTGGCCCCAGATCTAGCTTTCCTACAAATATCTTGCATTTCTCCCCATTAATATCTTTAGACCTATTCTGTGCTGTGACTTGAAATCGTTTTTATATCCAACTTCCAGCTTTAAATTTATTTGTATTTGTGATAATTTACTGCCTTATAATTGCACTTTCTGGGAGGGTTCCCTCAGTAGCTTCTGAGCTCAAGGACAGGGGCTACCAAGCATTATGAAATCACATCAGGCCTCTTTAAGACGAACCATAGCCAACCAGGAGCCACGACCAGAATCTAGCTTTCTCTCTGAAGTCAAGAGAAGATGAGCCTGGGGATCAGATTTATTGGTCCAAAACCAAGAAAAAGTTCACCAGAAATACACTGCAAAACAAGCAACTGCTTAAAAAAAATATTAATCCTGAGGTAAACAAGACAAACGACTGTTGCCGCTGGGGAACTACCCTGTTCACGATGTGCCCAACTGCTACCAGATGGCAACCCAGATCTTCAAGGATACAACCAGCTACACGCCTCCCTCACTCGCTTAGTAACTGTTCGGACGCACGGCTTGGATTGAGCCTGGCCTCTGCTCCATGCTTTTAGCCAAGTGGTCTTGGCTATCCCTGGAATGTTTGTTTCTCATGGGGGCCATTGCTTTATTGCTGTTTAATTTATGCTTCATGTTTGTGCCACTCTTATTGAGTATAACCTGGCTTTTATTTTGCTTTGGCTATGGAGAAATTATCTTAGAGGAGGGCAGAGACAGGGAATCTGTCAGTACTTTCAAGACATCGTATGATAAAGAATAATGGGACACCACAAGCATAGCTCTCATCCTGTAACTACTGTATATTTAGGTAATTACCTCAACCACATTACCATAACAAACCCCACACTCCCACCTACTCATTCTATTACACCTACAGTCTGCTGTATCTAGGTACTTTATCTTCAGATACTTAGATACAAATCCAAAAACTTATTTGATTGCTTAATTCATTTAATTATTTTGGTAACCTAATTACTGACTAACAAATTTAAAATGATTTTTCCTTAATTACTTCATTCTATTTATTAAAGATTGTAATATGCAGTGGTATAATACATATGTCAAGTATTGTCTTGTTTTCATATGAATAATTCTTTTAATATCTTTTGCTTGGCCTTACAGGATGGGGACCAACCAAAACCAGCTCCACGCTCAAAATTTGGAGAAGGCAATGTAGACTTTGCACTTCCCGACCTGCCAAGTGTTCCAGACCTCCCAGGGTCTGCAACATTCTCCGATCCTACCGAGACCAAGGATGATATTGACTTTGATGACTTAACCAAGAGATTTGAGGATTTGAAGAAGAAAAAGTAGATACAGTACTGTATTTATGTTTATACCAGAGTTGTAAATGATTCAAGAAGGGTATAATTATGTGCACTATTACTTTGAGCAAATACTAATACAGCTTTGCCGGATTTAAATTCTTGTACAAGTTACCTAATACAAAACAAGTCTAGTTGCATACTAATTTAACTGCTTAATAATTTTAGTGCATAATTATTATTCAAAGAATGAGATTTCTAGTTTAATAGAATATACCGTACTGCATATTGATTACGCATAGCATGCTGTACAGAAAAATCTTGGTTTAACTGATAAGAAACCGAGATTATAGACTGCTGTATATAGGCAGCCTGTTTTTTTTTTTTTTTTACAGTATAGAATTGGATAATGTATTTTAAGATAGTGTGGCTATTCACTTTGGATAAAAGTTTTGAGAAGTATAGGCAATACTTTGTCTTACACAGAGTTCAGCACTGATCATCAGATGACCCACAGGTTGGGTTTTGATGGGCTGCAATTCTTGTACATTAAAAACTTTATTATATGCTTTCCTCCTTTCACTTTCCAAGCATTCTGTGGATTTCATTATGTATTATGTGCAATGCAGGGAGTATTGAATAATGTTAAAAAAATAATTAAGTAGATTGAGGAAAATGGAATTATGGAAGATTGAAACTTAACCCTATTTTTCCCATACTCTCAAACCTTTGTTTGATTTGCAGTTTTTGTTTTCATAGGAACACAGTTCTCATGTAAATAGATGGCTGTTATATATATATATAAATTAATTAATTACACACATATATGTGGGGTGGATCTGAACTTTATAGAATGTCCTTGCCCTATCTATAGCTTAATTTTGCCCATGCTCCATTTAAAATAATCACTTTTGTTATTTAAATTGTCTGGGTGGGAACCTTGCAGCAAGATTTGCTCCTAATGAGTGCACCTGCCAATTTTCTCTATTATATGAAACATTCTAATGAAGTATTTCCAGATTTAATCTTCAATTAAAAAAATCTATATATAAATTAACCTGCAAATATAATATTACCTGATTGCAACAGGATTAAAATGAAATTTTAGAAAATATTAAATTTATATTGCCACTAATTATTTGTATATGATTGCTTCAATGTTGTTTAACATGTGCCTTGTTAAAAATAAACAAAGTTTAATGTTGAATTATTTTTTTATAATACCCTTATGTACAAAAATTATTTTCACATCTTTTCAACATTAATGTATTTTTACCAAAGATGCCGAATTATGCAGTGTGGTCTTTTTTTTTATGTGGTCTGTGACATCTTGAGGGATGCCTTTGCATATGGACTTGACATAACACTTAAATTTTAGCCTTTCCTATCACCTTCATATGTTAGAGAAGTGAGGTCTAGTGGCCAGATTCAAAACCAGCTTAAGGGCGCATTTGAATGGTTTTGGAAAAGTTGTTCAATGTCAACCAATATTTTTTAACTAGTTGTATATGAAAAGGGCTGCAATTGTTCCAAGTTTCAGTACTGCAGCCTAAATAGAAAGGGAGATTTTTTTTTTTTTTTTTTTTTATGAAAATTACATATTTTCAAGTGAGTTCAAACCTTTCACCTTTTCAGATACTGTATAATCATTCAATGACACTTTTCTGACACATTAGCATATAATAAAGGATCTGAAGTTTGGGAGTTTCCAAAACATCTTTAGTTTTCCTAATACAAATAGTCAAAGTTCCCCCCCAAAATTATGCAAATTGTCATGTTTATTGCTATTATAAAATCAATAAATGAACTTAAGAGAAACAAACAAACTTCCGATTTTAGAGACATACACTCTACATATAAGGTATAAGTTTCATGTAAATTGAATAAAAAATGAAAGAGTTAAGAACTTTTATGTTACTTGAAAATAAATAAGAAAATAATAAAGTCTAAGGTGCTGCCATCTGTGGCTGAGGTTGACATCAACCAATTTTCTCCAAAATTGGCAAAACAAACTTTTATTCCTGTATTATCTTTGGATATGCAGTGCATCCAAAATTAGGAAATATCCTTACATAATGTTAGCTATAAATGCAGGTAATGAGCCAGATTCAACAAGGAAACCCAAAATAAAGCTTGTGCGAGTACTTATGAAAAGACACTAAACTTAATAAAGATGGTTGAGAAAGGTATCTTAAGGAGTGTTTGCACTCCTTAAGATGCACTCGCTGCATTGATCAATGCAATGCAATGTATTAATGCATACATTGATGCACTCCTTAAGATGCTACATTTCACCCGCCATATGTAATAGTATGGCGAGTGCAATGTAGGAGTTTACAACAGAAGCTTGAGACAATGACAGGCTTGCTGCTCATGGAAAACTGTGAATTTCATGTCTATGACTATTAATGAGTAGTTTGTATAGTTATGGAGAGCTGAAGAGCTTCAGAAACCATCATGATGTGAAGTATATAAAGAAATACTCATTCCAAATATACTAAAATTAGTCCTCGTGGCATAGTGGTAAAGCACTCACCTGGCGTTTCACGAGCTCTTTGGGCTGGGTTCGTATCCTGGCCAGGGAGGATTTACTGGGTGCAAATCCTTAACTGTATCCCCTGTTTACGAAACAGTAAAATGGGTACCTGGTCGTTAAACTATTTGGGGGGGTCATATTCCGAGGCACATAGGATTAAGGACTGGCCCGAAACGCTATGCATGCTAGTGGCTGTACAAGAATGTAAAAACTCTTGTACAGTATATATAAATAAATAAAAATAAAAAAAATGAAGGGAAAGTCAGATGATGGTGCTGGTGCAGATATCATTTGAATACTATACACAAAATTTTAGGATGAAAATCACAAATACATGGGATTCGGTAAACAAAAGTAGAGAAACTGCATGGAAACAGTAAACACTAAATCTGGACAGTTTCATATATTTAACACATTTTTTGGGGATACAACATTGTATAGCCAAATGGGCTAACAGAAAACAAATAAGAAAACAGAATAAGCACCAACCATGGAAGATGTAATGACTCCAAAAGGATGTTGCCTGACTAGATTTTACTTGAATAATGTTAAACATCACTACTCTCCTGGCATGCTACTACAAATATTTCATCCAGTTTTATTAATTTACTGCCATGTGAGCAGATACACAAAATGTTCTCAAAGTCAATGGCAAAGGTGACATGTCATAAATGTTGTCAGAACCTGCAAACTGTCCAGGATCTTAATACTGTACCTGAAAAAGCAAGCTACTTATACATCCTATAATTTACCAAATTGCTCAATAACTTCTTAAACTGCATATAATGGCATTTTTTCTAACTCAATCTCATATATATGTTTTGTTTTCATCACAAGAGAGCACTCTCCAATATCATCATACTACATATATACTCCTTCCCACCCCCTGAAGTAATTATCAAGGTAAAGTGCTAAACAAAGCACCCATGAAAGTGGTAAACGCGGACATGTCAACTGACGAATGGATATAGTAATAATAATAATTTAATGTAATAATTAGCTTATTATTTTCAAAATATCAAAACAATATGGAATTTAGAAATAACATGGCTCTTTAAATTTTGCCCAACTTCACATATATAAACTAAAGTACATTATTACTGTAAATAAATTATTACCATTACATATGCTATTCAATTAAATAATTAATGTGTTCTTTGGTATTTAGATAAAACAATATGCCTCGCCACCAATGCTCAATAAATTAATACTTCTCAACTTCTACATTCAGCAATATACATATCTGCCTACCAACAAACGTACCACTCCAATGCCCATCCAGCCACTTAACCTTGCAGTTACCTTACCTTATAACAATTACCTTACCTATAACAGTTACAGTATCTCCATTACTTTTATAAATGATACTAGATATCATTGATAATTTCCCAAAATGTATTCAGTATTTCTGGAGTGAGCACCATATTGGCCCTGATTGGGCTTCCTCACCACACCTGTCCTACTTGGTCTTCCTCGCCATACCTGCCCTGCTTGGTCTTCCTCACCACATCAGCCCCGACTGGCCTTCCTCACCACGCCTTGCCCCTGCTCGGTCTTCCTCACCAAACCTGCTACACTATACCACTAATTTTGGTCATATAACCTGCTAAATGGTCAATCATTCCACAAATATTAATTATACTTTCAAAAATTTCTCATTCCAATGACATTATTTCCCTGCATGATTGTCACGTGAGAAGATCAGCGATAAACCTCTCCTGTTACTAATATTGGTCTTGCTCTTTCTAATATATCCATGTTTGGATCCAGTGTTCTTCCAAGACCTTCCAAGACGAATATTGCCAGGACAACTGCACTGAATGCTGATTCCAGGCGCACACGGTGCCGCAAAAGAATGCTCAGGACCTGCTGCAGAAGCATTCCCACATCCACCTGCAAAATAGGTGATAGTGGTTAAACATAACAAAGTTCTCTTTTTTGTAATACTACTCATAAGAAGTTATGTTGTTAATTACATTTTGTCAGGTGATTGGGCTTCCTCACCACACCTGCCCTGCTTGGTCTTCCTCACCACACCTGCCCTGCTTGGTCTTCCTCACCACATCTGCCCTGCTTGGTCTTCCTCACCACACCTTGCCCCTGCTCGGTCTTCCTCACCAAACCTGCTACACTACACCACTAATTTTGGTTATATAACCTGCTAAATGGTCAATCATTCCACAAATATTAATTATACTTTAAAAAATGTCTCATTCCAATGACATTATTTCCCTGCATGATTATCACGTGAGAAGGAGATCAGCGATAAACCTCTCCTGTTACTAATATTGGTCTTGCTCTTTCTAATATATCCATGTTTGGATCCAGTGTTCTTCCAAGACCTTCCAAGACGAATATTGCCAGGACAACTGCACTGAATGCCGATTCCAGGCGCACACGGTGCCGCAAAAGAATGCTCAGGACCTGCTGCAGAAGCATTCCCACATCCACCTGCAAAATAGGTGATAGTGGTTAAACATAACAAAGTTCTCTTTTTTTGTAATACTACTCATAAGAAGTTATGTTGTTAATTACATTTTGTCAGGCACCAACTTCTTAATTAACATTTTCATTTAATAAGTTGATTCCCAAAACATTTATAGATACAAAATAGGGTTTATAGTTATATTGGTAAAAAAACATGTCAAGTTCCTTTCCTTGCACCAATTTTAATACAGTATGCTGTTTCTGTTATACTTAAAAAACCTTTACCCATATATAATTTTTGTAAATATTTAAGTAGGTATCTAAGCAGTATATGGTAGCTTCCCAAGGCAAGATCCCTGGCTAGGAACTTGTAGGCAGGGCTGGCCAACACTGTAGTTACACAGTGGAGGACTTTTCACACTGTCTACGGTGGGTCATACTGAAGATAATTGTAATGATTGTGGTAGTGGTGGCTGCAAAATTTGTGGTACAGGTAGGTAAATTGGTTGGGATGGGAAAGTAGGCCTATCAGATAACTGATTGCATTATAGGAAACATATCATTTATGTACACAAAATATTAAACTGGTGTACAAATTTGACCAATAAACTGAAAATTACAGTATTTGCTGGCAATTCTGAAATCTGCCTCACACAAATTCTGAGGTAGTTCTTAAAAACTGATTTTGAGATAATGTAGCAGACCAAATAGCACCAGATACAAGGTGCTCTGCAAATCACTGCAGTCACAAAAAAATGCAACTTTAAAAATACAGCATTAAGATTATTAATATACAATAAAATTTTAACATGTTCACAGTCCATGTAGAAAATGAACATCATTAACCATTCTTGTTCACCTGCCAAGTAGCCCACCGTCATAATCATCTCACTCAATTTTGTAGGTTTAAAACAGATATTGATTTGTATGGCAACACATCTTGCACTGCCAGCCCTTCCCCATTGTTCATTGTTTTACAATGCATTGTGTATATATAAATAGCTATGTCAAAGTACATATATTATATAATATTTTTTAAGTCCAAAAACCTTGGTCTTGAAACATACACAACCAGGAATGCTCTGTATTGTTATGCTTTGTAACATATTTACTACCGGTTTCAACTGGAAACTTATACAGTACCCTGTATAAACAAGATGAAACTTTATGCATAAATGAAAGGATGCATTGTTTACACCATGTATTGAACTATAATTAGGTAGACACACTGCACAATTTTAATTGCAGTTACAGAATAATAAATACTTTACCTGCCCCAGAGAAATAGTGTTTTCTCTGGCAGTCTGCACAAGTTCTGTTATTTCTGTCTTGAAAGCATCTGGATCATGACACTGATGTTCACTATTATTCAAGAAGAGGTCTGCTACTGATTCACCCTGTAAGTATTTTAAACCTTTAGGAACAAAGCATCCACATAGACAACAAAATGCGAGTTGGATGTTTTACCTTGGGAATATTAGTTCTATCAGTCAGAATGTTAGTTACAATCATGCTGAAAAGTTTGTCATGATGGGAATATTGGTTTCCATCATGCTGGGATGGTAGTTGCTAAAATAGTGTAGTAGTATTTTTGTCCTATTATGTTTTGGAATGTTAGGTGCTATAATGAAGAGAATGATTGTTGCTACTATGTTGCAAATGTTATATACCATCATGCTGGCAAAAAAACAGTGTTGAATGTAATAAAATGGGTTCGTATCCTAACCGGGGAGGATTTACTGGGCGCAAATCCTTAACTGTAGCCTCTGTTTAACGCAACGCAACAGTAAAATGGGTACTAGGTTGTAACAACGATTCTTCGCGGCGGGGATCGTATTCCAGGGACCTGCCCGAAACGCTACGCATACTAGTGGCTGTACAAGAATGTAACAACTCTTGTATATATCTAAAAAAAAAAACTCTTTCTGGTAGGGCCTCAGTGGCTCCCTGAAACCATCGAGACAACTCCAGAAAATAATACAGTAATTAAAGAATACATTAATAAAACCTATCCCAAGATTTGTTACACCTTCATGTTTACAATAAAGAAGTAATGTTTAAATTTAGCTATCATGCTGTCAGTAGGCTTACTGTAGTGCACCAGTAACTACCAAAACTGTCCACACTGACGTACTGCTGTCATATACTGTCTATTGCACTCTACTAAGAAACAGTACAGTTGTTGATTGCCTATTGGCCAACTTCTATTACTATAAAAACATTTAGTTTGTTAAAAGTTAATGCATTGTAATAACTACAGTAATGATAATTTAGTATTATTTGATAATAAAAATTAGTCTTAAAGCATTGTATAGTATTTTAATTGCAATACATGACTTACCCAACCAACCTGTCACCTATTTGTCCCTCCATCCAACCTTCTTTGTCAGTCTTAGTCACATGCACTCTTGTCCCTGCCTCCTACCCCCAGCTGCCCTTACCTATTTAGTACTCACTCATATAACTTGTTCTTTACCTCAATGCTTTAAGCGGATATCTTTAAATGTGTTGTGATATTCACATACATTATAACCTAATGTCAACTGGCAACCTACTTCTGACCTCATACTGGATTATATTCCCAGCAAGGGCTCATGATGACCAGACTTCAACAACAGGTGAACTTACCTTCAGCTAAGTTCAATGTACGTGTAGCAAAGTCTCTGATCAGGCCTGCCGGTTGATGATTTGGTCAAACACGATTTTAGATGCTGTTGCATAATGTCTGACATATCAATTACAGCCAGGTTGATATGGTACTCTTTGGAGGTGTTTATCAACTTTCCCTTGAACACCAAATGATTTCGACTATGAATGCCTCCTATATTTAGAAGGAGGGTTTTGAAAGATCTTGAGCCCTTTATGTTTATAGAATTGCCCCAGAATACCTATTGCACACATACTTTTCAAGAGCTATTTTACTAATTTACAGTCTGCCATGTTTATGTGACAATATGAAAATAAGTTTAAAAAAAGCCTACTTAAATCCTGATGGATGCCTATGTTTTTTGGTAAACATAAATGCACTATAAAAAATGGAAATCCATTCCATGCCTGGTATGATATACAGTACTTCAGATTGTGTAATAACACTACACATTTGTGCTGGTGCACACAGTTCATGGATGCAAGCTAGACAGACTGTAGCATTTTTTTGCTAGTTTAATAATATAAAGCTAAATTTAAAGAGCTTGTTAAATTATTAGGAAATATGAATACTGTAGTAATAATGATAATTAACAAGCACATGCTGATAAAAATAGGGATGCCAAGAAGGAAAGTGATGCATGCTATAAGCCTCTGTGATAATAAAACCAACGAATGTTAAATGTACATGAAGTCTATGAGAAGCTGGGAATGGAGACTAGATGAATTCCAACAAAGCAACAAAGTTGGTTAATTCTTAGAGCTAAGATATGCATGACCCTACTTATACTTGAACATCTTAATGCAATGTGAAATTCCAAAATTCTTACATCTCCAAGTACAACTTGCTTAAATACAGCCTTTATGTTGGCTAGATTTTGTTCACTGAGTTTTGACACAATACCACAGTCCAAGAGGCAGATGCGCAGAGGATTTGGATCCGGTTGAACATCCATGACAAAAGTGTCACACCCAACATCCACCATTATGATGCGCATGGTGTCCCCAGTATTTAAGTTTGCACCTTCTTGACCCGTATCATTGTGCTGCACAAGCATATTGCCAGGATGCAAATCTCCATGAACTAGGTTGTCTACAAATACCTGTGAGAAAATACATGTTACACATTATTAATAGTGACAAATTAACCATTCAAAATTGTTTTATAATATTACTAATGCACCTAGTACTTTTAGAAAATATGATACAAATTCTATACAGTCAGTCATTTATAAAAAGAAAGATGAGGGAATTGTCCTGGATTTCTATCCTATACTCTTTATCCCCAGAAAACATTCATAAAGTTCAAGGAAATGGATGATGACCAAACCACACACCAGAAGATGAAGAGACGACGATGTTTCAGTCCGCCCTGGACCATATCTTATCTTCTTCTTGAGGTTATCTCGAGATGATTTCGGGGCTTAGCGTCCTTGAGGCCTGGTCGAGGCCTGGTCCTCGACCAGGTCTCCTTTATTGTTACACATCCCCAGGAAGCAGCCCATAGCAGCTGTCTAACTCCCAGGTACCTATTTACTGCTAAGTGAACAGGAACATCAGGGTGAAAGAAAGTCTGCCCATTTGTTTCCGCCTCCACCAAGGATCGAACCCACAACCTTAGGACTATGAATCCTGAGCGATGTCCACTCAGCCGTCAGGACCCCATTCAAATGCGTGGTCCAGTCGACGATAATGATCCAGGACGGACTGAAACGTCGTTGTCTCTTCATCTTCTGGTGTGTGGTTTGGTCATCATATCTTCTGTCATGTTATTGTGATTCATCGTCTTCAAGAAATGAATATTAATATGTGGCTTCCTAATGCAAGTTCTGCACGGCACTGTAATGTTGAATGACTTAATAAATACTGTAATGTTGTTATACAAAAACTGCTGGATGTATTTTCAATTGAATATGTTAGACAGGTGCGCAGTTTAAACAGTACCAAAAAATATTAAAAAATAAAAAAAATTGAAGATTAAACATTGATTTTATATAATGATTATGTAACATGGAAGAATCATTAAAACAAACTGCTTAGGAACAAGTAATGCATAAATTAAGACACAAATTACAAATAGAAATAATAAAATCCAGTACCAAGACAAAGAGGAAGTACTAAACAGGTATTTAAAAAAAAATAACATGATTGTATCTGTATGTATATGAGTACAGTACTGTATATGTATAATTTAATAAGAACTAAAGCAGCATTTACGTAAGAAATGGCAAAAAGATATAGGCAACATCAGGAAAATTCTAAGCAAGAGAAGATCTAATATCTGACAATTGTTGAATGTTATTCAGCTTTTTAAACTGTTAAAACACTGATAAAAATTTAACCGATTATATATACAAGTTTCCTGAGAATAATTACAAAATGTTTCAAATTGGGGTTATTTACTAAGTGTTTATGTGTATATTGAGCCCCACAAAGTACTAACCATTTTCAATAGCGCATCAACACCAATCTCAGCCAATCGCTTCTTTAATTCTTCTGATGTTTCTTCTTCAGTGGACCTAATAATGTTAATCATTGGCTCCCCATCCTCATATGTTTCCACCAATACCTGCCAAAAAATACTTGTGTGTATTTAAAATGACTGTCGGAGCTGATTAGCTTAAATTTAAGTCCTTGTTTTAAATATATAAATTTGATAACAAATATGGAGATAATAAGTAACAATAACATGGCCAAAAATTAAACACCCACCCTACACATATGAAAATAAAGAAAGTAGCAACATTTCAGTTCTTCCTGAACTATCAACAAGTCATCATTAAGTCACTGCATGATTTGACAAAGGTTCAGGATGGACCAAAACATCCCAAGGATTTAAAAAAAATTTACCACTTCCAGGACATCATCCTTCAGATTAACTGTATTTCACACAATTTAATTAGCTCTCCATCAACATACCTATACTTTTATCCAAATATAATTACAAAAATTATTTTCACAAATTACAAATCATGGATTTAAATACTGTAGTTAATCTTAGGTTCTAAAAATAAGGCTAAGGTATCAACACCTTAATGCCAGTTAATGCAGATCTTAAAGAGTAAGTAGTGGCAAGTATTCTAACAAGTCAGAACTGTATTTCAATCACATTGTTCAGCTAATCAACCATCCATTATTATGTATGCCAATACATCAATCCTTCACATTATGTAACCAAGTTAACAGTTTAGGCATTTATTCAATGTAACTAATGCATCCAGAATTCATCCAATAATGTCTATATCCCATCATTCATCTAACTACATGCCTGAGAAACTAAGGCTATAACATAAATAACAAACACTTTCAGTTAATGTAACTGGGATAGTGTTATGTTATTGCAGATCATATAATACATGGTCAGCAGCCTCCAGTCTCTTACCTTTCTGGTCACATATGGCCTTAATGGTCTGGGAAATTTAATGAAGGGAACTCCAGCAAAGTTTTCTGAAAATTTTTCCAAATTCTCAGCTTCTATCGATAGGTTGATCTGAAAGATTAAAGATTATACTATGAATATTTGTCACAATGGCTGACTTGCTTTCCTAGCCGACATATTGTTATTAAATTAAAATTTCACTACTAAATGATATCTAAGCAATGTGCAGATAATTGTTAATCAAGTTATAAAATTATCAAAAATGCTGCAACAACTATCATACACGTATGCACTCACCTGCGCTTCCATAACTTCAGCAAACTCATCTACACATTGAGGAAGGGAGAGCCACTTGATAGGTGGAAAGATTAATGTGATAAACCAGGCACAAGTCTTCATTAGCCACAGGTCTCTCCTGTAAGACCAAGTGTAGGTATAATGACTAAACACAAAAGCTGTACTATCATTAACAAGATACTAAGCAAAATATAAAAAATATATATGTATTTTTCAAATCTTTTCTTAAAAAATTGTGAACTCTTACAAGGTTATTTAAGGTAAATAACTTGGTCTTTCTTATATAATTTGTTCCAAATTTATAGGTTTTATATACTGATTACAATGGGTACTGTGCCTATGGTAAAGTGATTCGATCCTATGAACACCTTTTCGATATACTGCCCATGAAAGTGGGCAAAGTATATCGAAAGTGAGGGACTATGTAGTGTGACTATTTAACCTTCCACCTTCTCTTGTACCTATTCATATTCTTCACATATATGAAAATTTATGATATTACAAATTCAAGTCAACCAATGTACTTTGTATGCTGGACAAAACAACATGAGACCCTGGATATAGCCAAGTTTACCTGCAGGCTTCCTGTACACCTGGGTGAAGAACTTTAATGGCTACTGGCACCAGCCCATCCAAGTCATCTGGAGGGGCTTCCTCCACTGGCAAAGACTTGTCAAGACCACTTTCTTGCCACTCCTGTAATAAATAGGTTCAAGATTGATAAGTGAAAGGTACCACCCTTTCCCAGGCACGCACACACACGCTCAAATATATATATATAGAAAAGGTGCAAAGCAATGGCACTAAATGGCTCCCAGATCGAACAAAAAAAAAATGTTACAAGGAAAGGTTGAAGGTGCTAAAATGCCAAATCTAGTAGACAAGAAAAAGATGAAGTATAATCACTACCATACATACAAAATAATGAGAAGAATCAATGTAATAGAAAAAGAATTTTTGAAATTCAAAATCAAGAATGAGAAAACAGTTTCAAATTACAGAAACAAAGGTACCAAAATAACGAACAAGAATTCTCTTTCACAAACAGCTTTTTGACGGATGGAATAAACTATATGAAAAGGTGGTGTGTCCCGGCACTGCTGCAAGTTTCAAAACTTTACATAACAAAGACTAAGGAAAATGGGACACTATTAGCCTAGCTGTCATTCTGCAGCTACATATAGATAATTACATGCACATCATAATTAAACATATGAAGAAAAAAACCAGCGTTGAATGTAATGAAACGCCATTTTCTGGGTGAGACCTGGAAGCTCCTCGGAGCTTCCGGGGCTCCCCCCAGAAAGAGAATTTAAATCATGAATTATGTAGACTAATAAAGAAAAATAAGCAAATAAATTTATTCCCAAATGCTATATGACAAGAGAAAGCAAGAGAGGTTGACAAGAGAAAGCTGTGAGAGTGAAATCACCTCTACCAGGGAGTAAGTCGTCTCAGCTGGCTCCATGCTCTTCCCATCATTCAACACTTTAGGCTCAGGTGTTTGTTCTTCGCTGTTTAATACATCACTTGCTAAATCTTCTACTATAGACAACACACTAACTTCTTTATTCACCTCTGTTTCTCCCTCATGTTGTCTTTCACCTCCTGCAAGAACAGACTTTCTCAGACATTATGCCAACCTGAAGTGCAAACCACAATTAGATAATAAAACACTAAACATAATTAAATTTAGTGAATTCTCAGTATGTGTGTATCATGGATTCTAAAACAATCTCATCTATCACACACACATTCCATATGCACAATTCTTCACACAATAAAATATTTAATTCCTTTAACCACCGCACTGCGCAGAGCACCTTGAGGAGCTAGATCAGGGGTGCACAGAGCATAGGTATGGCGTAAGATTCAAAATGCCCGTGGCTACACAGGGTTCACATCAGCTTCCTCAGGGCTCTAGTAAACAGACATCATATTTTTTTTAAATCTTGGGCAACATTCCCAGGTGTGAGAGCCTCAGTACTGAGTGAGCAACCAAGGCTGGCGCACGCAGCATGAGCTAACAGCACTGCTGTTCAGCCTTTGACCACAGCATTGCCTAAAGTCAAAATATGTATGTAACTGGTATTATTTAGCCATGACAGTATTACAGAAGAGCCTGACTGTGATAAAGATTGTGTACAATGTTCAGATATCAGTGAACACAATGCTGTTCAAGATGTTCACAGTACTAGCCACAAAACACTGACATTGTTTGGTCCATCTAAGAATCTTGAAATGATTTCTCATTTTTGTGGCCACACTGTTGCTTGGACACCATACCAGCTTAGTTGTAGTTATTGTGAACAAAACATGTAGATACTTATATATAATGTGTGTAAATAGTGTAATAAAAATAATATAAGTATGATGGGAGGAGGAATGCGTGCCGACTGAGGTGGTGAAGGAGGGAGGGAGGTGGCGTCTGCTAGCTGCTGTGTCACGGCCACTCTTCTTGTTGTTTGGACTCATCATACCAACTTAGTAGTTCGTTATGGTGAACACATATGTAGATAGGTTTATACAATGTGTGTATATAGTGTAATAACAGCAAAAACACTGTTTGATTGATCGTAGAATATAAAATACATGTCACATATATGAATCTCATAATTTTGAGCATAGCAATGTTCCACACATTGAACTTTATAAATTCCACAAATTACACACCTTTGAATAATATTACAGCAAAAAAACAGAGAAGAAACAAATGAGAATCATCAAAATAACTGTAAAAAATTAAAATCGCAGCAACTGCCAGCCCACGGGGTAGCGGGGTCGAGTGACCCCGGGCACTCCATCGCTCAGTGCCCATGACTTGCTCAACTTCTCAGCTCCATCAGGGCTGAAGTATGTCACATACAATTTTATTTTTTTGTTTAGTTTCCCGTGATCAGAGACTGAATTTGAACAATACAAGATAAAATAATTTTTTACAAAGAATTTATTTTCGGCACACAACGGGAATGTCATATTTTAAGGCCGCGCAGCATGGTGGTTAATCAATCTCTCACATAATCTTGTATCATAAATATTTTGTAATTGATTAAATTATACGAATTCCTTTATACACACTTTTGCTCTTTAAACACTTTTGTCTTCAAGATCAACACTCGCTATGTTAACTTTGTAATATCATTTCAGCCACTGTAAAGATTCAACATATAAGAATTTATTTCAAAAACCAGTTACCAGCATAAAACTGCTGAGCCAACTGCTCTTCCTTCTCTCTCTCCTCTCTTTCTTGGTTCCTCTTCAGGTCCCGAAGCTCTCGCCACTCCCTCAAGGCAACAGCCTGTTCCAATTCCAAAACTTTTTCCGAACTGAAGAGTCTTCCAAATCCCATAACTTCAAGTCCTGGAAATTCAATCACTATCAGTGGGAGTAAGGTCACCCATTTACTTCTCCCACAGTAGTGCTTCCACACATGATCAGACACCAGTTTACACCTTAAAGTTCCTAAACTGTTGGATATGGTCCTAATTGTAAATAAACTGAAAGCAAATATATATACTGCATATAAAATAGTTTTGAATAGATTCATTTAGCAGAAATACAGTATTTATTTAGGATGCATGAATCAGGACTGAAATGATGCAGACAGTTGAGAGGAGAGTAGACTAATTAATGTTAAGTTAACAAATTGTGTAAAAATAAAGCACTGACTAATGAAATGGCCTTTTCTGGGTTACACCTCAGTAGCTACCAAAGCTTTAGTGCTCTGTTACTATCAGACCACAACTGACAAACCAGGCTTCTGTGACGAGCATTACCCACAGGAAGCAAGTGCCATCATCACACCAACTTCTCACTACATGAGGCAGGGAGCAAGATTGGATCAGATAAATCCGACTACCAAGGTGACCTACCCTTAAAATGAAAGTGTCCCAAACTTCCAAAACTTCCTTCAAGAATGTTTGGTAATTAGCCAATTCCAAACAAACCTCATTACACAGTTCTCAAATACAACATGTAAATGGATCAAGAATCTGCTAGGTGCAGGTGGAATGGGACCTATGGCAAAACCAGGTGCTGAATTAAACAGGGTTAATATGCATTTGTCAATGAAAAAGAGAGCAAAAACTGAGGTAAATACCTCACTATGGAGATGAGTACCTCACAAGCCCAGCTCAACACACATCTGTTCACCCCTAACCGACTCCCCCTTTGTAAGTGGCAAAGGACAGAAGATGGAGAGACTACACAAGTGTGAGAAAGTTACTCTACATTACTCTAATAAAATGGAGTAGATGGAGCTAGCATCCTTTAGCTATTCCATATGGTATCGCCCTGAACAAATATATGTGGCTCCCAAAATATTGACCAGAGCATTCCGCTGTTCAACATTTCCAGTATTTACTTGCTGAAATTCATCATGTGCTTATCCTGGAGTGACTTAGAACTTACACTTTATGAGATCAATAAACCACCCATACTCAACAGAAGATGTAAGAAAAACATGTGCATCTAGTAATGTTGCCGAGCGTTTGCCCAAAACGCTATGAGTATTAGTAACTTTAGGTATTGTATGTACTATCTCTATCTATAATATCCAACAGTATGTTTGTAACTCTGCATCTATGTATGTACTTTTCCTAAATAAAATATTATTAATTATTATTATTATTATTATTATGTTTGTGCACAATTGAAGCCCCCCTGGCTCCACCACCCATCAGAAACAACACTTGAAGTAACTCAGCCTTAGGAGCAGCAAAGCATTGATTTCAAGGGGGGCCCCCCCTACCATTATTGACCCATAATCCATATATGTTCACTGTTGTTGATGGCTACACTTGCTTCCTTTTTGCATTTCCAAGCTCTAACATGCACTTCAATGGGTCAATTGCCTCGAAGCGATATTTAGTCTATGTATGCCATGCTTTTTCCATTCAGAGGTACCTCCTTTATATCCCGGGCTTCAAAGCATACCTTCTTTTATTTTTTAGATATATACAAGAGTTGTTACATTCTTGTACAGCCACTAGTATGCATAGCATTTTGGGCAGGTCCCTGGAATACGATCCCCGCCGCGAAGAACCGTTTTTACAACCAAGTACACATTTTACTGTTGAGTTTAACAGAGGCTACAGTTAAGGATTTGCACCCAGTAAATCCTCCCCGGCCAGGATACGAACCCATGACAAAGCGCTCGCGGAATGCCAGGCGAGTGTCTTGCCACTACACCACGGAGACTGGTTCCTACTTCAAAAGGGTGTAAAACAAGTATCTACCATCCTACAGGTAGAATAGTACAATGGTATCACATTGAAGGCTATTTTTAACATTGAAGTCACATGATCAAACAGAACATTAAGAATTGATGCTCTCAGATGCATTACACTCAGTTAGGTCTCTTTTTATCTACAGTATTCTTACTAATACAACCCCACACAAGGTTATTCAGATTTCAGTGATGCTCAACTCCCAGTAGTTCATTGCCATCAAGTCTTAGAACCCTTGGTCCAATGCTACTTCAACATTTGTTTCGTCTAGTAAGAATGCCCCTCTAGAGAATGATCAAACTGAGCTCACTGATGTTAATCCAACTTGTGCTATCATTAGGTATGCAGACAGATGTTAATCTACAGTATCTTCACATGATTTGGAAACAAAGCAAGATGATGCAGAGTCTGATTACAAAAAACCAGCCCTCTTTAGTCCATGAAATAGGATAAAGGATAAGAATGATGGATTATCATATTACACATAGTATTCAAGGTTATGAATTACTGTGAGAGATATCCAGTGACGATGTTCTCTGGCAGACGCTCTCAGAAAGTTTGCGTGTGTCACCACCGCCTGATTATTTTGGCTGGGATTAGGATCATGCATTATAATTAGTGTCACAGTTAGAAGTTTATATTCAAGCTATCTGCTGTGTTTACATACCAATAGTGAACAATATCAAGGAGGGAATGTGATATTTTTAAATATTATAATGAATAATTCAGTTCACTGCATTCTCGTTTGCAAGCATCATTATATCAAATTGTTAACTTTCTGTATTTATTGTGCCTCACAGATTTACTCAGTTGCCTAGTTGTGTAGTATGCTGACATTTAGCAGCTTTAGCTACTAATCTTGGTTAGACCTAATGTGTTTTACTGTAAGCATGTACAGTATTTAATTACTGTATAAGGATAATTATAATGCCCTCTTTGAATTGTTACAACATTTGTTTTTGTATTATTTTAGATATGGAGTGAAATGAGCTTTCACTCCATATCTAAAAAGATATATAAAAAGTGGATGACTATAGTTGCTAAAGAAACCAGTGAGAAAAATAAGATGAGAGTAATTATATGAGTTATAAGGCAGTATAGATAGTCTTCATGAGAGCATTTAAATTCCTCACCTTCATCTATGCTGGGGCTATCATCATCCATTTCTGCAAGAATTTCCTCCAGAATCTCATGGTCAGGAATAGCTTCTGAGGACATCCATACCTTATAGACCTGAAGCACATTATTTGTAACAAGACTATTGTTTAACACAATTCAAATTCCTATTGACATATTACTAATTATTAATAAACTTCACTGTGACAATGACTGGCCATTACCTAACACTGTTCATCATAAAGAATGCTCTACCAGATTTAGAGTTGCCTGTAAATGAGTAAAAGATACCAATCCTATATATTTTATTTATATTGTTGTATTTTTATAAAATTTAAATTCGTAATATATGTATGAAAAGAAATGCATGCCTATGCATTACAATATAACTGGACCTGTTCCTTTTCACTAAGGACTTTTATTAGTGCTTTCATCTTAATACCTTCAAAATTGTTGTCCACATTTCTTCATGCTATCTTTATTTGATTAAATTCATTTTGTCAGTAATTTGTACTAGTTCTTTATTATCTTAGCATGGTAGAGTACTTATTTGTTGTTTCTTTGGAAATAACCTCTACCCATATTTCTTTCAAGTTTTGTTCTTTTTAATGACTGAAGTATGAATTATGTAAACCATGTTTTGCTTAGCCTTTTGGTGGTAATATTAGTAAGAATGGGACAGTGCATATTACTAATATTACCATAATTACTAATATTACCAGTGCATAATTACTAATATAAGCTGTGTGCTCCATCAAGAAATGTTTGCATCCCTATGTTAATTTTGTCCATGCTACTAAGTTCAATCACCCAGTGATTGAACTTAGTAGCATGGACATTACTGTTCATGGGGCTTTATTGTGCATTCTGAAGTTACTGTATGACCCATCAAGCATGTCTGAAAAGATCTCCCCTGCACCGGTGCAGTGTGTCAACCTCAATGCAAACCTTGTTTAAAAGAGCATCCTACAGTGTTATAACTCAGAAAAATGGAGAAAATAATTTGGTTAGCTTACCAGGACTAGCTAAAAACTATTTTTAATAATTCAATAAAATGTTTACAGGGTATGTTCATCTCCTAACAGCTTTTACCTATTTTAAAAGAAAACTGGCCTGATCTGTGTATGCAGTACAATAGTGTATAAGAATTAAGACAAACAGAATTTAAAATACAATTAGAAGCCTAACTTGAACTCACCTGTGCAGCACAACCAGATCCAATTGGTTTACAATCATTATCAAATTTTATAAAAATCTTTCTCCAGTTTGGACCAAAAGCTCTTCTCATTTGATTCACTGTGTGTTTCCATGAATGTGGTTTGACCCGTCTCTGAAGGCGAGAAAATTGGGAACAACACGAGTCAGGAAAAAGGTCCCGCCGAGTAGATGCCCATTGACCAAGCTTGATTAGGATAGGACCTGACAGTTCTATGGCTGAAATATTAGAAAACAAAAAAATGGCATTTAGGAAAAAAAATCTGAGTAGATCACTCGGTAGATCACCAAGATAAAATCTGTTATGTTTGTATAACAGGATCATGAAGAGACATGGAAGATCTACTTTCCAGTATCAGCAGCATGAAACTGAACAGTCATTCCCAGAGAGCTACAGTATATTATGGGTGTGGAGCTGGTAGTTTGTAGTGCCAACTGATAGTTGGTATGAGGACAAGGAGGACTTAAACATTTTTTTTTTAATGAACCTTCCATACATCATTTAGTACTATAGTACTAGACAATGTTCTTCAATGTCTACCTAGCACCAATATGACCTTACATGAGTGTTTACTGGATTTTCAGAGGCACTTCTGCTAGAATGTCAACTTGCTGACTTACAATCCTGTCCTACACAGTGGATTTTACCTCGATGAGACATTGAGTAGAAAAGCTCAGAAAGAGAGAACTTGAAACTGTACACAAAATACAATTAATGTGCTCAAACTTCTCCCTCTCAATAGGCACTAATTTCTTGTAGCGAGTTAATAATACTCACAGTGAGTGCACAAGAGCCAGTACTGACAAGATCACACATCAGACCTGTATCTTTAAGCCAGTTGATGTTGAGAAAATGTGATAATTTAGTTGCACATAAATCTGCAATATTGTTTTTATCATAATACAGCTCAAGACAAAGTTAACCCTTTCAAAAGGTAAAGTTCAACTTAGCAGAATAAAAAATCCTAACTACATAAGATCTATAGTTAACTAGGAAAGACCTGTATATGAACCAAGTGGCAGGAGTTAGGCAGAAACAAAGAGGCCAAGGAAACTAATGCTAAGTTTGATGAAATACTCCTTACTCTACTGTATTTAGTGATCATATGAAAAAATAACAAATTCTAAATACAGTAATAAAAATTAAATACTGTATTGCACAGTCTTACCTCTTAACATTAGTCTCCACCAGACATCAGTAGCAGTCTTTCCAAAATATGTAACTGGGTAGAGGGCTAGAATTGGAGCAAATGTAAGGACAAGGCGAAGTGCTCGAAGACAAATGTGCAGAATCTCGTACATACTTAGCAGCAGCTCAAACAACTTTCCTCTTTTCTTCCTCTTTCTCTCTTTGGGAAGCTCAACAGCGATGATTTTCTCTTCCTTTCGCTTACTGAATAATTGAGGTGAAACAAAGAACATAGATCCCAAACTTATTTGCTTTAATCTTGTTCTTTGACATACCCAACCTTTAAACCTAGAAATCCTCTGAAGAACATTAACAATTTTATTGTATGTTCCTTTCCTTGTATTTCTGCAAGAACTCCTTAAATTATAAAATATTTTTGAGCCAATTTCCTTGTAACTTCCTTTGACCTGCATATATATTGTATTCTTCACTGGCATCCACAAGAGATTTACTTTATGTGGTGAATACAAATGCTGGTAATTTACAATTTTTGAACATGTTGATAAAACGTTATTGTACAAGGAGGGAGCCAAGGTACAGTCTTGAGTAACATGTGCATACATTGTCAGGGAATCTTTTCCACATGCAGTTGGTTTCTGAGGGAAATGTACCCTTCTCAATCCAGAAAGGACACTTCTTACAACAGTATGAACAGCCATCACTGAAGGATTTAATCTGAAAGAAAAAAAAACTACATTATAAAAACATTGTAATTTCCTACTTTCATGCTGTGAAGAGGCATCATCCTACAAAAAAAACAAGAACAGGTGATACCCATTCTATTACCATATGTTACAGAACAACACAACAGAGAACCAGCAACTCTACACTCCAGGAAATCATGCACAGCAACATCTTACTGCTTCACAGGTCTTGGTGAACAGGGAATCTTGTGAGTTACCTGGCCTTGCTTACTACCACTTCTCGTGTGATGTTTACACTCTCAATACTGTATTAAACAAAATTTAAATTGAAGTAGCCAGGCATTTTAAGTGAATTCATTTGAATAATCAAGGAGTTTGGACCAGATTCTGCTATGTAATAAGGAAAAAACATTCTTTCATTCACAAACATTCATTGTGACCCCATCACCACCTGCCCAGCATACTTGTGACCCCATCACCACCTGCCCAGCATACTTGTGACCCCATCACCACCTGTCCAGCATACTTGTGACCCCATCACCACCTGTCACTACAGTAGGGACCACACCACAGTAAGGACCAGGAGCAAAGAACCAGAGCTCAACCCCCGCAAGCACAACTAGGTGAGTACCACCGCCTCCTGCCCACATCACTCATGGCCTCATATACCTCCCGCTCACATTATAATCTCCCTATATATTACTTAACCTCAGTATACGCAGCTGTCAACTCCTCGTAACATTATAGCAGTCAGACACGGTCAAAAGCGCAGGAGACACCAACAGTGCTGTTGTAAATTGACCCAAATGGCCACTCTCTCATTCCCTGCCACAAGATTAAAAAACATTACAGTACACTGCTCCCAAGCCACATTCGATGTAGAAGGCACAAGATAGCTTCTTTAAAAAAATTAATAATATGGATATTAATTAAATAAAACCCCAAAATAAACGTGTCTGCAGAGAGAAAATTATCTTTAAGGAGATAATTTGAGTACTCACATTCGGACGAGGTGAGCCTCTGTTTACATTACTGGTAAAAGTACTGGTAAAAGTACAAGTGCTGTACTTATGGTGGAACCTATTGTTGATGTAACAATATACATTAAATTTTGTAACATGCTTATCAATAGTGTAACTTGCTTAGCCAAATGAATTTTTGGGTTCAGTCCGAGCCCATTATGTGTCTCTGTAACCCTTTCCGCTACCGCCCAGTGTAACATTTGCATACATCGTCAGAGAATGAAACAAAAGATTATTGATGTGTGTATTTGTGTGGGTGATTAGATATGTATGTGTATGTATATATGTATACGTATATATATATATTTACATGTATGTATGAGAATGTGTACATGTGTATACAACATTAATAATTGTGTAACTAGCGTCAAACATTGTTATTTGCTAAGCTAAACGAACTAGAGGGTTCAGTTCCTGAACCGATTATGTGCCTCTGTAATCCTTTACACCACCGCCCACGGGATGGGTATGGGGTGCATAATAAAGAAAGAAATTGGAATTGGGCAAACGGCCGAATTCAGACATAATTTGTAAGAGGACAGGATACCCTTCACCCGAGTGCTCGGCTGTCATAAGTAAAACTTGGACAGGTTTCAGGAAGGGCCTAATGACTTCCTGATTTCAGCTGAAATCCGGTTGTATGATTTCTACAGAGTCTATGGTGATACAGTGATAGAGTATGCGGCTGGCAATTCCTTGGTCGCAGGTTCGCATAATCTCATAGCCCAGTGGATTTTCTCATTTATAATAATTATTAATTATTATTTATTAATATCGGGTCAAAAAATAAATTTGTTGTGTTGATTTAGGGGCGAAAAATAAATTTGTAGCTCCACAAGTAATAAGCTGGGCTGGTTGGTTGTTTTCCACCAGCTCCACTGCCATTTTCTCTGATATCCGCCAAGTTGTGGGGGATACTGAAGTCATTACGGTTTACTTGTCTATTCTCAGGGTTTGGGTATTTTTTTTTTTTTTACTGCAGCTTTCACTTGTTGTGCAACTTTCAATGACAGGTTGATTCTGACTCCTAGGTAATTTTCTTCTTCAATCTGCTGCGATGCAGTGTTGTTGACTTCATAGTTGTGATGAGTATTGTTATGACTTTTTTTGTATTTATATATATACAAGAGTTCTTACATTCTAGTATAGTCACAAGTACGACCCCGCGAAAAATCGTTTAACAACCAGGTGAGCATCATATTAATGATTGTCCTGAGAACAGGTTGCATTATAGGTTATGAACATAGGTTGTATATTCTAGGCCTATCTAGAAATCCAACATTCTGTTTGTAACTCATTTTGTATGTATTTACTTTTACCTGAATAAACATTATTATTATTATTATTATTATTATTATTATTATTATTATTATTATTATTATTATTATTATTATTATTATTATTATTATTATTATTATTATTATTATTATTATTACTATTTGTTGCCCGAAACGCTATGCATGCTAGTGGCTGTACAAGAATGTAAGAACTCTTGAAATATAAATAAATAAAAATGATTAATTATACGGCTCTGTGCTGCAGGTGCCCCTAACCCAGTAACAAAAACATCAACAAAAGGAGCACGTGGCAACCCGCGCGCCTCACTCAGGGTTCAACTTTTTCAACCTTCGGACGTCTCGGGTCTCTTGGACTTTGTGACGAGTTTTTACCATTAGATCTCAATAATACCGTCAGATGTGCCTTTTCAACGGCTCAGTTTAGGTTAATTTAGTGTTTTTTAGGAATTAATATTGATGTGGACATTTGGCGGTGATGAATTTACCTGAGGGCACCATCTAGTTAGTGCCTTCTCGGGATGACAGGAAGCTGGCGTCTTGTCACAGATCTCATCCCCAAATTTTTCCCTGAGGATTTTTTTCAACTTGTCACAGATCTCATCCCCAAATTTTTCCACTGAGGATTTTTTTTTCAACTTGACTTTGAACTGCAGTAATATCTTGCCAGGACTCATCCAATCCCTCAATCGTCGTCGTCTCTCAACCAACAACATATGTTGCCATTATGGCTTCGGCAGGTAGGCAGTTTCATGAATGTTTAGCCATATGGGTGAAAACCATTTGTTTTCTGTCCCACATTGTGGTTTGTTAAGCTTGAAGCTGTTAACCCCTGTATGTGTAACAATTGACGTTTTAAAGACATGGTCTGGATTAATATCCTCAAATTTGTTAATTTTTTTTTAAGTTTCATTAAGATCAACCCTTTCATGTTTGGTTTGCAATGTTAGTTTTGTGGCCCTTGACTGTTCCTGGTACAAGAGTAAACTTAGTTATGGGATGAATTTAGTTTAACTTTCTCCAAAACATATACAGTATATATGTCCTTCTGAAGAAGAGGTTGCCATGTTTGGATACAGTAGCTCAGAAAAAATGGAGAGATCTTTGACAAGCCACTGTCTTCCTTTCCCTGTTGAAGCAACTAGAAATTGTGGCCCTCAGGTAAATGGGGGCAAACATTTAATAACCACTTTCTTTTCCTTGAATGTAAAGGCTCATTTGACTATTCTTATTGTTTACTTATTTTTGTTTTTGTTTTGCATCTTCCACTTGTTGTTCAGCTTTAAGACTGGGGAATTCTGATTCCTTAGTCCTTTTCTTCATTATTCTGCTGCATGGTAGTGTTGTTAGTTTAATAGTTGTGATGTGCATTGTTGTGCCCTACATGCAAGGTCTTGTGTTTTTCAATATTAAAAAGTATTTGAAAGTTATGCTAACATTTGTGGAGTTCATGTAGATCTCTTTGTAAGGCTCGAGTATAATATTTGCTACCAACTTTTACTATAGGTCATGGGGTCATCTCCGTAATGGTTTCATAAATAATTATTATTTCATAAATTATTTAATTGTTAAATTGTCATAAATTATTATTATTATTATAATTATTATTGTTGTTATTATTATAATTATTATTATTATTATAATTATTATTATTATTATTACTACTGCATTATTATAATTATTATTATAATTATTATTATTATTTTTATTTTATTTTAGGAGCAGTCATTCCAGTTCTATCATTAGGCAATGATGGTTCAACTGCCTAGAGTTACATGATGCCTTATCTGGAGTCGCTGGGTGTTAGTAGTCTTCTGCCTAGTTCTCTGTGGGATATGAGGTTTGGTGGTCACCTTCCTGGGGAGTTCTCTGTGGGATATGAGGTTTGGTGGTCACCTTCCTGGGGGATGCCATGGGTGGTGGCCTAGCATTTGTCTCAGTGTTTTTTTGCTATAAGACACATTAGTTTTCTGCCAACAAGCCACAATTAGCTGGAAGGCTTTGTATTTTCCCCTTCAGAGGAACATTGGGGCACATCAGTTCTTATGCCATCGTGACCCATAAATCAATATCATCCATCCATTCATTACCGCAATATGCTCACATCAGTATTAATTCCAAGAGGCTAAAATTACCTCACAACACCATTCGTACAGCTTTCAGGAGAAAACCTAAATGCAAATGACACACATTGAATAATATACCAGTGTGGATTATCTATTTAAAAATGGAAGTCTTCGATTCCATAATGAACTTGTTAATTGAGTGGAACTTGTGCATTTTAATGTTTATATTATATTGTGTGATAATAAGTCTGGGTGGAGTTTTAGTAAACTTTGTAAGGGTCAGCATTCCCCTGCCAAACATTTTCCTGCAGGCCTTCAAGTTTGGCAAGATGGCTCATACAGGTCACATAAATGCACTTGTTACTCACCTAGAAGTTCCAAAGAGGTAATGTTGGTGCTAATCACCTTGTGGTTTGCTCAAAGTTTCTGTACCTTTCTCAACCCATTTAAGAGAGAAACTAAGGCATATCTAATTAACATTGTGAAACAAATTTGACTCGTCCTAAATAAGTAAATTTCTTTTCTGTTATTTTGAATATTAAATGCTATGTCTACTATTTTTAAAGCTTCAGATTCTTTAATAAATTTGTCTATTCTTCCTCCTCATCACCTTAAAATTCATATATCAATTGCTAAATTTCTTGATCAATGCATATACTGTATGTTAATATTTAGAATCGAGGGTTAACCCCATTAGACTTAATGAATTGACCAATTAATTTTAAGATGTGTCCTAAACACATTAGATATTATTTAATATGCAATCTCTGTACCTACAAATAAACCACTGAAATATGTTCTATATATTTTATGAATACAAATATTATTATTATTATTGATACCTGTATGGTGGTATATTTTTTAATAATTTATAAAGGCTGTAATTTCTGTCTTCCTATTTTCCCTAGCTATTTGTATATACAGTATTTCCTTTTTAACCTCCTCCATCTAATCTGTGTTAAATCCTTTTCCTGTTGAATATATATATACCTAACTTTCCACATTGGATACAATTGTATAAATCTCTGGTGCAGCCCCATTTGGATTACTGTATCCAAGCATGGAGACATCATCTTCAGAAGGACATAGCTGCTCTGGAGAAAGTGCAACACAGGGCGACAAAAATCATTCCAGAGCTAAGTCATCTCTCGTAACAGGAACGGTTAAGGGCCACAATTCTAACAACACTGTAAACAAAGCATGACAGGGCAGATCTCACTGAAACTTTTAAAATGCTGAACAATTTGGAGGATGTTCATCCAGACAATTTCTTCAAAAGGTCAAATGTAACACAAACAAGGAGTAACAGTTTCACGTTCAACAAGCCACAATGTAGGACTGAGAACAGGAGATGCTTTTTCACCTTCAGGGTTATAAACTCGTGGAACTGCCTACTCACCAAAGCCATAAATGCCAAGACTATGTTGAATTTCAATATCCAAAGGAAAAGATTATCAAGGCAAATGGGGGGGGGGAACCTTTGACAACCCATCAGCTTCCTGTCCTCATTAAACAATGCAAGGAGGTATACAATGGGAATTGCACTGAAAGCTGAAGTGATAAAACCCACCTCTATCACAAACCTGCTTTTGTATGATAGTGCACTAGAGCAGTGAATGATATAAAATGTTTTTAATAGTAATAGCTAGGAGAGCCCAAGAACCAGATCTTGCTTCCTATTGACACTGGTAAAATACATACACACATGCTACAAAATTATAAAAAAGTCTTGAGAAGTGACCCAAGAACTGCAGTGGATTGGTGTGTAATGAGATACAAGTGTTGTGGTAGAATGTTAACCTGCGTATCCAGTGATGTGGTTGCAAGAACAACCATTCAGACCATATCCAGTGATGTGGTTGTAAGAAGCATTATCATTAAATTATAAACTTCATCATAATTTCATTGTGACATGCAGTTATAGCCAATGAAGAACACTTCCATCCACTAACTTTTTTTAATACGCTTTATGAGATTTTGTATGCATATACAAAACTGTATATGTATGTGAGTACACATAAACACGTGTACTCACATACATAAATACTAAAGAAATTGTTCACGACTTGTTAGACCAAAGCTGTAATATGCAGCAGTTGTATGGTGCCCATATTACTATATGCCCATAGAAGTACTAGGACCAAACTCTCACAAGTCAAGCCTGGCCTCGGGCCGGGCTTGGGGAGTAGAAGAACTCCTAGAACCCCATCAACCAGGTATCAACCAGGTATATGTAAAGAAGCACATCAACAAACTGGAAAATGTGCAAAGACATGCCACTAAGTGGCTCCCAGAACTGAAGGATAAGAGCTACAAGGAGAGGTTAGAGGCATTAAATATGCCAAAACTAGAAGACAGAAGAAAAAGAGGTGATATGATCACTACATACAAAATAGTAACAGGAATTGATAAAATTGATAGGGAAGATTTCCTGAGACCTGGAACTTCAAAAACAAGAGGTCATTGACTTAAACTAACTAAACACAGATGCTGAAGAAATATAAGAAAATTCACTTTCGTAAACAGAGTGGTAGACGGTTAGGTGAGAAAATGGTGGAGGCCAAAATCATCAGTAATTTCAAAGCGTTATATGACAGAATGCTGGGAAGACGGGACACCATGAGCTCTCATCCTGTAACTACACTGAGGTAATTACACATTCACAAGTAATTACATGTGAATACTCGCCTAGACATGCATACATGGTCAAGTGTCAGCTCTCAAGCCTTGCCTTTACATACAATATGTATATGTTTGTATTTACTTTAGTTATGTAAGAAGTACTAGGCTATTGATTACATAATATAACAAAGTATAACCTAGCCTAGTCTTATACTCTAGCTCATCAAGAAAGTCCAGATAAGTATGGAAAGCTGGAAGGTGCAAATTATAAATGGGGTGAGTACTAGTGATACTAATCAGAAAATTTTATATACAGTATAGCTCGCATATTTAATGCATTAATTTATATATTTTCAGATGGTTTGCTCATTTTTATATATCTGCCTCTGTGATAGTGACAGTGGCCTTAGTACAGTTGTGGAACTTGTATGTACTGAGGGTTCCTCTGCCGCCATGGGTCAGTGTTACTCTGGATGTTCTCACTACACCACACAGGAGACCAACAGGTATACCATTCTCTTCTGCATTTTGTGTTTAAAATGAACTTTGAGTAATTTTTCTAGGCTCTTGCCTCATTAGCTTGCCTAGCTTGTAGTACCGACCACCTCCAGAACACTGGGATCATGTTAGGCATTGCACGACGTCCGTACCCACCAGAGACAAGGACCCTCTCAAGTTCTGTCATGGCACTGCAATGTGGCAAGAAGTTTGTAGAGGTCAGAGATCAGTTGACAACTGAGGCAAACTGCCAGCTCTTTTGGGTGAGGTTGTTTGTTAGTCAGCCCTGTCTTATGTCCATGGTCTGACTCTTCCAGGGAATCCGTAAGTATTCACCTCGGCCAGCTGGCTCTATATCCCTGCTCTGATGATGTCTCTTAAGTTTGCTGCTCTGATGGTTTTATTTGCCAATATGTCTGCAACTAATATCTGGCTGTGGGGCTTTTGGCACTCGAAGAAGTATCACTTAAGCATTTAGCATACATCCGACATTCTTCTGCTCCAGGTCTTCTTCTTCGACTGTCTTCTCCCACAAACAAACCCTGGATTCATTTTTTTTTTGTTTACTAATTAAGAGTATTTTCAGAAATGTTGCCATCTCCCACTGAGGTTCCATTATGAAATAGTTTTAGCATTACTGTGGGTGGGGGTTGGGTGGGGCCTCCCAGAAATCAAGCACTGAATATATTGTTATGCTCATTTCTGGTGGGGCCCTCAGAATGTTCCCATCATTTTCACTTCTTTACAGGTGCATATTTGTTTGTCTAAGCTTGCCTAAGCAACTTGTGAATGAGAGAACAAGCTGGTGGGGTCTCAAGATGATCAGGGCTGCAGCCTGGTTATGAGCAGGTGCAGCACATAAATAATTGCTTTGCAACCTTGATGTGCCTAATTTTTTTAGGACAAGCTTTAGCAGAAAGCTCAAGACCTTTAGTCATTGAAGCCTTGGCAGAAAGCCAAGGACTTTCAACCAACAAAGCTTTAGCAGAAAGCTAAGAACCTTCAATCAGCAAAGCCTTAGCAGAAAGCCAAAGGCCTTCAACTAGTGAAGCCTCAGCAGAAAGCCAAGGACTTTCAACCAATGAAGCCTCAGCAGCTGGCAGTCAAAACTGACATTGCCAAGCTCATATACAGTAGTTTTAGTGTTGTGTTAGGTTAAGTTAGGTAAATGAACAACAATGAAGCCCTTCATTAAGAAAGCTGATGCACTCCAACAAGGTAAGTTGAAATTTCATGTTACTGTATTGTCAATAAATTATTTGACCACTGTATGTACTGCACATGAAGATTCTCCCCTAACCATGTCAATTTATGTTTAAATTTGGATGTTGAGATGTGAATTATGTATGTAATGTATGTGGAAAGGTGAACTATATTGGTTGTGGTACAAATATAACTATGAATATTAATTTTTAAACTTTCTTGGTAAAAAATTTTGCTAACTCTGATGTGGGTGGACTGCATATGATCCAAATTATCGAGGATAGACAATATTAATAACCTAATATTCATTCTAGTTTAGCATAAGGGTCTTTGTTGTGAAACAATAATAAATGAAAAATCATTGCATATAATGAATACAGTGTACAATACATGTACTATACAGGGAAACCTCAATTCAACGATCCTTGATTCGGCGAACCTCCAGCTGGACTGCATACTTTCCAGGTCAGATTTACTCACCCAATTCCACGAACAAGAGTCCATTGAAGTGGGGGATGTGTGGATTTGCTTAGAATATTGGGACAGAGTTTGCAGACTGATGGAGGAGTTGCCCATCATATCAAAGGTTAAAATTAAAGATCCCCTTAGTGGAATCAGCCCATAGAGCATGGGAAATATGAGGGTATGAATGGTAACTGTTAATAGGGCTGCAATCACCTTTTTAATGTTTTCATAGATGGACATAAGGCTAGAAGAAAGAGTAGGGGGCCTTGGGGAAAGCTATTGAGCATATTTCAAACCAAAAGCTATGATTTGTTTTCATTTTAAAATTTCCTGGTTTTAGTTCACAAATATGGGCCTGTTTTCCTCGGGAAATAAGGTTTTGAGGCATGGGTGTGGGAAATATGCTATATGTTCTTTAATTTTTTTACAGATAAGATTTCATGGTGACTGTCCTTCATATGGTAGGTTGAAATTATAATTTTGCTAGGTGAAATATTAAGGTATTAATGGTAACTCTGCTAATATGACTCCAATCATGTATTTAATGATTTTCATAGATGGATGTATCATTAGAAGAATGAGTTGGGGTTCATCTATGGATTGTTTTAATTTTTGAGATTTCGCAGTTTTTGTTCACAAATATGAGCCTCCTAGAGGTATCTCTGGTGTCAATGAATTCCTCATTGCAATAAACTGGGGTTAATCCCATATAGTTCTTTGAATTGAGGGTGCACTGTATTATCAAATTATGATTACTTAGTAATTTTCTGTCTTATATATTAATTATATGGACTAACAGTCTATTTACTTGCAGTAAATGCTACTACAGCAGCCTTGGGTATCATTCTACTGGCCATCCAGATATATAGACGACTGTATGAGAATCTCTTCATCAGTGTGTTTAGCTCGGGGCGTATAAATATACTCCACTACATTGTTGGCCACACACATTACGTAGGAGCTGTGGTTCTCCTGTTATCTCAGGCTCCAGGTTTTGATGGTGCAGGTGTGTAATGTTTTCATAACAATAAGAATTGTGAAGCAAATTATGTACAATAGATGTTTATACATAACACATGAATATACAGAACATTATTTTGGGGAGCCCCCCTTCCTCTCCCTCAGTAACTTTTTGGAGTTTAAGTGTAACCAAGCCTACAAGTTTGCACTAGGCTCCCAAGACCCACACTGATCTAATGTGAACCAAGGCCAGAAATTGGCTCTCTCTGTGATACAAGGGTAACTGAGAAAACCCCCACCAGAAGGCTAGGCAAAACAAACATGTGACTGCTTGAAAGAAAGACATGAACTCTGAGGCAAATAAGGTAACCAATTAGTACTATGAATGAATAACCTTAACCTTAATATGCCTGGCCAAAGCCAGATGGCATCTCGTTACCTGGAACCCTGGCCAGCTGTCTACCTCAGTTGTGAGTTTGGTGTAATCCAGTTTGGATAACTGCAGGGACACCTGCGTTGCTTCACAATTCATTGCAGTGGTGTTGGCTATGTCTGGAGCCCTCCTTTCCTTACGATGCGGGGTCATTGCTTTATTATTTGTTCCTTTGTGCTTCATGATTGGGTTTCGTGTCACCCACATTGTGTGTTTCATGGGTTCTTATTTTACTCTAACTGTGAACTAAGGTTGTATTTCCTGGTGGTTAAAGATATTTTCTCTGAAGGGTTTGTCCTTAATCCTATGTTCCCTGGAATACAATCCCCGAAAAATCGTTTAACAACCAGGTACCCATTTTACTGTTGAGTTAAACAGAGGCTACAGTTAAGGATTTGTGCCCAGTAAATCCTCCCCGTTCAGGATACGAACCCCGGACAAAGCGCTCGCAAAATGCCAGGTGAGCGTCTTAACCACTACACAGAGACTGCTGTACTGTAATCATACTGGTTTTAATTTAATATTGGCAGTCCCCGTGGTATAGTGGTTAAGACACTCGCCTGGCGTTTTATGAGCGCTTTGTCCTGGGTTCGTATCCTGGCCGGGGAGGATTTACTGGGTGCAAATCCTTAACTGTAGCTTCTGTTTAACTCAACAGTAAAATGGGTACCTGGTTGTTAAACGATTTTTTGGGGGTCGTATTCCAGGGAACATAGGTTTAAGGACTTGCCAGAAACACTACGCGTACTAGTGGCTGTACAAGAATGTAAGAACTCTTGTATGTATATAAATAATAATAAAATAATAATAATATTAAATTGGTTTTTCTTTCTCATTTCAGAACAACACATTTCTTTCACTGGTATTGAATTTTGGCAAATTGTAGGAACCATAATATGTTTCTTCGGGTTTGCCATCCAGAACAAAAGTCTACGCATGCTAGCTGCCTTAAGAAGAAACCATGGTGAGACATTTAAGGGAGAGAACATCAATTGTTAAGTTGCTAGAAAATGATCTAGACAGGGTGTTAAGGGAGACTAGAAGCAGGATAGAAGGCTAGGTTTGGTATTGTTCTGAAGATCGTGCATTTCAGAGCTATCACCGATTGAATGCTGCTACTTGTCTCTAGATGCAATTGGTGACAATCATAGATCAATATTAAACACCAAATCCGGTGGGGAAACCTTTTCACCTACAGATTGGATGATCACACTGATGATAGATAGACACTAGAGAATACTGTATTCAATCCAGTCCAGGATGAATAATAAAAAGTGCCATAAAACATGAAGGTCACCAAGCTGTACCCTATCAACCGATTAAGTTAATACAACCAAGTGCCACCAGATGACACTGCCTCACCACAACATTGTTTCCAAACTATGATGACTCCATATTGGAGGATGAACATTTATATTCATGGGTCAAGATCTAAGGCTTTTATGACTCGTTTGGTGAGCTGTGCTAATGGTAATTAATATTCATGCATTTACTGTGTAACTGATTATAATTATTATAAATTGTAATAAATTTCCACACTTTTATGATCAGGAACTGTGGAAATCCAGGGTTGAGAGTTAGAGAAAAATACTAGCCAATTATGCTAGCAGAGTGACTTGTTTGAATGGTGTTCAACTTTTAATTGGACAGCTTGATGGGAAATGATAAAGTTTACTGGTTCATTTCTGATGATCTTAAGTTCTGAGTGTTCCATGTTGCTGCTGAATGTGGAAGGTAGTGTACAATGTTGGGTGTATCATGTTGCTGCTGAGTAATTACCAAAGTGTAGTTACAGGATGAGAGCTACGCTCATGGTGTCCCATCTTTCCAGCACTCTTGTCATATACTGTAATGCTTTGAAACTACTAATGGTTTTGGCCTTTGGAGTATGGAAGATGGTGTGTAATGTTGGGTATCCTATGTTGCAACTGAGTGTGGAAGATGATACTTGCTTAGTTGTGTTTGTGGGGGTTGAGCTTCAGCTCTTTGGTCCCGCCTCTCAATTGTCAATTAACTGGTGTACAGGTTCCTGAGCTTATTGGGCTCTATCATAACTGCATTTAAAACTATGGTGTCTGCCTTCACCGTATCTCTTCCTAGTGCATTCAGTTTGTTAACTTTGACATTGCAAAGCTCTTTCTAGTGTCTCGAGCTTATTTGGGTATTCAGTTTACACTTCTTCCCCCTTATGGTGTACAGTGTTGGGTATCATGCTGAATATCATTAACTCTTTTCATTCATTACTTTCCAAATCTTTGCTGGTTAGAACCACTTCACTCTTTGAATGTGGGAAATTGGGTAATGGTAGTGAAGAAATAAATCAACTGATTAAATTTTGTGAAAAGAATTTTATGGTTAAATTTTAAACTTTAGACCATACAACTAACTGTTGATTAATAATAACTTGTTCCTTCAGGAAAAAAAATGAAGGAGAAGTATATGATGCCACAGGGAGGACTGTTCGAGGTGGTGTCATGTCCACATATGTTTGCTGAAGTTGTGGTGTATGTGGGTATTCTTGTGATCCTGCGAACGCACATTGGCTGGAGTGTTGTCACAATTTGGGTTATTTCCAACCAGGTGAGTGTTCCTATTTTAGTGAGTGATTATCAAAAGGCACCAGTCCAGGAAAACTTGTGTAGCACCAACTGTGTCACTGGATATTCAAACAGTACTAAATATCACTCGAGATGCCAATACAAGAACAAAAGGATGAAAGGTGAGTGATATCAGAGTTATCAAATTCACCAAGGATTCTACTGAGGAACAAATGACCCCTAAAGACATTTGGAAAGCAAGAAATATGATCATCCAAAAAAACTGGGTCATTCTGCGAGGAGGTGTACTACAGCAAGTGGGACAATGCAGTTTGGATAAAAAGGAGCAGGAAGTTGTTCAAGTAAGTGACCATTAGCTAACCGGGTGTGACTGATATGCAACCTATCCAAAGCCGTTTCCCATTATCTATTATGGTGATATGAGGAAGGCCAAGGAAAAGGTAACTTTTATGTGCACAAAGTTTATTACCGGTAATGCCAGTCCAACAACCCTCTCAAAGGTCATGGATTGCAGAATGAATGACTGAGTAGGAATCACTTTGTGGGAAATGATGCAAATACAAACAACCACCTTGGAGGCAGTATTCACAAGTTCATTCGAGTAACTGCAATATAGCTGGAAACCCAGTAAAATTCATCTGTCTTATATCTTCCATAAATAAGAGACAACCAGGTATAGGATTTGAACCACCATAGGATGCAAAGGGTTAAAAAAAAAACTGAGCTATGGAGTCACTGCAAGAGTCAACCACAGTGATAAAGGACTGTTGATGCTGAGAAACCAGCTGACAAAGAGAATTAAAATTTGAGTAAAGTTCTGTTATGAAGATTCTAGTTTCCAGGGGCAAGCAGCAAATATAGGTGTGATCAGGAAAACAATATAATAGCTAATGCCATTGACAGACTTACCCATCTGTCTTGGCTGTTTCTTATCTCCAGTAGATTTAAGACAGTCAAGTTTTGCTGGGTTCCCAGCCATATTGGTGTTACCTTAAATGAGCATGCAGATGCTGCTAAGGAGTCTATCTGCACTTGTCCCATTTCCTGCAAAAGTGTTCCTTATTTCGACTTTTACCTAGTTATTCATTCCTCAATCCGTGCCCATTGACAGAATTGATGGTCTTCTGTTACTGGTAATAAACTGCATGATCTTAAGGGTAGCATGTCCCCATAGCCTTCCTCCTACCACCATAACCGGCAGTGGGAAATGGCTCTGGCAAGGTTACTCATTGGCCATACATGTTTAACTCAAGGGCACTTAATGGAGCGCCACCCTGCTCCATATTGTCCAAACTGCATTGTCCCTCTTACGGTCCTTGTTGAATGTCTTGACTTTTAAGATGTTCGTGTGTCTTGCTTCCTGACTGTTCCTCGCGGTCACCTGTCCCTCGATAAAATGCTTGGAGAATCGGATACCTTTGATATCATTCACCTTATGCACTTTTGTTCTCGTATTGGCATCCTTGGTGATATTTAGCGCAGTTTGAATATCTCGCACATTTGATGGTGCTGCATAGCCTTCCCAGCTTGGTGCCTTCTTTTGATAATTAAGTACTTATCCATCTGTCAACAGAACAATGGCGGGTGAGCAAGAGGAAAATGTTACAGGAAAAGGCATTTCAAAACAGTAGGGATAGTATAAGTCTTCACCGTGTTGATCATGGTCTTGAAAAGAAAAATCTTGCAAGCAGGATCCTCCATAGGAGCAATACAAGGGGAGAAAGTGCCAATGTGAACTGAGAGAAAATCTTGCAAGTGAGCAACCCTCACAGGAAAAGGAAGACGACAGCAAAAGGGAAACGGTCTCTTCCGAGGAAGAGACCATACCATACTTTGGGTGCCATACCCAAAGTATGGCACTAGTAAAAATGGGGATGTTGCAGGGACCTTGTGAGGTAATGTAGGCAGTACCAATCATGACGATGCTGTAGAGACAAGCTGCCTGTTTCAATATACTATACAAGCTTTGGGTGGGGATGACTGAAAGGCACCAGAGCTGAGGAGTAACCCAGTATGGTGCACAGCATCAAGATGAGGGAGAGTATTAAGTTGTCATAAAAAAAGAAAGAGGGAGCAAGGACGACACATCAGATGGGCAGGGAAGAGTAGCATGGAGAGTGAAAAGATTCCAGTCTGCCTTATTAAACTACTATTGAGGGGAAAGAGAGGAGGGAAATGGTCACTGTTATAGGGGTTGTCAAGGACTCCCCATGCCAGGTCTTTATAAATGGAAGAGGAGCAGAGAGAAAGATCTATGCAGGAAAGAGTGCAAGTGCAGAAGTCAACATGAGTTGGCTCACCAGAATTCGGGAGAAACAAAGGAAAAGAGAAGACGAAAGGTTCTGGAAGACAGCCTCAGGTATTTGCAAGGACATCACCCCAGAGGGCATATTGACAGATAAATCATCTAAAAGGAGCAGAGGCTCCTGAGTCTATAAATTGTTTAAAGAAATTACTATTACGTATATGAACAGTCTTTACAATTGCTTGTGCAAGGGTTTGTGAAAACAAATTATGTCCTAGAAACATAATATAAACAAATTGGGGAAATGCTAATGTTATGGCCATAGGAAAGGAATTCTGAGTAAAAAGTACTAATTGTCAATGTAGTGGCACAATGAGTTTAATAAAGTTCTTGTTTTAGTTGTCACAGTTTGTATAATTCATATTGTTGTATGGCATCCATTTTTTAATGTTGACAAAGTTTTAAATGTATTTTGAGAATATTATGATATAGCAGTATATTTTATTTCCCACAGATACAGGTGGCAATCATGAACCACAAGTGGTACCAAGAGACCTTTAAGGATTACCCATGCAATCGTAGGGCCATCATTCCATTTCTGTTGTGAAAATTACTGTTAATAGATAGTTACTCAGTATTTCTTTAATGTTTGTGCTTCTAGTTGGTGGTATGGAAAAGTATCTTAGGAAATATATGAATACTAAGGAGTATATGTAGGTCTTTATTCCATGGTATTGTTTATGGGAGCAAGACACATTTGAAAGTTTCTCATTTCACTATTTATGTTATCATACGACTTGCAGATATTGTTGTAGGCCAAATAATATGTTTTCAAATTTTTTCTTCATTATATGTTCTGATAGCCATTGGTTCTTAACTTTTTGGCTGCATAATATGATAAGTGATCAAATCAAGGAAATAGGGCCTTTGCTGTAATAAATGACTTTTGTTTGTTTATCTAACAAAGCATTTCCAAGTCATGCAATGTATATCCAGGTCATGTGATATTCAAAACAAGCTGCTGAACCCTGTACTTGCTGCTATCTGTTGGCAACAGAATGAAATGTCAACCAATGCAGTAGTGCAAAACATTTACAGTAAGGCCTCCTTCAAACGATGATATACATTGTACTTAACATATATAATGTTATTTTATGTTTTGTAACATGTTATTTACAAGAAATATATACTTAAAGTATTTAAGCATATTGGAGTCAATTGGAGGCTTGAAAAGAGCTTTATATTTGTTGAATGATACAGCTGTAAAAAGTAGCCTTTTTTCTTAATAGAAATATAATTAAAAATGTGACAAATTGTATTTAGGTTGCTTATTGATGCTCGGTAGGGATAGAGCCCGGAAAAATATATTGCCGCCAAATAGGTAATGATGTAGAATACAGTATATAGCTATACTCTACATAGTATTTAAAAGAATGTTTAATGTTTTAGTAAAGTACTGTATTTGATTAATTTTTATATTGCATAATTTTGAGTATGTCTGGTATGCTAAAAACTGTTGTTCATTGATATGCAGATATAAATGCTAATAAAGGTACAGTATTTGATAATAAAGGTATTCTTGTTTGTTTTCTGTTCCCCGTCTTTCTTCTCCCCAGAGGCACTTTGACAGAGCAGGCTGGAAGTTAATACATTCCTTGCAACAATTCCCTCTACATTATTACCTCACATACAGTAGTGAGAATCTTTTTATTTCACTATTCGTAATGCATCTGTCACTTCATCCCTCATTCTGCTCCAAACCATTCTTAAGATAAGATAAGAACATAAGATTAAAGGTACAGTAACTGCAAAAGGCCTATTGGCCCATACGAGCAGCTCCTATTTATAATCACCCAATCCCACTCATATACATGTCCAATCCACGCTTGAAACAATCAAGGGACCCCACCTCTACCACACAACGTGGTAACTGGTTCCACAAATCAACAACCCTGTTACCAAACCAGTATTTACCCAGGCCTTTCCAAAATCTAAACTTTTCAAGTTTATACCCATTGTTTTGTATTCTGTCTTGTATTGATACTTTTAATATTTCCTTTGTTATGTCCATTCATCCAACTGTAAACCTCTTATCATGTCACCCCTAACTCTTCGCCCTTCCAGTGAATGCAATTTAAGCTTTGTTAATCTTCCTTCATATGACAGGTTTCTAATTTGTGGAATTAACTTTGTTATCCTATGCTGGACACGTTCAAGTGAATTTATATCCATTCTATAGTTCGGTGACCAAAACTGAACTGCATAATCTAAATGGAGCCTAACCAGAGCAAGATATAGCTGAAAAACAACACCAGGTGTCTTGATACTAACGCTTCGAGTAATAAATCCCAGTGTCCTATTTGCCTTATTATGAACATTTATGCATTGATCCTTTGGTTTTAAATTCTTACTTTCTTACTCCCAGATCCCTTTCTCAGTCCGACTCTTTCTCAACACCATCCAGCTCGTATCTTGTAACTCTATCATCATTACCTAGCCTCAAACCCTTACATTTGTCAGCATTAAACTGCATCTACCAATCTTTTGACCATTTCAAAACCCTATTTACTATCACCCTTGAAGTGATAGTGAGTTTTTTTTTTTCCCTGTTAATTTCCCCCTTGATTTTTGTATCATTGGCAAATTTGCATATATTGCTGTTCAAACCCGAATCTAAATCATTTATATATATTTTGAATAACAGAGGTCCCAGGACAGAGCCTTGAGGCACTCCACTTACAACATTTTCTCAGTCTGACTTGACCCCATTTATACTAACTCACCGTTTCCTTTGGTATAGGCATGCCCTAATCCAACTTAATAAAGCACCCAAATACCATGAGCCTCTACCTTTTTAACCGGTGGTCATCGAGATTCAACATTGGCTGTTTCTTATATCCAGTAGATTTAAGACAGTTGAGTTTTGCTGGGTTCTCAGCTATATTGGTATCTCTTTAAATGAGCGTGCGGACATTGCCGCTAAGGAAGCTATCCACACTTGTCCCATCTCCCATAAAGGTATTCCTTATTCCGATTTTTACCCAGGTATACGTTCCTTTATCCTTGCCCGTTGGCAGAGTTGTTCGTCTTCTGTTACTGGTAACAAACTGCGTACTCTTAAGGGTAGTGGGTCCCTGTGGCCTTCCTCTTACCACTGTAATGAATAGTAATAGTAATGAGTAAGTAATGAAGTAATACAGTATAACATATTTACTCACTATAATGGTGGTGAATGTGGAACATGAAAAAACATTTTTACTCGGAAATAACATCATTTTATAGCGAAATTAGAAGTGGCAGGTGACTCCATAGGAAGTCGACGATCCATGCGACAATCCTTAGGATTCGAGTACTGTAATTAGATTGACTCGATTTTGTTATAAAATTATATTATTTCAGAGTAAAAATGTTTTTCATGTTCTACATTCAGCATCAAAATTATAGTGAGTAAATATATCATATTTCTTCATTACTCATTTAATGCTAGGAAGCTTTGGGTCATTAGACTGACCCGGATAGTGTTAGGTAAGCTGGTCGGGTCCGTAGAATTACCCAAAGCCTCCTGGCATCACGTAAGTAATGAAGCAATATGGTATATTTACTCACTATAATGTTGTGCTAAATGAGAACATAATCAAACCACTTTTTACTCTGAAACAATCAAATTTGTTAACGAAATAAGAGCTATATAAATGGCAGGTGACGCCATAGGAAGTAAACGGTCCAAGCAAAAATGTTGTGGAGTGACTTATCCAAGATATATGGAGCGACTTATCCAAGATATATGGAGCGACTTATCCAAGATATATGGAGCGACTTATCCAAGATATATGGAGTGACTTGTAACGATTCTATTGTTACGTAAAGTATGGTGACAAATAAACACAGATACTATATATATATTTGGTCGAATATACAGAAGTACACAGGTGATACTTTGATGTGAGTTGAGCGCACTGAGCGTCGGTACAGTATCTCGCAAGTGTCTGCTCTAGACTACACTTGAAAGTAGACTAGTTAATGTTTGCTATTCTGCTGCTTATATGCTCTGGCAACACCTCACCGTGTTGCCCGGGCAACGCCTCACCTCATTCATCTCCAAAGGTTGACAGGAATATTAACAATGCATTTGGAGCGAGTATATTATTGGGATAATCTACTCGCTACAGACTTATCCAAGATATATTGTCGCCTGGAGAGTGTTCGCCGGCATATTAGCTCTCTGTACACAGTAACCCAGACGTCGCACTTCTCTGATCAAATTATCGCAAATTTAATTTGTGATATTAACAAGTAGAATGTGTGTTTATAATAATAGCTAGCATAAATAGCCACAAAACATTTAAGATTTATTACAAAATAAATGTGTGTGGAAGTTAATTCAACTTCATTAGACAATAGTGGCCTTGGGTAATTCTACGGACTGGTGTTGGTTTGACTGGTGTGTGTGGTATTGGCTAGGCATTGTTTGGTGTGTGTGTGGGTGGTGTTTGGCGAGTGTGGTGTTGGCTGGAGTGTTGACTGGAGAGTGTTTGGTGTGTTGTGTTGACTGGAGAGTGTTTGGTGAGTGTGTTGTGTTGCCTGGAGAGTGTTTGGCGAGTGTGGTGTTGACTGGAGAGTGTTTGGCGAGTGTGGTGTTGACTGGAGAGTGTTTGGCGAGTGTGGTGTTGACTGGAGAGTGTTTGGTGAGTGAGGTGTTCGCTGTACGGTGTTTGGTGAGTGAGGTGTTCGCTGTACAGTGTTTGATGAGTGAGGTGTTCGCTGCAGAGTGTTTAGTGAGTGTTGGCTGGCGAGTGTTTGGTGTGTGTGTTGGAGGATAGGAAGGAAGGTGAGAGCCGCAGTGTTGTGGTGCGTCACCTGACCAGCTCGGGCCACATCACTCCATATTGTGATGAACGAGGCAGTATCCGAGGCTGCTGCGGGGATCATCTCTACACTGGCACAAGTGACGTCTCTGCTCCGTCTGCTGGTGTCTGCCACGGCTGCCGTCATCCAGGACGCCCCGGGACACCTCGCCCTTCCCTCTCTCGCCCACCTCACAGGTATAGGCTCAGTTATGGGGTCTCCTTAGTTAAGACATGACTTTGCTTATCTCATCGACAGCTTTGAAATATTAAGCAAATTGGAAAATATTGATCCTGACCATTTCTTAAATAGTCCCAATTAACACGTACAAAGGGCAGCAGCTTCAAACTCATGAAGCCACACTCTAGGACAATACAGGAGATGCTTTTTCCCCCCATAGGGTTATAAACCCATGGAACCGCCTACCTGCCAAAGCCCTAAGTGTCGAGACATTACTTCAGTTTAAAATTCAGCTGAAATTATGGGAGTTTCCCCACAGGTAAATTCGGGTAAATTGTGTGAACATTCTGGCACCTGCTCTGCCTGGATGCCTCTGGGTAGGTGTTTAACGTACGATTATGTTACGTTGTTGGGTATATTAGATACAGTGTTTAGTGAGTTTCATATTAATTTAGTAGTCCTGGATACAGCAGTGTCGTAGATGTTGAGACGAAGCTTGGAGCAGAGCAGAGAGCTGAGTGTGGCCGGAGTCGCGGAGCTCTATGTGGAAGAGCGTTGTAGCTGGATGCAGTCCTAGTCTGCTGCCTGCTCTGTGTCGAAGCTGTAGCGTCTTGGAGACGATTAGAACTGCCTACGCCGAGTGCTACATTCTTGACTGGAAATTGTACTGTTTGCTATTCTCAAATCGCTTGCTTATATACGGTGACTACACCTCACAATAAGATAGGAGGGTGGAAAAACCGTTACCTGTAAATAGGGATAGGATAATAGCTTGTGTAGTTAGTGCTAATTAGTTATGCCATTAAGATGATGAGATAATGGAGCGAGTATAAGTTTACTCGCTACAGGTGTGTCTTTGCCTATTTGGGGTATATGAATCTGTAAGGCATTCCATTTTAACGTCCCAGACTGATAGGACACCTGGCATGGCTGGGGTCTAAAGAAAGTTGATAGTTTTTACAATTCCTGGTTAGATCTATGGGCATAGAGAGGAAGGACCCTAGTGTTGCATTCCTGGGCAAATTTGATCAAACGATGCTGATGCAATAAGAAACTAATGTTGATAACATTGATCTCAAGTTTAAATATTACTTGAGCATGTTTAGCTTGGCAAGGGGAGGGGGAATCAGCTATATAATGTTCGGGCTCGATTCCTTCTTTTGATACTTGCTGAGGGATCACTGTGTCATGATGGGCTCATAGTGGTTCCTTTGGACATAATGGGTATCTTGATCTTGCTTTCTCCAATTCCTGGAAAATTTTTGCTGCATTTTTGCCTGATCAGGTTTGAGTTGTCCCATTGGAATAGCTATGAGGTATCATGATTTACAAAAAAAAAAAAAAAAAAAAAATGGACTTATGACATAATACGCTACTTGAAAATGCACCTAGATAAACATTTACAAATTGTGTAACATTCCAACAAATTCTCTGATTTTAAGAACATTCCCTTGAACTTGGTAAATATTGACAGTGGTTGGCAAAATAATGCAATTTGTCCAACTGTTGCTTGACCTCATAATGCATTTGTCAATTTTAATGTATTGCATATTCAAAATTTGTATTCTCGAATAAAAGTTAATATTATATACAGTACTTGAAAGTGTTGAATAGTTAGGCCTCACTTAGGTGATTAGGTTCTTTAGGCAATTTTCTGGAATAAATACCACAATTCCACTTATTGGAAATTAGCATTATGTGGATGAAGCATTTACAAATGTGTAACTCAAGCAGAGGATGTGAATGGAGAGCTGTTCAAGAAAAGTAAATACTACTCTCAATTGGTAGAGCACATAAAGTGGTTTTTTGTTGATAATCCACCTACCAAACCCTGTTTAATAGGTGGATTAATAAGCATTTGGCCTTGGTTGATGAGGACAAGTTAGAAGAATGAGGTGTCGCCCTCTTACAGTTGTGGCAGTGATTGGCAATTATGCTTATAGTACTTTAAACCCTTACACTCTCAGAATGTACCTATTTCTGGGTGAGAAATATGAAAGGCAGAAGACTGGTACTGAATCTGATGTAATTACAGGGTATATTATGAAATGATAAAGGTAGAAATAACAATGTTAAATGAGTAGAAGGCAAGTTATACAAGTGGGTAACTGATAATAAATGTGTAATAATAATGGAAACAATAAAGGGGAACAACAGTATAAATGTGTATAATGAACCGGAATGTGATTTGGATTTTGGAGATGCTACTTTACAAGATTTTTGGATAATGAAGGCAATAATTGATTTGAATTAACCACTGTGATGCACCGAGTTTATTGTAATTACCATAAGTGTAGTTACAGGATGAGAGCTACGTTCGTGGTGTCCCGTCTTCCCAGCACTCTGTCATATAACGCTTTGAAACTATTGAAGTCGTAGTTACTAACAGGGTCTGATATCTAATCTTCATGCTTTTCTATGATCATGATTCTTCCAACGCTAGCTCCGGACCTCCCAGGAGGACATTCCCCCTGTGCGCATAAAATCAAGTGTTCACAAAAATTTTGTTGATCTTTGTAAAATGATAAATTCCCTTCCCTGAATATGTACAGGTTAAAAAAAAAAAATCCACTTAGGCTGTGGGGATATGGAGAAGGGGGCGTCACAAACTTGTCGCCCCGTGAGTGAAGCTCCCAGAGGTACTCACGTGTGCCATTCAAGCACTGCGAGTTGCCACAAATATATTTAAATATATTTTCAATTATTTGTTCTGTGTATTTCCAATTTTTTATTTTATTGTATATGATGCATATTTGTGTCCTTTACAATATGTATACAGTAGAACGTTCATAATGTTCCATGGAACTGTGATACATGTGTCAGTAATGTGTCCACAATAAATATTTATTGTTGCAACATTACTGTACTTGTTAAAAATTCACAAAAAATTACAATATACTGTATATACAGTTTCACACTGTACAGTATTACACACTCAGTACTTCGGAAATGAGTGATAATCGATGAAGCAATCATGGTACACAGCGTGATTTCGCTCTCGTTGCACCAGGTACAGATAGATTTTCGCTTCCTGTTTCTTTGTTCTGTGTGCTTGCAAATAACGCACTCACGTACACCCTTGGCTTTAGTACCTGTAGGTGGTATGTAGCCAAGTTTGTGAAGTGTAAGGTAGTCTTGAAAAGATTATAGGAAAAGGTCAGTTTGTAAGGTAATCTTGAAAATATCGCTCTGTAAGGTCCCTCACTGAAAGAGATTGTCAATCAGGAAGAGATTCGGCTATTCTTCAAACCCACTCTCCGAGTTTTCTCGGTTGGCACAGCACAGTGGTTAATTTCTTTTATGTATTAAGTTTGAATTGTATAAAATGCTTTATCCTAAAATATCTTCTATTATATTTATAGGACGCTTGCAATATTAGCAAAGTGCATACTGTAATTGAATAAGGTTTTCAGCAACACATTTGTGTCATATGGTTATCATACCCTGCCATGATTAACTTAGTCTTTCATTTTGAGTGTTTTCAGACACTGCATACACTAGCTGGGTCAACTTCTTGTGGTGGTTGGGACTGACAACACTTCAAGGTCATGTGCTGAGAGCTCTCATCATTATTTTGGTCGTAAACTTCGTCCTGATAAACATCTTCTGGCATGTGTATGCTCAACGCATCTCCTACACATTATCATTTAGTAAGTGTTTGTTTTCTTTGTCATTGATTAAATGTCGGTTGGCAATGTAAATGTTGTCTTTTCCGTATTTTAGGCATCTGCATTTGTAATTACTGTACTTTATCTCTCTTAGTAATCTCTGCTACAAAATATATGTAATGTAATATAATACAGGGGGCTCCTACTCCACTAGAACCTGATTCAATGAAAATTCAGTGTTCAAGCTAGGAGGAACTGTAACTATTCTTAGGTGAATTTTCCACATTGTGTGTGTAAAGTAGATTACTTCTTCCTCCTAGAGGATAAACATGTGTTCATTCACCCACCGCCCTGGCGATTCTCTTGATAATTCCTTCCTTCCATCACCCACTGATCTATTTAACACTGGGGGCAATCACAATGATACTGCCATCTTTTCCTGCTAAATGTCCTTTCTACCATGTTTCCAGTCTAGTTCAGTTTCCTCCACAGGTGGACAACTAGTGTCTTTGTGAAGGAGAAAACCTGTATGTATTGTGTGCCTGCCTCAGTATTTGCTTTTCATGTGGAATACTTTGAGGGATTTCTTTGTGAACTTGCCTGTCCTTTATTTTAATTAGTAACCTGACTGACAATACTTGCTTGGGGAGGAAGGGAAGATTTTCTTAACATGGGCCAACTCGAAATAAGTCCATTCATCACCTTGTCGATGAATGGAACCCCTCAGAAAGGCCACAATGTGAACACCACTACTTTTGTGTGAAATGTAAAGGCATGTTAAACTTGCATAGATCTAATGGTGAAGACAGGCTGAACATTACAAATATTGTAGAACTATATTAATGTACATTACATATATACAGTATTTAATGGAGTTTTAAGATGTGCAGTCATGCCTGTTTAGGATTAAGAATGATAAATGTCATTTGCAAAAAATCTTTCATACACTGCTTTTGAGTTAACATTATTTGATATTTACTTCGCTTTTCTATTGATAGATAGCCTTCAAATTGTGGAGGACATACTGAAGAAGAACACAAATTTTAAGCTTCCTAAAGAACATAGTACAAGAATTTAATGATAATTTCAGGTAAGTGATCTATTTGCTTACATAGTATCTGCTTCATTTTCTTGTCATTACAAAACATTATGGGTTCAAAGAAACCACATTAATCATTTTATAAAAAATCGGCTAAACAACCCAGGCCAATACAGCTTTAGTGCAGGAAGAATAATGTCAGCTGAGCATTTGATCTACTGGGATCGTTTTTAAGCATTCAAATTATACTCCTTGGAAAGGAGACGAGTTATCTCATAACATGCACAATGAGGGTACTGGAAGGTTATATTTCATATCTCCACCAAAAATTACTTGCAATACAAGGGTGAGAGAAGGTAGAAATTGCGAAATATTTTTGATGATGAGCAATACTGGGGTGAGAGAAGGTAGAAATTGTAAAATATTTTTGATGACAAGTAAGCATGGAATAAAGACAATTAGAACACAGTATGAATGTTGGAGATCCACAACTTTGATCTCTTGCTAACAAACATAGAAAACGTTGCTGAACAAGGGTAGAAACTTTCAAGACAATTTTAGCAGTTACCACAGATGTTACCAGATCATCCTGGTTGTGATGGCTATATAGCCCTGTGGACTACAGAAACAAATGGCCTCAAATCAGATCACCAAAAACAACCCTTTTTTTCAGGTCAGTCTGCAGGAGTACAAACATTTTTAAAACATTCAATAGGTAAGGCTCTAGTATTGTTCATAGTACAGTATGGTATCATATACAAATACAGGAATGCAGAATTGTATGACCACTTTTACAGGTATAAAATACCTAAACAACTATCGCTCTTCAAAACAACTTGGACCAATTATGCACCTGGAGTACTACAGGAATAATGGAACTTAAGGGCTCGAATCACATTCATTCTAATGGGTACATGTAACATTCAGAAACATTAAAGTACAGTATTATGAAACTTCATTTACAAAATCAAACCTATAAGATGCACTTTCAACCCAAGTTGCAGTTTTGTAACCTGAAGGGATACCCAGGGTTGGAGGGGTAGCAATATCTGTAAAAGGTCCGAAGTTATAAAATATCTTTAACCAATTTTAAAGTATGGAATTTAACTAATAGAATACTGTAGTCTAAAGTAATAATGATAAAAGATATTACATGAAAACAAATAGATGTGGAGAAATGAATTGTTAAAAATTATTCATTCTGCTCAAAAATTGCAGTATTGCAAGTCTATATCAAAATATAACTTGAAATTTAAAATTTGAACCATTTCCAAATTGTAGAGCTATATTCAAACATGTAAAATTCATAAAAATTAGTTCATAAATATTAAACTAATCCTTTTTAAAGATGTACAATTGTACTCGAGTAAAATGACATCAGTGATTGTGCCACCAGTAGATGAGGTAAATATTGCTCGATTTTCTTCCAACTTCACATGATTATTGGTGGAACTACATACTCAAGTGTTCGGAAGTTTCAGGGAAGTCTAATCTCGAGCAATGGAGAAAAAATCGCGGAACCCCAAAAAACGACTAACATAATTACATGTGCATTGCTGTTTGTATAAAATTAAATAAAGAACATAGTATTAACACTTAAAAACCAGTTTATTTGATATATAATAACAAATTATAACAATAGAAAATACTTCATAATGTCAGGACTAACCTGTCTTCTTTTTGCCCATAAAACCCTTGCCGTTTCCTTTCGTGGATGTCTCGTAAATGAATCTCTTTCAAATAGCAAGGGCCAGTTGTAATAATATATTATTTGATTTGCAGCTTGGCACTTGATAGTATAAATTTGCCACATTTGAAAGATGGATGCCATTAAGAAATTTTTCGAGAAGAAGAAAGCAGATGCTAAATTCAAGACTTCTGGTCAAGGACACAGGTAACAATTTTTTTAATTTATATTATAAAGTCTTTAAAATAAGCTTTTTTGTGAAATTTTGCAATAAGGTCCAGTGAATAATTGTGTGATCTATAAATACATCCGTTCTGATATTTGCCAGGGACAATCCTCGATTCATTCTCATAACTGCAGCTGCCGCAGAACATCCCTGTCCAGTATTTGTTAATGCATGCATTTTGCCTAGCTATGTTACTTTGTTGACCTTTTGTAAAACAAATTGGCATAATGTGACATTTTAGTCAATATTAAATAAATGATATAATTCCTTTGTTTAAATTATAATACTGTATTTCATATTGGGTAGCCTATCTGGTGGAGGTCAGCAGCGACATGTTCCATCACGGTCTGCCCACAGTGTGCCGCATGAGCGTCATGTACCTACAAATGACGCCCAGCGTGCTGGGGCTGCAGCTCTAGCCAGGATGGAACAACAGACAAAAAAGACGGATGTTAACTGGTATGCTTTTTAGTTTTGAGTGTTATGAAGCAGAGATAATGAATGGAGCAAAGTTGTTTTGTGATAGTACGTGGGGTGGAATATTAGGGTATCAGATGTGGTGTGAATCAATGGTTTTGTAAGTGATGTGTAGTATGGGAACACCAGATGTGGGTTATAAACCAGAGGCCAGATTCACAAAGCAGTTATGCAAACACTTACGAACCTGCACATCTTTTTCTCAATCTTTGGCAGCATTGTTTACAATTATTAAACGGTTAATGAGCTCTGAAGCACCAGGAGGCTGTTTATAACAATAACAACAGTTCATTGTGAAGTTTTCATGCTTGTAAACTGTTTAATAAATGTAACCAAAGCCGTCAAATATTGAGGAAAGATATACACGATCGTAAGTACAGTACTTGCGTAACTGCTTCGTGAATCTGGCCCAGGTGTGGCCAGGGGTTAGTTAAGTATAGACTGGCTGTGGTACAAGGTGGAGTGATTATATCCATCAAATGGATGGAATAGTGTGTGTAATATATGGAATAATCCAACATTGGTCTTGGATGTAATTAACCATTGGTTTATTTAATGGTGATACCTAGCTGACATGAATACTCTGGTTGATATTTGTGAAGTGATAAGTATGTTCATTGTGATTTTATTGAAAATTATTAAATAAGGAAGTGATCTGTATAATCACAATAAATGGTTAAAGATATAATGGGTGGGCAGAAATAATGGTGGGTAGTATGACATCACAACACGAGTGGGTCTGGCATCTCCTCAGCCACAGAAGTAGTGGCAAGGGTCAAACTTGGCAATGTTTAGTTGTTTAAAAGGATATGGAAATGTAGTATCTTTTGAGGGGTAGGGGTCAACAACCTTGAAAAAAAAAAGTGACAGGTTAATTTGAGTGAATCGGGGGCTTGACAGATGTGCTGGTATGTTGTTGGGCGACACAAGCTATGTAGCATTTTCTTTTCATTTTTCGTTAATGTCAAATGTTGATAAAAGTTGCACGTAATTAATATAATGTTATTAGCCACTGCACTGAGCATAGTGCCTTAACCCTTTAAGAGCACAGATTACAATGTATATATATACAATTTGAGTAAATGTTGCTTAATGGCGCACATCTTGTATATACAATTGAAAGTGCAGCACACGATTTAAATCTTATGTGGTACTCCCAACAGTACATAGCTGTGGTGGGTCATCCTGTAATAATTACTCGCCACAGCTATGAATGTATTGCTCCCTTGAAGGGGTTAAGGCAAACATCCTCTAAGGGTTAAGGTGCTCGATGGGTGATGTGAAACATTTTTTTATTTGACCATATTTTAATGTTTTTAATGTTTACACTCTGTAATATGAAATGGAAAATTGTTGAGTTTGGCACCATGTTGACATTTTTTTATTTTTAAAAAGTTCAGGTTATGTTAATAATTCATTAACAATTGCACATGATGTTGTCACACACAACAGGTGTGCAGTGCAGGGCTCATAGTGCTGGGAATTTTGACAAGTTAAATTAATATTATTCCGAACTCAAAGTGACCGCATTGCCTTTATCCACTTTGAGCTGTGAATAGTAATAGATTGTGCTGTTTTTGTCTTAAACCCCCCTCATAACTAGTCTTATCTTGATTATAAAGTTGGCAGTTAGAAAGAATAAAGAATGACTGACAAAAATAATAATTTGACTAATTTTTATTTTTTTTTTAAATCTGACCAGTTTGTATTATTAATAAATAAATCTTACTACAGTATTTTTTTCTGCAACTCAGGTCTCTTCAAGCCATAAAAGCTCAGGCACGCCGTGAATTGGAAGCCGAGCAGAAAGCTTTGGAGCAAATGAATCTTAGTGAGCAAGACCAGCCACCAATTCCTAAAGAAGTCAACTTAGATGCTGCACCAATGTTGGCTGTCCAAGGTGTCTTCTTCAGTTGTCCACTCATTGGCAAGTATTTTGACATGCTCCTACTGCCCTGAGTTATATCGCAGCTCTGTGGCAAGTAAAGCACCCAATCTGTATTACTGAAATGTAAATGAAGATCCTAAGTATTCTCCACTATTTACTGCTTGTTATGTTAAGTCCTATGTGACCACCTTAATTACCTAGGTTAGCAAAATCACACAAAATAATTAATATCATGGTTAGATTTATGGCTGTAAGATTTTTATAGTATTGTGTATTTAGGCAGATAAAGTAATTACTGATAGTGTTTAAGTACTCTTGTATTGTAATTGCTTTTTCAATTTTTCAAATATTTTCAGGGCCTGAAGTGGCAACGTATGATGAAATAAAGAGACAGATCCGAGAGTTCCTCTATGCTCAGGTTGAGGATGACAAGGGCATCTCTTCCTGTCTTATCATCCACACGTGCAACAAAAATAAAGAAAAGGTTTTAATTTTTTGTTTTAAATTTTTTAAATCTGTACTGTATACTGTACTATATATATACAGTTATAGGTAATAAATCGATTGTTGGAGGTATAAAGTTTGTCCCTTTTTCCATCGATTCTTTTCTTTGGATAAACTCAAACTTGCAGTTCCACTTGGTAGTCGGCTCATCATTCCCACATGAACGTTGCTTTTGTAATGAACATTATTTTTCCACGGTAACTTTCCTTTTCCACATCTGTATGTTTTATCTGTTTTCTCCCTAATCTCACTTTTGGAAGTTTGCTGGTGCATTTCTCATTTGTTTCCACATCCTTGCTTCTTGGTGCAAGCAAGTGATGCTACTTGAGTTGTATGATAGCTGGCTAAGCATGTTTCCCTCGGATCTAGTACTCGAGACCATCTGATAACCAGAGAAAGTTCTACTTGATGTGAGCCCTGAAGAATTAAGTTCATAATGGAACAAAGCATCAAGAATATTATCATTTTCCCCATTTCTCACTTTCATAGGGTGGGAGGCAAGAGCCTAAAAGAAAAAATGAGTGTTGTCAAAGGTTAAAAATACTAAAGCTATTCATTCACAGAACACAGTATTCAAAATCTGCCACACACTTCAAAATACATAATCATAAATCATTATATAAGAACTGACCATTATCCCATTACAGTGGGACTCCTATATTTCTGATCCGTTAATTATTACATACTTGGCAACTGAAATATCTGATAATTTAAAATATTGTACAACTAATTTTTTTGTAATTTTCTTTTTATTGGAAATAATTTACTTGTTCTAGTATACATTTTAACAATACAAAGCACAAAGTTTTCTGTTCCTTGCTGGTGTTGTCTTGGTCCAGGTGTGTTTTTATTCTATTCTTTTTCCATCCATCCATTCCTGTCCATTGTGTGCAGAGGCAATTGGATCCTCTTGTCTTGTCACTTCAGTGTGGGTGGCTGAAATGGAGTTTCCTGCTAACGGGCTTTTGCTCATTTTGCCTTCGTCTTCATTAGATTTCCATGAATGTTAAGGTTTCTTCTTTCCACTGCAGTGTTTTATGGCTGTTGGCCCACTGTGGTGGGTGCTCGGGCATCTGGCATGGTTTCCCTTATGGTCTTGGGTCTTGAGGTGTTTGTCATTGCATTTGCATCTTTACTTTTTTTATGTGGGGTGCTCTTTCTTGTGCAGCTTGCTCTTAAATTCCCTGGTGACTCTTTACTTTGGGAGATGGTAGTTTTTACCACTCTAGTGTGTCAAATGGGATCCAGTATTTGTGTCTAGTTGATGCAGGCTTGTCTTCCGAGGGTCCATGTTCTGCTCATCTTGGTGGGTTTATGGTTTTTCATCTTTCCTCCATCCAGGGTAGTGCTTTGGGCTTGTGGTGTGCATACTCACAGTTTGTGGCTTGCACATTATCCAAGCTATCCTCATGAAATAAGATACTTAGACAGTATTTGGTCAAAATGTACTATTGCAGCCATCAATGTTCATGTTCTGTACTACATGTATTCATTTTGTAGTGGCTAAAAAAAAAAATGCATTTTTAGGCCTAGTATAACACGTGTCCTGTGTTAGGTCTAAGATGATATACATTAAGCCTTGGGTTGCTTGGACAGGTTTGGCTCTTTAGTTTTCCTATTTTATTTTAGCGTTTTTTTTAGGCTAATTCAGTAATACAAATCATGAACTTCTGTTTGGTCTAGCTGTCTATTTTTCTATGACATAAACTGGTAGTTACTACAAGTATCTGGTAGTTAGTTACTTTTTCAGTCTTGTGTGTTTTCAAACATGCCCACAGCCTATATTGGGACCCAGGGATTCTGGAGGTCAAATCTTATTTTGACACTCCCACCTTAAGAGTGAGGTGAGCACCTCGCAAGAGCCCCGAGTGGATCAGGGTGCCACCTAATAACAGTAGAGAGTTGGGAGATGACAATTGCTAATTATGGAGTTTCTGTTTTGCAATCTTCAAGTATTTCTCTAAGTGAAATTGAGATTTTTGTGACTTTTTTTTTTTTTTTTTTTTTTAGGGTTATTTCAGTAGTGGGTTCTTGAATCTCCACATGCTCCCTGCGCTGTAAAGGGGAAGGGGGGGAGGGCAAGACAAAGTAAAATGTTGCTTGCCCTGGTGGTCAACAGATACAGTAGTTACAAAAGCCTGGGATATTGATACAGCACGGGGAGTCCACTGCCATTACTGTAAGGTGAAGGGAGCCACTGAGGTGCCACCCAGAGTGAGAGAGCTTTCATTGCTCAATGCTGTGTGTGTTACTTAAAATCGATACCATTTCATTACATTATTTCTTTCGTTGGTTTTAAGTTTATAGTTTAATATAAAATGATAGTTGGTGTTAATCCTGTTGGTTGATGTAAACAAATATTATCCAACAAAATTTGTTCTCTTTGGAATATACATGAAATAATTACTTATGATTAGTATTGAGAAAAATGTAAACATATTTAATTTGGACGTTACTGGAAATGTGTAAACTGAACAGATTCATTATGTCATGTACTGTACTTGAATTTCACTCAAGATTTTTGGCCACTTCAGTATCTGGTGAAGTAGTTTTCATAATACATTTTTTATGTAAGAAAATGTGGCTTGTCAATAGGGAAGACTCGATTAGAACAAATACACTGTAAATTGGGAAAGAATATTTTTTTGTTTTCATAGTATTCTTTATGGTATTCTGCATGGTAACTAAATAAAAAAAATTGTTGCGTTTCAGGTGAATGTATGTATCGAGACTTTATGTAAGTATGTTGAAAACATTGTATCAAATCCCACAGAAGAGAAATTCCACAAGATAAGAATGTCCAACAAAGCTTACCAAGAAAGAATCCTTCCTGTTGAAGGTACACGGGAGTTCTTGGAAGCTGCTGGGTTCGTGGAGCAGGAGCTTCCATTTAATGACTCTACAGATATGTTTTGGGTAAAGTTTGAGATTTACAGTAATTAGTTTAATTTACTACTTTTTTTTTGTAATAGCTGGAGCTGTTAATATCTGGATATCTGGAAAATAATATGTTTTTGTTTATATCCCAAGTAATCAAATTTGAACTCTTAGAACTTCCACTTTCCCAAATGCTCATGTCCCTACTAAACCCATCACTTCTGAAAACCTTGCTGTTTGTTGGGTAAAGATGATGATTTCTCAGCTCAGTCCTCCCATTCCAATACAGTAATACCTGTGATGTAAGACTGTAGCATATAGTAGTGTGAAGTGGGGTCACGTCTCTACATCTTGTAAACACAAGAAAATATAAAAGTGTATTGGAGACTGAAATACCCTGAATAACATAGTCTGAAGGTTTTAATACCTCCTATAAAATATATTTTCATAGCAATGCTTGCTATCTTGTGCAAGTAATATAGTTTAAAAAGATCTGTTGTGTGGGCAACACTTGCAGATTTTTGCATGGATCCATTGCTGTGAGTAGGAAAAGGTGTATGACATAATAAATTGTTGGAAGTCTTTCATTCACATGCAAAATTTAATATGTTGTATACATTTTTCTTTTTTGTCTCCTTTAGGTATTTCCTGAAGAAAAACTTAATGATCTAGTCACTCTGGAACAGCTACGGGATGCATTAGTTAGTGCTGAGCCTGTTCGGCCTCAACTTGACCGTAGCCTCACTATTCTTCTCCCTGCTGAAGCTGCCACACATGTAGACTTGCCAGCAGAATTTTTCAATATGACTGCCGATGAACTGAAGCGTGAGATGCAAAACAGGTAGGTGATAAATTCGTAGTACGGTATTCTAATGAAATGTTAGGAATTCCAAACAATTATCTGAAAAGCAGACTACTTATGGGGGGTTGAGCTTTGGATCTTTGGTCCCACCTCTCGACTGTCAACTGTGTAAGCGGAAGGATGATATGAACTGAATAGGGTTAATTTTCAGGGATATGAGTATCTAGAGCTTATTCACTGTGATACTCCATGGGCAATGGCATCTCAGCAGGCATCCAAGGCTATCTTGTGGTGTACCAAGAGCAAAAGCTAGAAGCCCTTTACACTCTTGCCTGGTATAAGCCAGACCGTGTCTCTCGAGACCTATAATTTGATAAGTACAGTAACAGGTTAATTTACTTTTTATAGCTCAGTGTTAGATTTCATACTTTATAACTCAATTTATGAGCATATTTGTGCAGTTGCATTGTGTCATTGTTTTTACCTGCTTCAGCTGGTGTTCTGAAGTGTTTTTCCTGGCATACTTTTTAGTGAAGATCATCTATGAAGAATTACCTTCTCTAATGCAAAGTTTCTTCCTAGTGTAAATTCCTTTTAATTCATTCCCAATCTTAGTTGGTACCTTAGGACTAGGTCTTGGGTAAGACCTATAGAGAGAGAAATATATGGTTAGTAATTTTAGTATAGTGCTTGGGGGTCCTGCTCATTTGGGTATGGGGTCCAGTGCTCATGGTTAGATTATGCTTAATGCATAGCATTTTTGTTGATGTGGTGTCATAGCTTGTAATGTCAGCTTGAGTACGTGGTTTTCCACTTATAAAATAAGTTTTGGGGGTGGATTTTCAGTTTTGTGCATTGTAGAGGTCATTTGCTCCTCTTAGTTAAATAGCAAACATTGGCATTATGAGTATGAATTAGGATGTGAGTGGTGGGATGAATTTGTTCTAGGGTTGATGTTTTTAGGCTGGAGTCCTGTGCTAGTAATTTGCTGATCAGTTAGGGGTTGGGGGCTTGCTTTCCCAGTATCTCATATTTCCAATACTAGATTATTGGATTTGAAGGTAATGTTTGTGTTTATTTTCAAATCCATTGAAGAATGTGTGTGTGTGTGTGTACTCGCCTATTTGTGCCTGCAGGATCGAGCATTGGCTCTTGGATCCCACCATACTAGCTGCTGGTTGTTTAACCAATGACTCCTTTTCCCTATCTTATTTGGTTTCAAAATTATGAATAGAGTTTGCTTCTATAACTTGCTCCTTAAGTTCATTCCATTTTCCCACTAATCTAATGCTAAAAAAAAAAAAAATCCTAACATCTAACTCGTCTGAGTTTCAAGCTTCTACCTATGTGCCCTTGTTCTGTTAGTATTCAGTATGAACATTTAATCTATTTCCACTGTCAATCCTAAGTATTTTATGTTTCTATTATATCTACCGCTCCCTCCTTTTTTCTAGTGTCGTCAGGTTCGGTTCCTTCAGTCACTCTTCATACCCATCCTTCATAACTCTGGGAAGAACCTCGTTGCAAACTTATGAACATTTTCCATTTTCTTATGCTTTTATATCTTCAGGTGGAGTATGCAGCCCCATCTCCAAGATGGGGCTACATACTCATTAAGACTGGTCTCATGTAGGCAGTGTAAAGTGCTCTAAATGCCTCCTTACTTAGGTTTCTGAATGATGTGTTTTTCTGCACTTTATAGATTGAGTGGTCATGCAGAGTATTTTTACATATTTAGAGCCAGCCTGTGCTTGAAAGGAAAGTTCATTGATGATACTGCTGGCTGTATCCCCAGGAATTTTCATTTTCCAGTCCTGTGGTATCTTGCTTGTTGTCACTACTGGAATATTTCACTCCAAAGCAAGTTTGACATGGACTTTATATTTCTGTGTGCTTAGTTGTTTTTCTCTGGACTTCGTAGGTGGAGTGACAGATCACCTCTGTTCAGAGTTGTTCTAGGCTCCACTTGGCTTTGTGGGGGGATGGTAATTGACATCACCTTCACTGGCAACTAGGTTTTCCCCTCCAAGGTAGGTTTGTATGGAATTTCAATACCATGCTTGTTTTCTACCCGTCACTGCTGGTGGTTACCACTTGTTTCCAAGGCAGTCTTTGAGTTTCCTGGTTTGGTAAGGTTAGTAGTAACTAACACTTCCAGCTTTGGTTCTTACTCTATTTTTTCCATACTTTCTTGGTTTACTAGTTCTTTTACTTTAATCTCTGATATACTCCTCTTGCCTCTGGAACGCTAGGTTCAGGTCCTGGTGTTCAGTAGGCCTGCAAAAAAAACAGACTGTAGTTTTTGTGGATGTCTGTGGTACCAAAGCTGCTGCAATGAGGGGTTACTGAAGTTGCCCAGAAAAGGGTGTTTTGTTGCATTCATCATTTGATTTTTGGTTCTGTTCAGCAAATATTGTTTGACATTACATTGGAGAATTCTTTTGTGCCACTTTTAAATCCTAAAAGTGTACTAAAAGTTCTGGAATATTTTTACTCGATACATGTCCTCATCTTATGTATTTTACAATTTTTTAGGTAAGAAGTCTGCAAATAAATGTCTGCTGGTATCTAGCATATGTTAAATGTCTGGCAATGAGCAAGTTGATAAAGAATAATTTTGCCAACTTGGTTCTTTATTGAAGTTAAATCTAATTAGTGATTCATGTAGGTACAGTATTTGGTTAATTGCCTTTAAGTAATGGCAGCATTATTGGGATTTCAATGGATTACCCAGCAAGCTAAGGGAGATTTCAATGAGGGTTCATTTTTTATAATATCCTTGGATGCCATACTGGTCACATTCACAACACACTAGGGTCCTTGCTGATCAGCAACCTTTCTTCTAGCTGTGATAAGTGTGGTGGTTCCCTGACTGCAGAACACTCAGCAGAAGTGTGCCCTACACTGATGAAACTTGTAACACAAATCTTGTACTTGCATGGCTGTTGAGTCCATGGAAGATACTGTACTGCCTGCTATCTCTTGTGCTGGGAAGTGATGTTTATTTTCTGATGAGTGGTATACAATAGTGTATTTAATTTTACTGTACTGTATTAATTTTTTTCCAGTAGCAGTAACTTCATTGTTATGGTATTGGGTAAATAATTTATAAAAACATAAATCCATTTTCAGAGCAATGGCAGTTGAGAGAAGCCAAATGCTACTTACAAAAGCCATGAGGGAGCGGCAAGAGTTGAGAGAGATGAGAAAGTACAGGTTTTCACTTATTCGGTAAGATATAAATGGTATTTGTTATTGTGCTGTGACATGCCAAATTTATTTAATGATCTATATTTATCAGTGACTACAAGGTAAGTGAGATTTATATGCCCTGCCTCTTAATCTTTCATATCTGACATGCTAATTACACTTCTTGATGTTAATTTTTGCCATTTTCTCTTGAAGTGGCTTTGATAACTTCATTAAATGCACTCCACTTTATAGCCACCAGTACATGGAATGCATTGAAAGAATTTGGCAAGGCCACTTCCATCCACAACTTAAAAAAGTTATACACACTTGATATGAACAAAATGTAAACTTTTTAATGGTTCCATTGGCAAGTGCAGGAAATGTTCTTTTATATAAAATAATAAGTAATTAAAAAAAAATTCTAAGTGTTTAAGAAATAATATTTTGATAGTGCAGTTTTCGTAGTAATAGGGTTGAACTTTATCTCCCTTGTCTTCCCCCCCTCAATTAGGGGGCAAAATTATTTGGAAAAGTTACTCTTCAACCTGTTCCTCAGTGTGACAAGATCGTGACAGGAATATGATGTGCTGGAATCAACCTGGGCTTGGTTTGGGGAGCAAGCAAGGGGCTGCTAAGAAAAGTTTTTTGTAATGTTTTACATTATTTTTTCAGGGTGCGATTTCCTGATGGCATTATTCTGCAAGGTACTTTTGGAGTCCATGAGAAATTTGAGGAAGTACTTAAATTTATAAGGGAGAATCTCGTCAATGACTGGCGACCATTCTTTCTCTCCCTTAGTGGAGGTGGAAAGGTAAGAATTAGTGTATTATCGTTATCTTTAAGGTTACATTTCTTATCTGGTGTCTTTCTCTACTTCAAAACAAAATGTGTAGCAAAATAACTATAGTAAAGTTTTCACACACCATCATGCATCGACTTTAAACTAAAAACACTTTTGTAAGATCATTAAATTAAATTATCTTACATGATTATATCTAACAGATTCATTGTTAGTAATACTGTAATGTAATTATAATGCAGAATAAATAATGTAAGAAAGAAGTAGAAAATGGGTCTAATGATAATAAGTATATATTATTACAGTATTACTAACAATGAATGGGTTACACCCATTTTCTACCGTATCCTGCCTTCTCTTGCAGTACTGTAGTATATTTTCTGTATATGTTGATTATCTTGCAAATATCTATACGGCATAATGTTGATTTTGCCATGAAAACTGCAAATGCTGTCAACAGTACATGAATTGATTACTAAACATGGTTTAAAGTTTTATGTTGCTAAAATGTGTGTTATAACATTCACAAGACAATACGACCTTCATCTTTTCCCAATTAACACTTCATAAAACGGTGAATGTTCATAGAGATGATGGAAACTTGTTAGGAGTTATCTTAGGCACACTTTTGTTTTCTGTATCTCGTGTCCTTTATCTGCAACTTGAATACATCAGCACCTTGTGATGCACATAGAATGATTGTGAATGTATACAGTTTTTGTTCTGCTGAAACATCCTAAGACTAGTGTTTTGATACATTATACTGCACCAGCATGAGGTTAAACATGGGGGTTTCTGGTCTTCCACAAATTTATACTTTTTACCTGGTATTCAATATTTACAAGATATGACGAAACCTGTACTTGTGTTGTTTGAGATTTGCCAATGACCTCACACTTGCATCACCTTTCTGGTTCAGCATTGCTCTTGCACTGCTTTACAGCCTTTTAATACTAGTAGCCTTCTCTCGTTAACTATTTTAAATATCTGCACACCATGGTTTGTTCCGATTGTAAATCTTTTCAGTCCAGTAATAGATCACTTTTGTCATAATATCAGCCAGTTAGCTTAATTATTATTTAAATAATTTTGTTTAATACTATTGCAGTATTTAAATAATTATTTCGGTTGTCCATTTAAGTGCTATGTCATCACACTTTTTCTCGATTATTACTTCATGAATGAATACATCATAAGGCTTCTGAAGGTCATGTATATCTCATTTTCGTATACATGTGCTCAGTAGTTTCCGATTCCAATCACCGGTCTTGACCCCCCCCCCCATGCTGCTAGGCTATTAACCCATACTGTGCAATACATGTATAGCTTGGGTGAGTAACTGTCACGGAAGTGCGAAGTGCGCACCGCAGCTATGTATGGTTGGGAGTACCACCCAAGATTTAAAAGTCCTGTAGCTATATGGGGGGTTCACATCAGCTTCCTCAGGGCTCTTGTAAACAGTTGCCATTTAAAAAAAAAAAGTGAGCAAGGTTCCCGGGAGTGAGAGCCTCGATACTAAGTGAGCAACGAAGGCTGGCACATGCAGCATGCACTAACAGCACTGCTGTTCAGCTTGTGACCACAGCATCGCCTAAAAATGTCAAAATATGTATGTGGTATTATTTAGCGATGATAGTATTACAGAAGACCCCGGATTGATAAAAATGACCAGGATTCTGATAATAGCAGGATTGTTGTCATAATTACCAGAATGTTGTCATAATACCAGTTACATATATATTTTGACATTTTTAGGCGATGCTGTGGTCACAAGCTGAACAGCAGTGCCGTTAGCTCATGCTGCGTGCGCCAGCCTTGGTTGCTTACTCAGTAATGAGGCGCTCTCATCTGGGAATGTTGCCCATGATTTTTTTTTTAAATGGCGTCTGTTTACTAGAGCCCTGAGGAGGCTGATGTGAACCCTGTGTAGCTGTGGGACATTTAAATCGTGCATGACACCCTCAGTTGTATATATACGATGTGCGCAGTTCAGCAACATTTACTCAAATTGTATATACACAATTTGTGCAGTTTAAGGATTAAAATGCTTGATAACATTTTTATTTCCTATACTTGGTCTTCTCGAAGAAAACAATCTTACGTCTTTGTACTAGTTAAAATTTAGTGAATCTTCTGCTTTTATAGGAAGGTTACATGCAAAATAGAGTACATACACTGTACCATACATTTTATAAAACAAATTTAGTTATCTGCCTATGCCTCTTTATATGCATAATCTGTTTAACAAAATTATAAAGGAACTCTATTAAATACTTCTTTATACTGGCATAAACTAAAATGTATATTCGTCTCACAGGTGGTAGAAACAGAACAAAGTTTGGTAGAGTTACGACTTGTTCCTGCTGTAGTGCTAAATTTCAAGTGGGATCCCAGTATAGAAGATCCTAACCTTGATGACAGTGTCTTCCTTAAGTCGGACACACTGATGCTCCTACAGAGTTAAGAGTAAAGATCAGGTAAAGATTAATTTAGAATGAAAGGCATTGGTCTTTCTTCGTGTATTGATATTTATTGTGAATACATGTAAATGTTCTACTTAACGTACTGTGAAAACTGTATGGCAATAATAATGTTGCCATCTTTTGCCGTGATATTAATCATAAATTGTGCATATAGTATCAAAATGTTTAAATAATTAATTTTGCTTTAGCTTGCTTTGAATATTATTAAACTTTACTAAACCAAAAAAAATATTTATCTGAATATATTTGTCTGAATCTGCAGTTTTTATTTTATCTCTATTTAGCATGTTATTCAGTGTTCAACAAGATACACGTATAAGCATTAGTGTCCTTTCCATGTTGATTATCTTTTGCAAGTTATCTTCATTATTGTCGACAAATTCATGTAGTATTTTATGGTTAATATATGATTAGTACTTACCCAGATCAAAACTGCTTGGTATTATTTTGTATTCTACAGTACTTGTTCCTTTTAACGTTCTGCCTTAGTATTGTTCTTAAACGACTTTTAATAATTTCTTGACTTGTAGGCTCATCTCTGGGAAAGTTTGTTTTATTTGTGCTTTAGTATTGATATTACTGTATGTCAAGTGTTAGAAATAATCTTTTTGACTGAATTTTGGTCGAACTGTATTCTTACTCATCTCAAATGGTAATGATCTTATGGGAGGTATTATGTTCTGCTGTGTTCATGATAAAGCATAAGATAAATACGGATATATATTTTTATAGCTGTATCTGTACAGTTTGCTCACTCCCTTGGAGAATTATTGAGAATCTAATTTGCACTTCTATTCACTTTATCCATAATGTTTTCATTGTCTTAGTACAGCAGAAGCTTAGCAGATGTGAATCTATTAGTGTGATGGAATTCCTTTCCAATATAGAGGGTGCTGAATAACATCAGGCCCCAGAGCTTGGCCTCTGAGACAATCTCGTGAGTATTGTATTTGCTGGCAAATAGGACACATGTACAATATCAACATCCAAAAAAAAGTTACAAATCTACTTGAAAATAATGTGCTAAAAAATTTACCCACATCAAATATCCTTGTAAAGTACATGTGACTTGTATACTGGCAAATATGGTACATACATGCTCGGTGCAGTAAAATGGACAATGTCAGTACTTACAACTAGTTTGATTAATACAATGTAGCATAACTTGTGATTTTAATGTCATCCCTGTGCTAATGGTTCTAATATTCAGAAGTACTGATTTAAATATTTTTATTTTATCATAATAATTCATAGGTTATTCTGCACACGTTATTATTCATATACATACTATATTAATACTGTAGACGCTAAAGCCAAAACCTCCAAAGGGCTGTCGAAATTTGTGATATACACTGCTTCTAGACAGGAGAGGTTCTGTTTTCTAGCATAAGTTTAATCTTAGTAAGTACACTTAATCAAGTAACCCACTTTATGACCCTGATGCTGGGTCAAAGTTTGCAGCCATTCCTACATCATGGCAGATAGATTGAAGCAGTATTATTACATTCAGAAGTGGTCCACTTATTACAGGGTAAGTTCAAGGGGGACTGCATTTTATCCCAAGCCACTATTAATGCTTGCAGAATATCTGCAGTAGCTTCCAATAACCAGAGCATCTCTCACATCAGGATATGCACATTCTCCTAAAGAAATAATATTCCTTGTTTAACAATTCAAAGATTTTCCATGGCATTCTTGACTGACTTAGGTGCGAGAGATTAGTTTTGTCAATTTTGATTCTTACCTGGATCGATCAGTTCTGATGCATGTATTGCAAATTAGAACTCCTGATAAGAAATATGGCCTGCATTTCAGTTCTGCAGGTCAAAGTTGCCTGGCAGTTTGAACGTTTTTGGTTATCACCAAGTGTTAACATTGAGGATTTTATTGAAAATTTTTGTAAACGTTAGAAAAATCCAATGTATACAAATCATAATACGTACAAAACTGTTTCAATACTGTGTTAAAAAATGTCCCCCACCCCTGCAATAAAATCAAGATCAGTTGAGTAATGTTTTTGTATAGGGCACAAGGTGCAGGAACCTCAACTCAACATCAGGCCATTATGCTTAGGATACATAAGATACCGTAAATTCAACCTATTTATTCATAACAAATATTAAAATAGTTAAGTTTTGTACTGAACTTTCGGCATTGGCTACTTTGGCTGTACATACATAGGTCCTATATAAAGAATTAAATATTTATTTGGACAATCTGAATTGGTGGGGGAGGGAGGGAGGCAGGCCCACATACTTGCACATAAATATTTATTAATAATATTGCTGCAGCAGCTGTTGCATCATGCTATCTGCAGCAGCTGTTGCATCTGCATTATTGTTTATTGATTAGTACCCTCTTCATTCCATTCGACAGATAACTGATTCTCCATTACCTCACTTTACCTGTTATTCCTTTAGACCTAATTTATGGGCGATCATTCCATGGTAATTTTTATTAAACTCTTTTGAATAGTTTGTATATAAAGTCTGCATTTTAGTTCTAATGTATCCATGATTTTGTCATAATAATTGAGTACAGTAATTGCAAAAGGCAAGATTTTCCTGCTCAAAATCTATGTTGACCTGGGTAGAGAAATACATTTTCCTCCAGAAAACTGGATATTTGTATCCTAATCATTCCTTTCCTACCTTTATGGCAATTAAAACTTGCCAGATTTGGTGCATCCTTTTCATCCCATTTAATTGGAAAGATATATATTCTGATGAAATTCACTAAGTACTTTAACCTGTGCAGAAACTGACCTATCTGCTTTCGTAACCTTGTTTTGTAGCAGAGGTTAAACAGGCCATGTAGCATTTTCATACAAAATTTATCAGTGAAAAATATTTACCAAGAATGAAGGTACAGTGTATTTTGAAACATGATAAACTTTAAGCTAGTTTAATGACATATTCACACACATGCATGCATGCATACATATGTATGCATGTGTAGTATTTAAACATTTTCCCACTGTGTCCAAATGATCTGACGTTTTAATGGCATAAATCACTTTGCCACACCTGGTGATATTCATCACTATAAATGTCCTTGCAATCCTTTTTATTTTGAATAATCTCATAGTGATAATTTAGATTTACCTATTTATTTAATACACAATAGTAACTGCTTGTTTCTCAACAGCTTGTAATACAAGCTTATCCTTAATGGGTATTTATTTCAATGTGACCACTGAGGAACCCTGTTTTTAATGTAGATTTAACAAATTACAGGCAGTCCTTGACTTTGTGGCGATTACTTACAGTCCTGTGAGCAACGAGACGTGGGATAGTAGTAAAGTCTGCCAACATGTGGTTGGAAATATAACTGCCAGAGGTCTCTGGCATAGTGGCCTAACCAGGGAAGGGAAATGCATCACACTCCCATCTCTCCTCCCCGGGCAGTTATAAGGCACGATATTTGTTTATTCTGTTACAGTATTAGGAAGTAATCTAAATTTATAATGACAAACAGGGTTATGGACTAGAGTACATGATGAGGCAAAGACTTATTGTGTGCATGGTTACAGGCCCTGTAGGGCAAGTAAATTCACCCTACAGTAACTTGTGTGCATGTAAATTAAATGTATTGCAGCTAGATTTGTTTTATAATTTTCCCATAATTTATATACTCCCATAATATAATTCCCTCTTTATTAACCCTTAGGCTGCCATTATCATCTGTTGACAATCCTTAAAGGGATTGCAGTTATCAAAAGACAATTTAAACAATTATTGTCTGGGTTTTATATGTATGATGCAAATATGGATATAATGACACTGAATGTAAATAAAGAAAAACAAGTGATAAAACTATTGGTGAAACATCAGAGGATAAATCAGGACATGTCAGCAATGCTGGTTCTCCCAAGAAAACCAGCATTGATTATAATGAAATGCCCCTTTCTGGGTGAACCCTTGTTGCTCCCTCATCCCTACCTGATACATCTGTTCTAGGCCCAGGATCAACAGACTGAATGCAAGATATGGGACACAGGCTGATGGCTTGGTGCATGCACGCTGGGATATTTTTTTATTCAACTAGTTGAGTACGAACCAACTTCATCCTACTACTCGAACAAGCTGCTTTAGTAGAAGGACGAAGGGTCAAGTATTAGGCTGAGCTTGTCCAACATTCCATGTTGTATCTTGGAGCCTATGCTGTGTCAAGGTTTTGATGCATCTGAAATTGAAATTGAAATTGAAATAAGTTTATTGAGGTAAAATACACACAAAGGGATGAGGTAGCTCAAGCTATTCTCACCCCATTCAGTACAACGTGTTAATATATACATAGACACACATCACAAATAAACACATTACCAAACATTCTGAGAGGTAAACATAGGAGGTTTCCTCCTTCACAAGTAGTATGGTATCAGACGTACACACAAATACTTTTATGACCTAGGTATACTGTATAGACAATTTGCAAGACACCTGCAGATAATTCAACAAAATATTACAATCTTGGTGCAAAATTCTTATATCTCTCAAGAATATCATCAACCTTTCCGTTGTGACACATCCAGGCTATTTGTTCAGGAACAGTCCTTATCTCAGTGTTTCTATATACACTAATCAACGGACAATCAAGAATATAATGGGCAAGGGTGTGAGACCTTAACATACCACATAGTTTACACTTCGTGTCATTACCATGAACATCTATCCCATATTCCCAGTAATATTTGTACCCAAGCCTGAGCCGCATGTACACAGAGTCACTCCAAGCATTTCTCCTTTTACCATAAGTGAAATGGGTGTTTTGACTCACATACATGTAGTGTTGCATGGTTTGACTACTCTCATACATTATCTCTCTCCTCTCCACTCCCGCCTGTGCCTGAATATTTCTGATTTTGCTTCTTATTTGTCTCATTGTGAATTCACATTCGATATCAACTTGTGGTTTTGATGTGGCACGTTTGGCCAAGTCATCCGCCACCTCGTTAAGCACTATTCCAACATGAGATGGAATCCACATGAATTTCACACTATAACCTTTCAGCTGTATCTCAGTTATTCTTCTCTTACAGTCCTCCACTATAGACATGAAGACTGGGTTTCTACTGTTTAAGGACTCCAGTGCTCCTCGGCTATCGACAAATACAAAAACATTTTTGTCGTCATGACGTACTTCCTCCAAACACGCCAGAATGGCCTGCAGTTCAGCTTGTGTGGATGATATATAATTACTAAGCCGGAGTTCAATTATCCTGTCCACAGTCCCAAACTCCGTATAATCCCTTATTAGGACACCACACCCTGCCCTGCCATCCTCCGCCACCGACCCGTCGCAATATACATGTAAACTGTTGCCTCTTGGTAACCGAGATATCATGCTTCCATACAAACACCGTAATTGTCCCGGTTCATGATGAATCTTTTTCACCTTGAGGGGTACAATTTCGACGTCTATTTTCTGTACTTTCCAGGGAGCAGACATATTACACTTTCGAGAGGGTTTACAGCAGTCAAGTACGTCGTATTCCCTGAGGTCATGAGCTAATCCTCTCGTATAGCGAGTCTCCCTCAGTTTCCTGGAAGTGTGTACGTCACTCAAGCAGGTCTGAACGCTCTCAAACAGCTTATCCCCTCCTTTTCTCCGCATGAAACGAATAGATACTCTAGTGTTAATGTCACGGACTCTATCACACACACTCTGTAAATTTAATTCCATTCTCATTATTTCAATCATTGCATTTCTTTGACATCCAAGAATAATCCTCATAGCCTCGTTCTGTATCAGCTCTATTTTTTGAATTCTGCCTTGGCCTGTGTAAGACAATACGGGTGCTGCGTAGTCTATCAGGGATCGAACAGTGCTTATGTATAACATCCGCAAGATAGGTACCCCAACACCTTTACCAGAAAAAGCCAGTGCTTTTAGAGGATGCAGACGGGCTTTACATAAGGTGCTGATATGATTTATTTCAGCATTTTTACTCTCACATGTGTATCCAACATACATGCCCAGATACTTGTACTTCTGTACACGGCTCAGTTCCACACCATTTAGAGTAAGTGTTATATTTCTTCGTTTCCTATACTCGTATTTGGTTTTATCTGCATTTATAACTAAGCCTAACTTGTGACAGGTTGTACCAAGTATGTTAAGAGCATCTTGAATTTTGTTCCCAGAAGTGCCTTGTATAAGAATGTCATCAGCATATATGATCGTCGTGACCCCTGGAGGATACATCTCTGATGCTAATCTGTTCATTAATACATTGAATAAGGTGGGACTTAATACTCCCCCTTGTGGGGTACCTAACTGAAACCTCCGTTCCTCAGACATGTATCCCTGGTAATACACCTGACCTTTTCTGCCTTGCAGGTAATCCCTTATCCAGTGTAGCAATCTCCCTGTTATTCCCAGATTGGCTAATTCGTATAAGATTACTTCCCCATTGGCTTTATCAAACGCTCCTTGTAGATCAACAAAAACTCTACAATTGTCATCCACATTAGACAAACACTTTAAGAGACAATCCGCAGTACTTTTGCCTTTGATAAAACCAAAGAGATTATTGGACATGTTATCACCTACAAGGTAGAGTAGCCTATTTAACAAAATCCTTTCCATCATTTTACAAAAGCAGGATATTAAGGAGACAGGTCTGTAGCCTCCGTTTGACTTAGGGATAGGAATGATGACAGCCTCTTTCCATTTTCTTGGTAACTTTCCCTCTCTATAACTCATATTAAACAAATCAAGTAAGGGATTAGGTTTCATACCGGCTAAATAATTAAGTATGTCATACGTTACTCCATCTTTTCCCGGAGCAGTGGAGCTGCCACTTTTTATAGCATCCAGTAGCTCATCGTGGGTTATCTCAGTGCATGCTATAGATCTTGTATTTAAGGCACATAAAGTTACTCCATTTCTAATATTTTCCCATGACTCAATGGTGACTCTCGTGTCTGCAGGTAAGGACTCCATACCAGCAGCACTTGCCCATTTATCTACTAACTCATTAGCAACTTTCCCTGGATCTGAGTGAGCAATGAATTTAGTCTTACAACCCCTGACTTTATTTACTGCTCTCCATATGTCTTTAAGGTTCTTAGTATTACCAATGGCCTGAGCAAAGTCTTGCCAGTATCTGTCCCGCGCCTCCTTCCTCACCTGACTGCATTCCCTAGCCACTTCCAACATTGTATTTTTCTCTTCATCCCTCCTTCCATTTTTTAACCATGCTTTATGCGCACCCCGTAGCATTCTCTCCCATCCCTTGACTTGCTGATCATTGGAATATTTAAATTTCTTAGGTCCGTGCGTCTTGCTTCCCCTGCCCCCGTTATTTTCCCTCTGTACTAATTTCTCTATGTTCACGACCATGTCCTCGTAAAAACTATCAACGCAGAGCGGCGTGTAATGTTGATACCAATCTCCCATATTTTGAATAAAATAATTTTTCATATCTTTCTTAATATTTAGCCTTTTCCTTTGAAAGTGGACTTGTTTTTTCCCCAGTGGTAATTCAACGTTCAAGGCAAAGTGGTCACTAAGTAGTTCCCGAACAACCCGAGCCTCCCCCATAATCCCCTGAGAGTTTAAAACGCAGGCATAGTCAAGCCGTCCTCCCTTGATGTGAGTTGGTTCATTGTTTCCCAATAGACAGGTATCTGGATGATCTTGTAGAAACTGTAACCACTTGACCCCATTAGCATTAATACTACCCACTGTCCCAAGGCTTGTGTGCCGAGCATTAAGGTCCCCAATGACCAGTGAAGGATTAGTATAAATGCAGTCAGGTAAATAGTTAGCGTCGAAGCAGTTCCTGGATACATACAAATTAACTACAATAAATTCCCCTTCCCTTAATGATAATTTAACACAAACACTCTCTATACCTTGCGTTTTTGATGGCGGTTCTACTAACTCTGCTGGTATGGAGTTCTTAACATAAATCGACGTGCCTCTGATGTTATTTGCAGCGAAGAGGTGAAACCCTTTATAGCCATTTAATTTCAATAATCCTTCATTCCTATCCCCTGTCTCCTGGAGAGCTACAACATCAATATCATTTCCCATCACATAACAATGAACATCTGTAACCCTGTTTCTCAAACCATTAACATTCCATGACAACACTTTCAGTCTAGGGTGATCCATTATTAATCAATTCATTGCCTAAGTCATCCCCAATAAGTTCACTAAATGATAGCCATACCTTGTATAACATCTCCCACCTCCTCCCAAGTTCACCAGTAAAAGCGACATTGCGATTCTCAAGAGATTTTTTCAGCCCTGAGATGTCCATTATTGGCCCAAATGATTCCTTCATTTTATGTGTAATTATAGGGTTCTTCCTTTCACTACGACTACCATCATTCACACACACTTCACTTTCCTTCATTTCATCACTCAATATTTCATCTTTGTCCTCAACCACTATATCCTGATTATCCTTCACCGTTTTGTGATTTTCCTTGACCTCCTGAACGTTTAATTTAGCCTCGATGGACTCGATTCTCTGCCCCAGATTTTGGAGGAACTCACCAACTTTTTTAAGTTCAGCCCACACTTCCTTGACCATATTATTATGACCCTCTCTCTGAGCCACAGTAGCCACTTCACTCACCGTTACACTGTCACTGCCGGAGTCCTGAGTGGTGGCGTGGCTGCTTGTTGCTGGAGCCTGCCTAAGTAAAGGTGACTCCTTTACCCACGCATTCGTCCGGTTCACTGGCACTGTTTGGGGCAGACTGTTTTGCTGTGCTCCCGGTGTCTGGGTAAGAGCTCTTGCTTGCTCTGTAACATTCACCGGCCGGAGAACAGCCATACTCGGCCTCTTGCTACACACAGCCGAGCTCGCATTGTGAACACCTCCACAGTTGCAGCATCTGGGAACTATTTTCTCACCCAGATTCAGTCTGTTTCTACACACAGTAGAGAGGTGAGACTTTCCGCAGAAACGACATCGTGGATCATTTTGACATCTCCAGGATTTATGCCCCCATCTGCAGCATTTCAGGCATATTATGGGCTCTTCCACATACTTTGCTACATGCCTGTAGCCAGCCCCGGTGATGAACACTTTTTCGGGTACGTCACCTCTCACTAGAGCCACCACCTGACTCCTAGCTTCACCTTTAATAAGGTGACGCTTGGCCCACACAAATCGTTGGTCGTCGAGTATAAACTCGGGGTCCAGAATCTGAGGGTATTTATAGATAATTACCTTCGTCAGCTTCTCGTTCCCCTCCGGTATTTCCATAAGAATTCCATCGTATCCTTGCTGGGTAAGATACTCCACTGCCTCCATAGAACCTACCGTTAAGTAAGGTCTGTTTACACCTTCCTTCAGCAGGGGCTCGAACTTGCGGTGTTCTCTTCCGAGTTTGACGGTCCACAGCAGCTTCTGATGATAGGCCAGCGTGCATGAGGCAGGGAAGAGAAGCCTCCATCTCCGCTGATCCTCACCTTCCTGACATCGTTCCGTCCGTTTGTCTGCATCAGTCTCGGCGTCGTTCTTCATTCTTTTATCGTTTCCGTTAAGTGTATTACTGTCCACACTACGCCTTGCCTCCTGTCTTCTTCGTTTCTTCTTATTCCTTGTCAGAACTTCTTGAAACACGCCCTCCTCGTCTGACTGGCTGCTTTCAGAGTCCATGTTAATAACGCCGTGAGAAGTAGCCATGTCTTCTGGTGACTGAGTCTCCATCTCAGTACCCAGCATGGGGGGAGGGGGGGGGGGGAAGGTGCGGAGCAGGTATCTTGACCCGACCGCGTCCCAGGTAAGACTGTTGATGCATCTTGCACATAAGAAAATAAAACTATCCTACCTTTAAACCAGAAATGAACCTCACAGGCCACTGACCAGAAGAGAATCTCCAAAACCATGTAATTGCCCTCTGGGTAAAGGAGCATGCAAGTCGCCTCTGTCATGAGACAAAATCACCCATTCCCTGGATTTGTTTTTTTTACTTTAATGAAACTGAAATTGCAAATCTACAGTATATGAAAATTACTAAAACATGAATAGTGCACACACAGTGGGGTGCCTATACAGTATTTCACTGGATTAGTCTGGCAACCTAATGTAAATACATTATGAAAATCAAGTACTATTTTATCATAGTACTGTAACTTATGTTATTAAGAGTAAATAAGAAAACTACAGCTAAGAAATTTGGGTGGGAGGCATCAGGCAAAATCCTCCAAATCTAAAATTATATAGAAATTCACTGCAGGGGAGTTTGAAACATTTTTAATAAACATTAGATATAAAATACAGCATTACCAAGTAGGCTTACCAGAGACGTCGTATGGTGTACATGACCAAAATGTTTTAGTAGAGGTTGTATAAACAATATTCTTAAAGCTAAGTAGTAAATGTTTAACATTAATTGGATGGTCTGTTTCCTTCACTACCTGAATATAATTTGATTAAATAGTTTTAATCATTCCCATATATAATTATAATTAACTTACTTTAATATATAACTTACAAAAATATTTTATTAAATACGTTGCCGTTTGATAATTTTGGATTACACATGAAATAACAAACTTTGACATAAAATGAAGTGGTTAGTAGTGACTGCTTTTATTACTGTACATATGCATGAAAGTCACTAAAGTTTCATATAAATCATTACAAATAGTTCAAGAATAATAAATAACAAGTGAATACAAAGTAATTATCAAATGAGGGTTCCAAGCCTGGTAGACTGTGTAGAAAAATAACATGCTCTTATATCAGGTGTATGTTTCATTCCCTGCAGTGAGTCATTCTATATAGCAGTGCTTCAGCTGTGAGCGCAGAGCCCCAACATGTGCACACATAGCCTGAAGGAGGGAATTGCACCCTCACACCCATGAAGGAAGAGTTAATAGCAAGCAGTGAAGGTTGGTTCATTAACATGTTAGCATGGAATCCATTAAACAGGAGGGGAGAGAGAATGGCTAGGTAATGATTTCAAAAGGCAGAAAAAATGAAGTAGTGAATTATGCTTTCTCTACAAAATAAGTCAACACAATAGGTCTCCGACCAAGCCTCCTGATTGACTGTCAAGACAACTATGATGTTAGAAGATTCTGCACACACTCCAATATATGGATTCACAGCACAGATGATCAGGTACCACTTAAAAATGTTTTCCTTTTAAAACCCCATCAAAAGTTGGCTAGTTATATCCCTTATATTTAGGAGGAGGGTGTAGTATTAGGACCTTAATATTTATAGAATGCTCTCCCAGTACCTGTTGCACCCCTGCTTATCAGTGTGGCAAATAGAGAAGTATGCATCTATCCACTTCCCAGGAAGTAGAGAACAAGACTAACTAATCATAAGAAGGCATCAAGCCATGGAGAATATGTACAACAATCAGCCACAGGAAATACAAGAGGCCCTCAATATCAGTGAGGATGCTAATATTAGAACAAAAGTACATAAGGAGTGCGATATCAAAGGTATTGCATTCACGAAGGATTCTATTGAAAGGATAAGACTTTAAAGTATGCATCTTAAAGCATTCAATTCACTGAGGGAGTGGGACACCAAAACACCTCTGTCTTGGTCTCTGAGTGACCAAAACAAACAGGTGTCACAGCAACCATAATAGTTTAGCATTATCTTTATACAGAAGGGAATTATCAGAGTGACAACAGGAGACTAAACCCGGGCCCCTTAGGAGTATGACCTTAAGGGCGCTGTCCACTGGGCTCCAAGGTAGGTAGGGGGGGGGGGTGTATGTACTCACCTATTTGTGCTTGCGGGGGTTGAGCTCTGGCTCTTTGGTCCCGCCTCTCAACAGTCATAGGAATGACTTGCCTCCCGAGTAAAAGTCATAACACAAGTTAAATTTAGCTGTAGCCATGATTGGTGGCACATGATGACACATCATTATTGCAAGTTGGAGGTGGTTTTGAAGAAGAGTCCATCACCATGACAGTAAAAATGCTGAGAAAATGGCAGGGAGGAAGGAAGACCATTTAGGGCAGCCAGGAAAGAGAGTAGCGTCAGCCTTACTTTAAATGAACAACGAGAGAGAGAACTGAAGCTTTTATGGAAGAGTGGCAGAATCCCAAAGATTGCACAAAGGCCAAAACATTATAGTTGGTCTAAAATACTGTATCTTCAGGTAGTGTCAGATCTTTTTCAGGTCTGACACTACCATTGGATGTATGCCCAAATACAAAGCATACTAGAGAAAGAGACAAGAGATTGTTATAGAAGAGCTGTAGGCGAGTGGTAGCTACTGTAAGAGATCGAATGAAAATCTACTTCTATTAAGGAAATGTAAGTTAGGAGGCCTGGTCGATGACCGGGCCGCGGGGACGCTGAGCCCCGGAAGCACCTCAAGGTAGGTAAGGAGTGTGAAAGTCCAAGGAACAAGATTCAATAAGCAGCTTATGAAAGGGGTAAGGAAAGGAGAAGAAACATGAGAATTGGAGCTAACGGTATTAAAGCATAAACCGGGTTCATGTGCAACTGATACCGATAGGCAATAAGTTTGAAACAAATTTACCTGCAATCTGATGCATGAATAGTTTCTTCCAGATCTTAGGTAGATGGGTGCCAACAGTAATGGCAGAGACATAAGATTTCCAACTTTCACACTGAGATGCACAGATGGCCCTATGGGTCACCGCACTCGCCTTCTGAAACAATATAAAAGATTCAACCGTTTGTTGGCATCAGTGTCTTTATCATCACTGGTGTGCCATCTCTTGTTTGAAAGGTTCCTGTTATCCAACCTGTCATTTTTATTAGTTCTGACAGCTACTTTGTTGTGATCTTTAAACTAAGGTCTTCTGACATGATTATTATCCCCAAATCTTTTTACATTTCTTTTCCTTAATTTAAGTAATTTCTGTTTTGATATCTTGATATGATAGCCCTAGTATTTCACTCATTTCTTTGTTGTCAGCTGTGAAGGTTCCATCACCCTTGCACAAGAGCCCAATGCATGTAGTAGTTTTTGTTCTAGATTTTGCATACAAGAAAAAGTATTTGGGATTCCTTTCAATTTTGCTTATGGCCCTTTACTCTCTTTGCCTCTTTTGAATTGTAACCAATTCTTGCAACTTTAGCTTGATTTCTTTCAATATCTCTAAATAACCTTCTTTGTTGCTCTTGGAATAATCAAGTAATTATCAAAAAGAAGGCACCAAACTGGGATGCTCTTGGAATAGTGGAGCATTTGAGATGTTCTGCTATTTGGTTTTGTCACCTGTAGAGAGAACTCTGTACTTATTCCAGTTTGCACATCTTTCTCCTTAGTGGTATGTGACTTTCCTATACTGTATTTCTAATGCTACTGTACCTATTTTCTCAAGGCACTGGTTTAGGGTTGCAATATCTCATTATCTTTCTCAACATATTTGTTATGTCTTGGTGTAATTTTTCAGTTAATCCATTTGTATTAACATTTACTTTCCTGAATTCTCCTCCTCTTGGATTTTAAGCTGACTGCACAGGTCTATTGCCCATTGCATATCTGAACTTCACTTAATTGTTATGTCCCTAATCAGTTCATCATTGCTTGGTCAAAATAATTTTTAAGATGGTTTCTTTTCTAGTTGTTTCCATTTGTTAGTTTAAGGCAAATCTATCACACATCTGCAGGGTCATTTGTGTGACTTCACTTGAGGTCACACAAGACTGCTTCCTGGGATTCTCTCTGGTATAACCGTATTTGCCACATTTTTCCACTTTAGGTACAGTACCATAAACTGAAGTTACCAACGAAGATGATGGTTAGGACAGGGTTTGAGAGGTTTTCTAAGTGCTATTTCCTATGTTGGTCTTTAAACTGCTGAGGATTTACATCTGGTAATTTATATACAAGGACAAGGACTACCACATTTAGAATTTTGTATTTTGATTATCAGCACTTCCACCATATCATTTGTGATATTTAGCAGCTCTATACAAATGTGTGGCTGACCCCACCCTGTAGCCTATGTTTTCCATCACATTTGAAAAGATTGAATTCCGGTGTCCATATCTCATCGTCATAATAGTCCATTGTGCAAGTTTCAATTTAAGCTGTAAACACTATATTTGCCTCATTTAGGAGACCAGTTATAAAGTGGACTTGCAGATACAAAAGATGATATTGTATTTGTGGAAGTGCTGGATATTTTACTTGCCCTCAATATCTGTTGTTTTGGTAGGGGGGAGTCACATCGTGTCCTGTCTAGCATTTGACAGAGTTGATAATAGAGTTTGAACATTTCTTGCCATTCTTTTCCTCTTTCTCTTACTAAAAAAAAAAAAGAATAATGGTATGTATGGGTGCTGTTGTATTCATAATGGCATTCTTTTGATTTTATTAGCTTGGTTCATTTGATATGAAATGCTGGGCAGTCTCTCTTTGAAAATTCCTTCTTGTTTAGTGTAGTTTTAGACAGTTTTGGGTGGAAAATATTCAGTTTTCAGAGTGACATGTACCTGTACTGTATTTAGGATACAGTGTATTTCTGCAGTTTCCCAGGTGTTTATACAGTATATGCACGTTCATCAGTTCTTCCCGATAGCCAATATTTACATACACCCCAAGTATAACATTGGCACAGATCCCAGGTTTATGCTTTGTTTGATTGTGTTGGTTTATTCATAGTACATTTTGTGTTGGCTCTTTGCTGAAAGATTTAGGTAAAGGTCTTGCAGATTACTGTTGTTGCTGATCTGTCATTTCCTTGCTGCTTCTAATATTTCTCTCTGGCCACTTGTGCATACATTAGCTGCATATCCTTCTTGCACTTTCTTATATTTTGTATAACCTATATTCTTTTCTGACAAACGCCCTTTTTCCTGTTGGATTTCCTTCTCTAACTTATGGCATTCACTAACGTCTGGATTTGACTTTAGGGAAAGTGCTATTTTTAGTACATAATTTTCCTCATCCAGGACATTTCTCTTAGTTTACCAGTGTTTTTTATCCTTGCATAATTCCTTTATTTGACTTAACAAGTTGTAACTTTGTTTCTCAACCTTTCATTACTCCTGCTCAAATTTTAAATTAATTCTATCCACAAGATACTTTATAAATTATCTTTATTTTTTCCAACCTGTTGTGGAAATCAACAGCTTGGCAAAAATATTAATGCAAACCATCAAAATTAATCTCTTCTGTTTTGTCCTTCCTCATGCTGGTTGCCATCTTTGTGCTCCCCACGTTTTCTTTCAACAACACAATTTGTCTTTTGTTAATAATGAAAAAATTATCATTATTTCCGATACTGAAATACTTTTTAATTCTACGGATTAAAGATCAAAATCAATACCAAATCTCCATGAGCCTCATTCTCATACAGAACGCTTCAACCATTTTTTTATATAAAACAATTACTTGTCAGTCAATTAAGTCATCAACAGGCCTCTGTTCCAGTATGCAAGGCAACTCCAGCATTCATGGTAAATGAAGCCAGTATATTTTGTTTACTTAAAAATACAGTCCCCAGACCCAAACTCTTAGTAATCAAGAACCCTTGTATGTGTGTGTGTAATTAGTTAAGTGCAGTTACAGGATGAGAGATACAGGCTGTACACTCATGGTGTCCCGTCTTCCCCTACACTGCCTTTCATTATCTTGCCTCCAGGAGCTCAGTGTTTGCTTCATTGGTTTGCCTAGTCATCTATTATGACAGCCTATAATGCTTTGACCAAATTATTTGTTCCCATCCTTTGTAACCGTCAGATTTCTTCCGTTTTCATGGTTTTTGTTAGCCCTTTCGTAGAGTCCCTCATGAACGACTTTTCGATGGCTTGGACAAAGGATTTTTTTTTTTTGGGGGGGGGGGGGATCTTGAAGCTGGTGGCCCCAGTCCTAATAAAGTCCTGGGCAACATCTACTCCACTACAGTACGTTACACCCACACATTGGACAGGGTCATGATTGCCATGGCCTTTCCTTTGTGGGTCACATCCTGCAGTGTTCTTGTGGCAGGCAGAAATACTGTACAGACCCAATTGATTCTCATTGCTTGCAAAGAATGAATGCTCTCCTTTGTCCTTTAAAGTTTTGAAGGAAGTTAAAGCCAGTCTTGGTTCATTTACCCAAGACCTCAATGATTCCTGCTAACAGGAATCATTTTTTCATATGGATGGGGTTTTGGTTTGGGTAACCTCCAAATTTCATATCTTCCCGCTCCCAGGTCCTTGAAGAAACCAATTGGAATATAACACACTAATTTTGTAAATTAATGGGATTATGGATTGAGCAAACTTCCAGCTTTTGAAACGAATCCACCGCCCAAAATATTTACTGGGCTTGTTCATGTCATTCACAGGGAGCTTTGGCTCTTGGGTATCCAAGTCATGGTTAATCTCTAACTGGTTGTTTTGGCTTTCCAGATACAGTATTTACCTTTGTTCTAGCCATAGTCTTTTCAAGTCTTTTTGTTTCTTGAATGTTGTCATCTATTTTCTGTTTTTCCGTTAGCGTCACATTTCCTCCTCAGAGGCAGTGGATGTCACTGTGAAGACTCATTAGCATTAATTGAGCTGGCAAGCCTCATGCCCGTCTACAGTAGCCACAAGTTTGCCATTCAATTCGGTGATCGAGTCCATTTGGTTGTAGCCACCACCACCACTCCTTTTTGGTTAAGAATTAGTCAGTTACATTCAGTCAGCAGTATTGAAGTTATAAATAGATGCAAAAGCCCAAAAGACATGACTCAGCATGGAATTTAAGGGTAAGAAAGTTAGGACAGATATGAGAACCAGTGCTAATTGGCCGAGATGTGAAACGAGCTCATTCACATTTGACACGAGCTCTGTAATAACAAAACTGTGAAGATTAAGGACAGCTATATCAAGGATGAATTTTACTGCAAATTACTAAATCATTTTTCTAAACTAGATAATTCAGTTGGACCTCACTCAATCTCCCAGGTATACCCTTAGTCCTCCTCAAAAGCAATACAGTACTTTATCCCCTCGGCAGATGATGGAACAAGGGACAATACAGTACACAGGTCACCATGTGCAGAAAATGTATGGGTGGTTAAGTTATGGGCGTATTTTGCTTGTGCACTGCCATGGCAGGTACCAGAAGTCCCCTGCCCCCCTTACCCTCTCCCACAAGGGGATGCCGAGAAGCAACTGGCATTGTTCGTGATTAATTATTGCTTAACCTTTAAACCACGCAATACATAAGCATACGATGGGAGTAACTTTCCCGAAACAGCGCAATATGTACATATACGACTGAGGGTTTAGCACACGAATTTAAATGCCCCACGAGGGATAGGGGCAGCTATAGTCCAGCCACAGCCGATAGTAAACACCACTTATAAAAAAAATCGTGGGTAACATATCCTGGTGTGAGAGCCTCAGTTTTGAGTGAGCCACCAAGGCTGGTACACACAGCATGAGCTCACAGCACTGCTGTTCAGCTTGTGACCACAGCATTGCCTAAAAATGTCAAAATATATATGTACATGCTATTATTTAGCAATGATAGTATTACAGAAGACCCCTGACTGATTAAAATGACCAGGATTCTGATAATAGCAGGACTGTGGTGATAATTAGCACTGTGGTGGGAGGAGTTCTCTTCATGGGGAGGGAGGTAGCATTGTCTGCTGACTGTGTGACCACCTTTTACTGTCTGGACTCACTATACCAGCTTGGTGGTTCGCTATCGTCAGCACAAATGTAGATACTTATATATAACGTGTGTATATAGGGTAATATACAGCAAAAGGAGTATGTTGGGAGGAGCCATTTTGGCGAGGAAGGTGGCGTCGTCTGCAAGACTTTGTCATGAAGTGTATAGTGGCCACTATGCTGTTTGGGCACCATATCAGCTTAGTTGTACAGTTATGGCGAATAAAACATGTAGACACAGTACTTATATACAATGTGTGCATATAGTGTAATAACATCACAAATACTGTAGTATGATTGGAGGAGGAATGTTAGTATGTTTGGCCTTGAACGAGGGAGGGGAGGGAGCATTGGCTGACTCTGTGTGGTGACTGAGTTATTGCCTAACTCACCATACCAACTTAGATGAACAGTAATGTTGAACAAAACATGTATTTATATATAACGTCTGAATATAGTGACTAAAAGCAAAAACAGTATGGTGGGAGGAGATTGTTGGCGAGCAAAGTGAGGTGAGGATGGGAGTGGCGGCCAGTGGCTGGCTAGCAGGTGTGGTGGCCACTCTTTATTGCTTTTTGACTCGCCAGACCAACTTAGTGGTTAGTTATGGTGACCAAAAGATGCAGATACTTATATATAACCTGTGTCTATACAGGTAGTGTAATAACAGCAAAACTATGTTAATTATTTTATGAACATAAGAATTGAATCACAGATATGCACACCATAATTCTGAGTATAGCAATGGTTCACACATTTTATTATATACAAATAAAGTGTGCAGTGTGATAAATATATCACACTACACACTACTGAATAATATTACTGCAAAAACACTAAGAAAAAATCAGACATTGAAATAATTAGGTAATAATATCTTTGTGTCAACTTCCGCCTGACAGCTGGGGTAGAGCAGATCACCTCCGATGCTTGCTGTGTCAACGCCTCTTTTTTTTTTTTTTTGGCCAGACATTGCGGCCAAAATATGTCACCTAAGATTTTTTTTTTTTCTTTTTCCCGTGATCAGCTAACACAAATGAACATTTTTATAAGAAAAGTTTTTTGTTTTGTTTTTTGCACCTGGCGGTGTTGCAGGCCATAAACCCCTTAGCGGTTTAAGTGTTAAAAGGGGCCGAGTCCACTTTACTCTAAAAAAAACGTTTTCAGAGTTACATTTCTTTGATATTTAGCCTTTAAACATGAGAATGGTCACTATGAATAGTAAGTACTCTTAGTTGGAGTAAACTTCCAACTACGATTTTTTTTTAACCTCCCCCCCCCTCTATCCAAAAATCTCATTTTGAAATTTGAATTATCCCACCAAAAAATGCAGTGTCACAAATCTTCAACATTATCAATTTTATTTACATAACTTTGTAAATACTTTCCCATAGACTTGTATTAAGCTAATCTGGTCTTTTCATAAAAAAAAAATACAAAGCAGTATACTGTACTAGTTAGGAACCCACCATTATTGACAGATTTATTTGATACTAGAAAATTTGTTTAAAATGTTTAAGAGTTGATCAAATTCTTTCCTGTATTGCTCAAAATATATCTGATAATGAATTCTGCCTCAGGTCCATTAACCTGCACTGTGTTTAGGTCAATTCCCTGGTGCATAAAAACTAAAAATTTTATATCGTAAAACAGTTATTTCTAATGTTGGGATTTTTGTTTAATAATTTTAGTTTGGCTATAGTCAGGTGTATTATGACTGAAAACATCAATTTCTGCTAATATTCAAATTATTCTTGTAATAATATTTTTCTTTATTACAAATATCTTCCTGGTCTATAAATTCTTGAAATTTAGCATGGCAACAATGGGTCTGGTTAGTAAATGGATGGTGATGCCCCCGAGATTGTGCTCTTTATTTATTTATTTTTTTTAATAATGACCAGGATGGTAACTAGGGCTTTCAGGTTATTTTTGCCAATATGGCAAACAATTACCAGAGGTTTCTACAGTCAAATGGTGTACATATAGAATATTTAGAATGTTGAATATTAAAAGAAAAAACAGATCGTACACAGATGACATCAGCATTGTCAGTCCATAATAATCTTTTAATATGAAAGTTTTAAACACACAGTATATGAACCATCTATGCTTTTATTTGTAGTGCTAGTCCCTAACTGTAAAGTGAAACCACACTAAGAACAGTAGTGACAGCATTTTAAGTTCCACTTTACTTTTTTATTATTTCAATTTTATTTACCTATCCAAAATGTAACTTGTAAAATAAACTCATAACTAAACCAACCTTCTTATATGGAAGTACTTACTGTGCAGCAACCCTTTTTGTGAGGCTGTACTGTACTGTACTTACTATGCAGCAACCCTTTTTGTGAGACAGTACTGTACTGTACTTACTGTGCAGCAACCCTTTTTGTGAGACAGTACTGTACTGTACTTACTGTGCAGCAACCCTTTTTGAGAGGCTGTACTGTACTGTACTTACTGTGCAGCAACCCTTTTTGTGAGACAGTACTGTACTTACTGTGCAGCAACCCTTTTTGTGAGACAGTACTGTACTGTACTTACTATGCAGCAACCCTTTTTGTGAGACAGTACTGTACTGTACTTACTGTGCAGCAACCCTTTTTGTGAGACAGTACTGTACTGTACTTACTGTGCAGCAACCCTTTTTGTGAGGCAGTACTGTACTGTACTTACTGTGCAGCAACCCTTTTTGAGAGGCTGTACTGTACTGTACTTACTGTGCAGCAACCCTTTTTGTGAGACAGTACTGTACTGTACTTACTGTGCAGCAACCCTTTTTGTGAGGCAGTACTGTACTGTACTTACTGTGCAGCAACCCTTTTTGTGAGACAGTACTGTACTGTACTTACTGTGCAGCAACCCTTTTTGAGAGGCTGTACTGTACTTACTGTGCAGCAAATGAAGTCCAAATTGGAAGTTTAAAAAAAGGCCTTACCGGATTTTGAAGCTTTTAGTGTGTGTGTGTGTGCCGTCTGTAGTGGCACACACCATAGCTGAAACATGTTCTTTTCTAACCTGAGGGCATGGTAGAGATTCCACTAGTCTACTAGCTAATGTTTCAGATGGAATACCTCTCCACACTAGATCAGTTTCATCAGCATTATAGATCTGAAAGAAAAAAAATCATTTATGGTTACCCATAACCACCTTTATTTTCCTCTTCAATGACTCCACATCAGACTCACTTTTCCCCAGATATCTTCCTCCTCCTTACTGCAAACCATCGTTTAAAAATCTAAATCTACCCAGATATATTTAATGAGCAAGTCACAAAAAAACCTCCTCTGAACCTTATTCTACTTGCCAACCACAGACACAGCAACACTATACTGTTGAATACATCACTTTTAAACATTTTGAGACCACACGTATTTTTCTCTGAAACTTTTACAATTTATATATGTATGTATGTACGTATGTAACGAAATGCCAATTTCTGAGCAAGCTCCAGAGGCTCCTTAAAGCTATATGCTGAGATGGTAATATGTACTATGTCACACCAGCTGTGCCATTCTATAGGCCTACCAGGGACCAGTGCCAGAACCTGCCACTCCCCCTCATAGAGGCATTGAGTGGTGACATTTGTATGTCATCCTACTGTGGAAGGCAACCAAAAAGTCAGCAAGTCAACACACATTACTGCTAGGTTCAAAGAGACCAAAGCTTCAAAACCTGCCTTAACACTTTCGCCCGGGCATGACGCAGTATTGCGTCATCCATTTACTGTCGTTAATACCGGGGATGACGCAGCATTGCGTCATCCACTTCAAATAATCGCCAAAAATCAGGTTTTTATCCGATTTTTTGGGACTGGTTTTAAAATGTGCGCCGATGTCTTCCCATTTTCTTTGTTGAGCCTTGTGGCCCTCAGGCGGCTTGGCACACGCCGTGGGCCCATTGTTTTCGCTCCACTGTTGTGACCAATGTCGCCTCCCCTCGCATCTCAAACGTGTGAACATTTCGGCTATTTTCCGTGGCTATATTTCTTACTGCGGCTTTAGAAACTATCTACTCTTACTCCACGATGGATAGTGATCATGAACAAGGCCCTTCCAGGAAGAAAATTGCAAAAGAAAGGCTTGAAAAGGGCGGGAATTGGGAGTGTAGCTGGAAGGCGTCTGAGCGCTCACTCGCGGCTAACGCGTGGCCCGTCTTTAACTCGTCGGCGGTTGGAGCGTGACCAGGTTTTTTATTTTATATGCTAATATTCTTCTAGAGAATTTTATTGCGAACCCATTGAGACCAAAATGAAAGACCTAGGACGAAAATTGCGGTGACCAGAGTGAAAATAATGAAAACATTTTATCGCATTTGCGCGCTCCTGGGTAACTCGTTCGCACTTTCTCTGTTTGCTGCGGGTAATTAGCCGGGATTTTGGAGTTTATATGCATTTAGTGCTGTAGAGAATTCTATTGCGAACACAATGATACCAAATTTAATCTCGTGGGACGAGAATTAAGGTGACAAAGTTGAAGAGAGTATACACTTTTCAGAATTTACGCGCGCTCCCGTGACACTTGGGGACCCAAATCGCACAGTTGAGGGGTGGCGCGCGGGGTACGCCAAAGTGTTAAGAACTTCCCAAAAAATGTAAACACACAATTGAATTCTCTCAGAACTAGTGCAAGTGTTTGCTCCACCTCCAGTCTTATTTGTGGGGAGGTACCCCACTGCTCGACATTGTCTGAGCTCCCAGGTTGAGCATTTAACACATGAAAACATCCACCCAATGATCTGGAAGTGAGAGAGAATCAGGGAGTCAATGGGGCTCACCCAGAAATTGCTGTTTCATTGCATTATTGGACTTCACTGCCCTGCACCCTCACCTATCAGAGGCGAGGGTGTAGGGCCGTGTGTGAACTTCTCTCACAAAGGGAAGTTCACACACGGGGGATATCTCAAGAATAACAAGAATATATGCAGATAACCACTAAAGGGTTACCTAGGATTGATAGCAATATAAAACCCACAATGCCCACTTGACTCAATGTCTGACTAGGCACGCCAAGCAGACAACTCAGGGGAGCCTCTCTGAACTCCTAATTTTACCTAAAATCCCACCCCACTAAAGAAGCAATTATCCAAGTGTAATTACATGAGGAAAGCTGCGCTCGTGGTGTCCCGTCTACCCAGCACTCTGTCATATAACGCTTTGAAACTACTGACAGTTTTGACCTCCTCCATCTTCTCACCTAACTTGTTCCAACTGTATAACACTCCATTTGCAAAAGTGAAATTTCTTATATTTTTGGGGGCATCATGCAGAGTTTAAATCTATAACCTCTTGTTCTTGAAGTTTCAGGTTTCAGGAATTCTTCCCTATCAATTCCTGTTACTATTTTGTATGTAGTGATCATGTCATCCCTTTCTTCTATCTTATAATTTTGGCATATTTAATGCCTCTAACCTCTCCTCGTACCTCTTGTCCTTCAGTTCTGGGAACCACGTAGTAGTATGTCTTTACACCTTTTCCAGTTTGTTGATGTGCTAAATGGCAGTGTGCTGCTTCCAGGGCTGAAGCTGCTCAGCAATCAGATGAAGAAACAATGGATAATATATGGGTCGCCATGCATGTCAAAAACTCAGGTGGCAAAGCCACTATGGGCATAATTTTACTGTGTATCATTCAACCCGTTCTCTCACTTTCGTATAGTCAATATTGACTTATTAAATACGTGCATATGTGACATACTTAACATACTAGTTTACCTTGAAAAGCTTTATAGAAAACACCGACCTTACCTACCCTTATTAGTATGTTAAGATAAGCTTCTTATTGCTTCATAATTACAATTATTACTTAACCTATTATAGGTATAGGTTAAGTAATAATTGTAATTGCGAAGCAATAAGATGCTTATCTTAACATACTAAGAAGGTTAGGTAGGTCGGTGTTTTCTATGAAGCTTTTCAAGGTAAACTAGTATGTTTAGTATGTCACATATGCACGTATTTAATAAGTCAATACTGACTGTAAGAAAGTGCGAGAACGGGTTGTATCATTACATCAGTCAGGCGAGGGGGAGCAGAAGCCATCCACACCCATCCTTAAGGGGGGTTAATATATTTATAAACATCCTAGTACAAATGCCAAACTCATCAGCCAGCCTTTTCACCTCCCAGCCACAATCACTTTCCTCCAATATTTTACCTTTTGTCCATGGTAAGAAATTTCCTCTTATCCTTACTACTATCACTATTTGACATGTTTCCTATTGATATATCATTTAGTATAAGAAAATAAAAGTACGAAAATCCCTGAGTAACAACAGATTAACCAAGCTTGCAGACCCAATTGAAATACTGTATCAGCACCATCAGCACTATGACCTGTGTTGGTAGTATCATATATATCTACATTATGCCACATACAATAGGAAAAATATTAAAACTTTATCAAGAAATTGCGCCTTGTCTACATTTAAATTTATTGAATACCTATAATGCATTCATATTCCTGAGTGTTGCATATAAACAATTCAAAATACAGTATTTTATTTACAAAGAGAGCAGAGAGTTATAGGAGGTGGTACACAATGCCAAACTGCAGATTAACAGATACAGTAACTATGAATAACATCACAGATAAATGGATCAACAATTAATTCAGTGTGCAAGCCACCTTTGCTGGAAGAATTCTGTAAAGTGGTAGAAACAAGTACTGTAACCTTATTCTGGAGTCCAACAGTCCTAATCCCAAGCCTTTATGATCTGTTTCCCTCTAATAGCAATACTGGGTAAACCAATTATACTTCTGTTCTATCTAAGCCCTTATACTCAGCCACTCAAGTCATTTTCATATATAGACTACAGTAGAGTACTAGCATGAACACACACACCCACGCAACAAATACTATTGATATCAGTGTCACCCTCCTTTGCCAGAGTTGCAATGCCAAACCTGTGCCATAGTAACTACTGGTACCAGTGCCAACTGCCTTTGCCATACCTACTAATGCCAACCATCTTTGCAATATTTACTATAATCAAATTTTATAATTTTTACTTAATTACTATCGACTTGAGAATGGTCCAGGACAGACCAAAACGTCGTCGTCCCTTCACCTTCTAGTGTGTGGTCTGGAACTTACTTTCCTTTCTTATCTGCTTCTGCACAACTAATGTTACTGCATTAAACATCTACACTATTACATATATACATATACATATATATATATAATATATATATATATATATTTTTATATATTATATATATATATATATATATTTTATATATTATATATATATATTTTATATATATATATATATATGTCGTACCTAGTAGCCAGAACTCACTTCTGAGCCTACTATGCAAGGCCCGATTTGCCTAATAAGCCAAGTTTTCATGAATTAATTGCTTTTCGACTACCTAACCTACCTAACCTAACCTAACCTAACTTTTTCGGCTACCTAACCGAACCTAACCTATAGAGATAGGTTAGGTTAGGTTAGGTTAGGTAGGGTTGGTTAGGTTTGGTCATATTTCTACGTTAATTTTAACTCCAATTAAAAAAAATTGACCTCTTACATAATGAAATGGGTTGCTTTATCATTTCATAAGAAAAAAATTAGAGAAAATATATTAATTCATGAAAACTTGGCTTATTAGGCAAATCGGGCCTTGCATTGTAGGCTGAAAAGTGAGTTCTGGCTACTAGGTACGACATATATATATATATATATATATATATATATATATATATATATATATATATATATATATATATATATATATATATATATAAATAAAACAAGTCTCAAATACTTTTTATTAATATTATATTTTCAGTTGTCTTTTCTTTATTATGGAAAGGATATAGGAAGTCACATGTTCATTTGTAAGTAAGTAATTATCAAAAGAAGGCACCAAGCCAGGAAGGCTACGAAGCACCATCAAATGTGCACGATTCATAGGGCCCTAAATATCACTAAGGATACTAATACGAGAACCAAAACTCATAAGGCGAACGATATCAGAGGTATCTGATTCACAAGGAATTCTATCAAGGAACAGTTGGGAAGCAAGAGACAGACTGACACACACACATACCTCTTATATATTTCTTATAAGAAATTTCCTCTTATCCTTACTGCTATCACTATTTGACATGTTTCCTAGTGATATATCATTTAGTATAAGAAAAATAAAAGTACGAAAATCCCTGAGTAACAACAGATTAACCAAGCTTGCAGACCCAATTGAAATACTGTATCAGCACCATCAGCACTATGACCTGTGTTGGTAGTATCACATCTACATTATGCCACATACAATAGGAAAAATATTAAAACTTTATCAAGAAATTGTACCTTGTCTACATTTAAATTTATTGAATACATAAAATGCATTCATATTCCTGAGTGTTGCATATAAACAATTCAAAATATTTTATTTACAAAGAGAGCAGAGAGTTATAGGAGGTGGTACACAATGCCAAACTGCAGATTAACAGATACAGTAACTATGAATAACATCACAGATAAATGGATCAACAATTAATTCAGTGTGCAAGCCACCTTTGCTGGAAGAATTCTGTAAAGTGGTAGAAACAAGTACTGTAACCTTATTCTGGCATTTTGTTTGGCATTTGTACTAAGCAATAGGAAGCAGAGAGTTACGGTGAGGGGCGAGACCTCAGATTGGCGTGAAGTCACCAGTGGATTCCCACAGGGCTCTGTACTCGGTCCTATCTTGTTTCTGATATATGTAAATGATCTCCCGGAGGGTATAGATTAATTTCTCTCAATGTATGCTGATGATGCCAAAATTATGAGAAGGATTAAGACAGAGGAGGACTGCTTGAGGCTTCAAGAAGACCTAGAGAAGCTGAAGGAATGGTCAACAAATGGTTGTTAAGAGTTTAATCTAAGCAAATGTAATGTAATGAAGATAGGCGTAGGGAGCAGGAGGCCAGATACTAGATATCATCTGGGAGATGAAATTCTTCAAGAGTCTGAGAAAGAAAAGGACTTGGGGGTTGACATCACGCCAGATCTGTCCCCTGCAGCCCATATCAAGAGGATAACATCAGCAGCATATGCCAGGCTGGCCAACATAAGAACGGCATTCAGAAACTTGTGTAAAGAATCATTCAGAACTTTGTATACCACATATGTCAGGCCAATCCTGGAGTATGCAGCCCCTGCATGGAGTCCATATCTAGTCAAGGATAAGACCAAATTGGAAAAAGTTCAAAGGTTTGCCACCAGACTAGTACCCGAACTGAGGGGTATGAGCTACAAGGAGAGGCTACGGGAATTACTCACTTCACTGGAAGACAGAAGAGTTGGGGGACATTATCACCACATTCAAGATTCTCAAGGGAATTGATAGGGTAGATAAAGACAGGTTATTTAACACAAGGGGCACACACACTAGGGTACACAGGTGGAAACTGAGTGCCCAAATGAGCCACAGAGATATTAGAAAGAACTTTTTTAGTGTCAGAGTGGTTGACAAATGGAATGCATTAGGAAGTGATGTGGTGGAGGCTGACTCCATACACAGTTTCAAGTGTAGATATGATAGAGCCCAATAGGCTCAGGAACCTGTACACCTGTTGATCGACAGTTGAGAGGCAGGACCAAAGAGCCAGAGCTCAACCCCCGCAAGCACAATTAGGTGAGTGTACACACACCTTATCTTGGAGACATTCATGTATCAATACGTCAAGCAGGCCACAAGAATGAGGGAAGGGGATGTTCTGCCAATACTGCACCCAAGATTCACCAGGAAAGAAGAAGAGGTATTTGACATCCAGTACCTCCCTCCCTTGGGAAAAGAGTGATCACGACCTCTTGGACATTAAATACGCTTTGCAATATAACCTAGTAGAGCATGGGGACATTGAAACGGTTTTTAAACTCGATTTCAAGAGAAGATGCTATAGGGAACTTAGCATTTTTTTCATGGGTATAATTGGATAGACTTGTTGCTAGGTAAGGATGTAAATGAGATGTATGCCATATTTTACAAAATATACGATGAAGGCACACAAACATTCATACCAAAGCAGAGATGCAGACTTACGAAACAGGATTGGTTCAACAGAAATTGCAAGAGGGCCAGAGATCAAAAGACAAGCATGGAATCATTATAGGAAGATGCCAAACCCCCAAACATATCAGCGATACAAAGATACGAGAAACAACTACACGTCAGTAACGAGAGGCAGAGAGGAACTTTGAGAACAGTATAGCAGACAAATGTAAATCAGATCCAGGCCTTTTCTAAAAATTCATTAAAAGTAAGCTGCAGGTAAAGGATAATATTCAGAGGTTGAAAATGGGGGACAGATACAGGGAAAATGAAAAGGAAATGTGTGAAACATTAAACGAAAAGTTCTACAAAGTGTGTTTGTACAAAATGAGATCTTCAGGGAACCAGACGCAATAAGAATTCCAGAGAACAATATAGAGGTGTCTAGAGATGAAGTGAAACAAATGCTCTTGGAGCTAAGAACAAAACAGTTGGCCCAGATGGAGTTTCACCATGGGTTCTGAGAGAATGTGCAGTTGAGTTCAGCATACCACTTCGGCTGATTTTTCAGACATCCCTGTGTACAGGAGTCGTAGCAGATGTGTAGAAAAAGGCTAACATAGTTCCAATCTACAAAAGTGGCAGCAGGGAAGACCCCCGTCAATTATAGACCTGTATCATTGACAAGTGTAATAGTCAAAATATTGGGGGAAAAATAATAAAAACTAAATGGGTAGAACACCTGGAGAGAAATAATATAATATCAGACAGACAGACAGTATGGTTTTTGATCTGGAAGATCCTGTGTATCGAATTTACTCAGTTTCTATGATAGAGCCACAGAGATGTTACAGGAAAGAGATGGTTGGGTTGACTGCATCTATCTGGACCTAAAAAAGGCTTTCGACAGAGTTCCGCATAAGAGGTTGTTCTGAAAACTGGAAAATATTGGAGGGGTGACAGGTAAGCTTCTAACATGGATGAAAAATTTTCTGATAGAAAAATGAGGGCAGTAATCAGAGACAATGTATCGGACTGGAGAAATGTCAAGTGGAGTACCACAGGGTTCAGTTCTTGCACCAGTGATGTTCATTGTCTACATAAATGATCTACCAGTTGGAATACAGAATTATATGAACATATTTGCTATGATGCTAAGATAATAAGAAGGATAAGAAACTTTGATGATTGTCATGCCCTTCAAGAAAACCTGGACGAAATAAGTATATGGAGCACCACTTGGCAAATGGAATTTAATGTGAATAAATGCCATGTTATGGAATGTGGAATAGGTGAACATAGACCCCACACAACCTATAAATTATGTGAGAAATCCTTAAAGAATTCTGATAAATTAAGAGATCTGAGGTGGTTCTAGATAGAAAACTATCTCCTGAAGACCACATAAAAAAACTGTGCGAGAAGCCTATGCCACGCTTTCTAACTTCAAAAATTGCTTTTAAATACATGGATGGCAAAATACTAAAGAAATTGTTCACGACTTTTGTTAGGCCAAAGCTAGAATATGCAGCGGTTGTGTGGTGCCCATATCTTAAGAAGCACATCAACAAACTGGAAAAGGTGCAAAGACATGCTACAAAGTGGCTCCCAGAACTGAAGGGCAAGAGCTACGAGGAGAGGTTAGAGGCATTAAATATGCCAAAACTAGAAAACAGAAGAAAAAGAGGTGATATGATCACTACGTACAAAATAGTAACAGAGACAAGGTAAGTGGTGAAGAGGAACAGGGACCACAGAAGGGGTAAAGGTCAAAGTACAACATAAATGAGAGTGCGAGTTGTAAGGACTATGCAAGGTAGCAAAGATAGTAGCGATCACGACGATCCTGCAGAGAGGACGCCAGTTTCAACATAGACTTAGGGTAGGAGTCAAACAAAAGGCACCAGAGCTGAGGCGCAACTCAATATGGTGCAGAGCATCCAGACGGTGAAGAGTAGGAGAAGCAAACGAGTAAGCAGGGCAACCATAATCGAGTTTAGACTACGAGAGAGGAATGTAAAGAGAGGTGTGCGCCTATCTGCTCCCAAAGAATTATGGGACAAGACCTTAAGTAAGTTAAGGGCCTTAGAGCATTCAACTTGGAGATAAGAGATATGGGGTGACCAAGACAAACGAGTGTCAAAGATTAACTCCAAAAGCTTAGCAGAATCCTTGTACACAAAGGGATGACCATAAAGCGACAAAGGAGGGGGGAGGGCCGCTAAGAACGACTTGCTTCTGAGTAAAAGTCATATCAAAAGTTTTAGTTGTAGAGAACTTGAAGCCATGATTGGTGGCCCAAGACGACACGGCATCAATCTTAAGTTAAAACCGCCGTTGAAAGAAAGACGAGTCATCACCTCAACAGCAGAGGGTAAGATCGTCGACAGAGCGCTGAGAAGATGCCAGTGGGAAGGGAGGAAAGAAGACCATTGCGAGCACCCAGGAAGAGAGTTGGGCTCAGAACACTACCTTGAGGTACACCTTCGTATTACCGAAAAGAGGCAGAGAGAGCGCGGTACCAAGCCTCACTAAAAGAACGACTAGAGAGGAAGCTTTGCAGGAAGAGAGGGAGATTACTACAAAGGCCAAAAGAACGGAGTTGGGACAATATGGTATCTACAGGTGGCGTCGTATGTCTTTTCCAGGTCAAAAAGGACAGCAACAACTGAGGTCTTTGCATCAAAAGCAGTATGAATATAAACCCCCAAGTTCACCAAGCCATCAGTAGTGCTGCGGCACTTGTGAAAGCCAAATTGAGAAGTGGAGAGGTGGTGATAGTGTTCTAAGAACCACATCAGACAAACATTGACCATACGTTCAAAGAGTTTTGCAGACACAACTTGTAAAGGCCATGGGGCGAAAGTCTTTAGATGATCCTAGAGACCCTGGTTTCGGAATAGGAAGAACAATCGCCTTGAGCCAGTCCTCAGGGACTGGCAACAACTCCCGGATACGGTTATACAGATTCAGTAAATACTGAAATACGCATGGAGGGAGATGATGGAGCATCTCATAATAAATGTCATCTGAACCCTCTGCCGTAGAACCACAGAGGTCCAGGACAGACTGAAGGTCAGAGAGAAGGGATCGTTACAGGGAAGCCGAGATAAGTGCAAAAATCTAAGGGATGACATTCAAGAATGGGCTTATGAATAAGGAAACATGGAGGAAGATGAGAGCCAGAGCTAGCAGTTAAAAAGTAGGAACCCAGTTCGGTCGCGACTGTCACTGGATCCGCCACAATAGTACCACGGAGGTAAATGACTGGCGAGACATCTGGAACAAACTTACAGGCTATCTTGCAGATTTTCTTCCAGATCTGGGACAGAGGAGTATCAGACGTACTGTAATGGTGGAGACATAAGATTTCCAACTCTTACGTTTAGCTGTATGGATGGTCCTGGCCACCGCACTCGACTTCCAAAACAAAATAAAAGAATCAGCCTTCTGCCTGCATTGGTGTTTCTTCCAGGCTGCACGCATATAGCATACAGCAGACAGCCCAAGCATAGTTTGCATTCCACCATGCAGTAAATATATTTGATTTTTACCAGAAAAGAGGAAGAGATATTTGACATTCAGTACCTTCTTCCCTTGGGAAAAAGTGACCATGTCTTTTTAAGAAGAAAATATGAAATTATAATCTAGAAGAAAATAAGGAGGTTGAAGCAGTTGAAAAACCTGATATCAGGAGACGACATTATGGGGAACTTAGAAATTTCTTTATTGAATTTGAC